AAGACTAAAACCACACGCTACTTGATCTCTGAATTAAGATTTTGGATTCGGAACAGGTTCTCCATCACACTGTCATGATAATATAGAGAAATTGTTTCAAATTATATTGCTAGGCTAAAAATGACTGGGACCAGTTTCAGTGATATATAACGTTTATTCTTTAATATAATGGTGGTTTGTACATAGAATATATATATATATATATATAATTATATATATATATATATATATATATATCCAAAATCTTAATTCAGGGATCAAGTAGCGTGTGGTTTTAGTCTTTGAGATACATTGACGTTGACGTCCTGGACCTTGCTGATGGAAAGTTTGTCAGTACGTGAAAAAGTTATGGAAAATGTTTAATATATATAATATTTAAAAATCCGAGCTAGCCGAATCAACTAAAGATAGGCCCGTCTGTTTCACCTTTCTACATATGTTCCTCTGGAAAAAAAACTAAAAAAACGCACTAAGTAAGAATCCCATGAAGATCGTGTTGAAATTCAATATTTAGCGCTCAAACGAGTGAAACGATATAACCGCTCAAACATTATCTTAGACGTATTTTTCTCGCGTCTCCTTCAACTTCGGTAATTTTTTTTTCGGTAACATTTGCTCAGTATTACGAAAAGTAAATCTTAAAAGGAATTCGTGGCAATCTTCATTCGTGAATATATCGGCAACCTGCCTTTACAACCTCCTTTCAAATTTTGATATGTTATACCTCTATAAATTATAAATTTTAAAAAAATTCCTTGAAGGAAAAAAATATTATGAAATGCAACGAAAAATAATTGTACGTAAAACCAAAAGATCACCACAACAACAATTACAGTGCCTTTAATTGTGTGATATAACTACCTAAGAGCATCCAAAATACTCACGTATGCGTCGTAACTTGAAAAACCACACAACTGTCCATGATATACATCCATAAACTGTGATATAATAGCGGACAACCATATTTTCATATATAACAACATAAACACTAACCAAATAACCATATAACCACATAACCGCATAAAAATTTAACCACATAACTATTATATAACCACATAACTAAATAACCACATAACCACATAACCATATAACCATATAACCACATAACCATATAACCACTAACCACATAACCATATAACCCCTAACCACATAACCATATAACCATATAACCATATAACCATATAACCACATAACAAGAAAACCATATAACCAAATAACCATATAACCATATAACCACATAACCATATAACCACTAACCACATAACCATATAACCACATAACCATATAACCACCTAACCATATAACAACTAACCACATAACCATATAACCATATAACCATATAACAATATAACCATATAACCATATAACCATATAACCACATAACCAAATAACCATATAACCATATAACTATATAACCATATAACCATATAACCATATAACCATATAACCATATAATCACATAACAATATAACCACATAACCATATAACCATATAACCACATAACCATATAACCATATAACCATATAACCACATAACCATATAACCACATAACTATATAACCACATAACCATATAACCACCTAACCATATAACCATATAACCATATAACCATATAACCACATAACCATATAACCACATAACCACATAACCATATAACCACTAACCACATAACCATATAACCACATAACCAATAACAATATAACCATATAACCATATAACCATATAACCATATAACCATATAACCATATAACCATATAACCATATAACCATATAACCATATAACCATATAACCATATAACCACATAACCATATAACCACTAACCACATAACCATATAACCATATAACCACATAACCAAATAACCATATAACCATATAACCACATAACCACATAACCACTAACCACATAACCATATAACCACTAACCACATAACCATATAACCACATAACCATATAACCATATAACCATATAACCATATAACCAAATAACCACATAACCACATAACCACATAACCATATAACCATATAACCATATAACCATATAACCATATAACCATATAACCAAATAACCACATAACCACATAACCACATAACCACATAACCATATAACCACATAACCACATAACCATATAACCATATAACCACATAACCATATAACCACTAACCACATAACCATATAACCCCTAACCACATAACCATATAACCATATAACCATATAACCATATAACCACATAACAAGAAAACCATATAACCAAATAACCATATAACCATATAACCACATAACCATATAACCACTAACCACATAACCATATAACCACATAACCATATAACCACCTAACCATATAACAACTAACCACATAACCATATAACCATATAACCATATAACAATATAACCATATAACCATATAACCATATAACCACATAACCAAATAACCATATAACCATATAACTATATAACCATATAACCATATAACCATATAACCATATAACCATATAACCATATAATCACATAACAATATAACCACATAACCATATAACCATATAACCACATAACCATATAACCATATAACCATATAACCACATAACCATATAACCACATAACTATATAACCACATAACCATATAACCACCTAACCATATAACCATATAACCATATAACCATATAACCACATAACCATATAACCACATAACCACATAACCATATAACCACTAACCACATAACCATATAACCACATAACCAATAACAATATAACCGTATAACCATATAACCATATAACCATATAACCATATAACCATATAACCATATAACCATATAACCATATAACCATATAACCATATAACCATATAACCATATAACCACATAACCATATAACCACTAACCACATAACCATATAACCATATAACCACATAACCAAATAACCATATAACCATATAACCACATAACCACATAACCACTAACCACATAACCATATAACCACTAACCACATAACCATATAACCACATAACCATATAACCATATAACATTATAACCATATAACCAAATAACCACATAACCACATAACCACATAACCATATAACCATATAACCATATAACCATATAACCATATAACCATATAACCATATAACCAAATAACCACATAACCACATAACCACATAACCACATAACCATATAACCATATAACCATATAACCATATAACCATATAACCATATAACCACATAACCATATAACCACATAACCATATAACCACTAACCACATAACCATATAACCATATAACCACATAACCAGATAACCAAATAACCATATAACCATATAACCATATAACCACATAACCACATAACCATATAACCATATAACCATATAACCATATAACCACATAACCATATAACCACTAACCACATAACCATATAACCACATAACCATATAACCACATAACCATATAACCATATAACCCTATAACCACCTAACCATATAACCACTAACCACATAACCATATAACCACATAACCATATAACCATATAACCATATAACCATATAACCATATAACCATATAACCATATAACCATATAACCATATAACCATATAACCATATAACCATATAACCATATAACCATATAACCACATAACCATATAACCACTAACCACATAACCATATAACCATATAACCACATAACCAGATAACCAAATAACCATATAACCATATAACCATATAACCACATAACCACATAACCACATAACCATATAACCATATAACCACATAACCATATAACCACTAACCACATAACCATATAACCACATAACCATATAACCATATAACCCTATATAACCACCTAACCATATAACCACTAACCCACCATATAACCACATAACCATATAACCATATAACCATATAACCATATAACCATATAACCATATAACCATATAACCATATAACCACATAACCATATAACCACTAACCATATAACCATAAAACCACATCACCACATTACCATATAACATTATAACCACATAACCATATAACCACATAACCATATAACCATATAACCATATAACCTCATAACCATATAACCACTAACCACATAACCATATAACCACATAACCATATAACCACCTAACCATATAACCACTAACCACATAACCATATCACCATATAACCATATAACCATATAGCCACCTAACCATATAACCATATAACCATATAACCATATAACCACATAACCATATAACCACTAACCACATAACCATATAACCACTAACCACATAACCATATAACCACATAACCATATAACCATATAACCATATAACCAGATAACCATATAACCATATAACCATATAACCATATAACCATATAACCATAAAACCATATAACCACATAACCATATAACCACTAACCACATAACCATATAACCACATAACCATATAACCATATAACCATATAACCATATAACCACTAACCACTAACCATATAACCACATTACCATATAACCATATAAATATAACCATATAACCACATAACCACTAACCACATAACCACATAACCACATAACCACATAACCATATAACCATATAACCATATAACCATATAACCATATAACCATATAACCACTAACCACTAACCATATAACCACATTACCATATAACCATATAACCACATAACCATATAACCATATAACCACATAACCACTAACCACATAACCACATAACCACATAACCACATAACCATATAACCACATAACCATATAACCACTAACCACATAACCATATAACCACTAACCACATAACCATATAACCACTAACCATGTAACGATGTAACCATATATGTATATATATGTATATATGTATATAGTGTGTATGTATATATAGTGTGTATGTATGTTTAGTGTGTATGTATATATAGTGTCTATGTATACCGTATGTATATATATTAGTGTGTATTATATAATTTATGCTAATATATGTAATGTATATTCGAACCCTCGTAACATGAAAATATAACCTGGCAAAGCACCTCGCCCCAAAAGGCCTCCACTTTCGGAGTAACTAACACAACGAGTAATTTTAAGGTGCCTGCCCTATATATGCTCATGGAAATTGAATGTATCTTACCAGTCTCGCTTTTCCAAATTAAGACTGTCTAGTTTGTTGCTGTTTGTTCATATAATTTTCAATAATCGAATAAAGATTAAAGACAGAGTTGGTAAACTAAGATGCCTTACCTGTTATGCTACCCCTGCCTGCCCTTGATTGCTTCCGATCCGGTGCTTCTGAGTGATTTCTGGCAGATATAAACATAGCGGCTGGGCTGGCAAGTGACAGCAGGAACAGTAAGTTTATCCTTATATTCTATTAAGTATACAATAATGTACTTGTATTAATTATTCTGAAATGAATTTTATTGTGGGAAAAAATTAAGACCAATAGACCTTTCCCCTTTTAGCACTAGGCGCGCTAAGCATGACGGTAGGAGTATGCAAAGTTGCTTTCGAACGAAATGGCTGCCGTATGTGCGGTGAATTTCGTGCGAGAGAAGAATCGGCGGATTTTTAACATCATTTCGTGTCCATCGATATTTGTTTTCTTTGGAAAATTGCGAGAAGGTTCGTCACTACAAAACACCGAAATTTCATGACGATCTGGGCGTTAATGGCGATAAAAATCCGTCGAGAAGATGCCAAGTTGTGAACAATATTCGCTCAAATTTGCTTGCGAAAAGTTGACTAACGTGTACTGAAACAGGTGAGTTCGCTTTTCAACTTGCGATCGGCTGATTATTTTTACAAAATAAGCGTAACTGATTGTGTTTCTTTTTGGATCTCAGCAGTATTTTACTTTTATTCTTGTGCAAATATCGTTTTAAGCTTCCAGAAATTGGCATATGTTGCCAAGATTTTGTTCGAATTTGCCACTAAGCTGCCCTTGGCCCTCGGAAATGTTTTTAGCTTGTTTTGGCGCGAAAATACCCGTATTTAAATAAGCAACACAAGCCGTAGCAACAATATATAAATTTGAAAGTGTTTTTCTTGGTTTACTGCTGTTGTTTGTCCTCTAGTTGAAGTCTGCATTGGTTCACACCCTCCACTGTAATTTAATAAATTTCTCGTTGGTTATAGAATATCATTTAGGTAAATAAATTTAATTTTTTTAACAATATAACATAGTAAATAATATTAGATAGGATATTTTAGGTAAATTGGTTTAAGATAGTTTAAAATTAAATAGATAGGATATTTTAGGTAAATTCAACATAATAGATTATATTTGAAATTAAATAAATATATAAATATAAGCATACAAATTTTTAAACCATATAATATGGAGAGTGAACCAAGCACTTCGCATGAGACGAATAATAGTGAAACTTATGAAATTACTGGTCAAAGAATGTGTAAACGATACTGCTGTATACCACAGTGTGAAAGTGATAGTAGAAAAAATCCTGAGATGTCATTTCATAAAATTCCAAAAAATCCAGAGTTGAGGAAAAAGTGGGTACGTTTGTTGAAAAGAAAAGGTATAAGGGATCCTGGATCAAGTCATAGAGTATGCTCAGCACATTTTGTGGGCGGTGCAAAAACATACAGCAACAATGTTCCAACAATTTTTGCCACTGCTACAAGCAAACCTAGGAAAAGCCCAACTATTCGGACAGTGGCAGCTAAAAATCCAGTAATTACTGAAGAAACATATTTAGAAAATACAAGTAAAGAAAGCTCTGTTGTTGATGATAGCACAAGTAAAGATGACAACTCTGAAAATACACTGCAGGAACTTAAGGATAAAATATTATCACTAGAAGCACAAAACATGGCATTGAACACAAAATATAATGAAGATATTGCTAAATTAAAATGTGGGGTATTTCAGATGGAGAAATTTATTAACAGTGACAGTGATTTTAAATTTTACACTGGCTTTCCAAATTACTCTTGTTTCAAGGCATTTTATAACTACCTTTCCCCAGCCTGTGAACACCTTCAATACTATGGTTCAAATACAGCTCCTATAACCTCGGAATCTCAAAACAAATGTGGCAAACCAAGATCTATGTCTCCAGAGCAAGAATTATTTCTTGTACTCATAAGATTGCGCTTGGGGTTACTTGTACAAGATATTGCACATCGCTTATATTTCCACAACACAAGTTTCTAGAATATTTAAAACATGGATTGTATTCTTATACCAACGCCTTCGTTCTTTACCAATTTGGCCCAGTCGGGATTTTGTTGATGATAACATGCCTGGCTGTTTTAAACTAACATATCCTAAAACTAGAGTGATAATTGACTGCACTGAAATTTTCATTGAAATGCCATCATCATGCAGAAGTCAGTCCATTACATTTTCGAGCTACAAAAACCACAACACTGCAAAGGGCCTAATTGGGATATCACCAAATGGATACCCAAGTTTCATCTCTAGCTTGTATGCAGGCCGAACTAGTGATAAGAAAATTACTCATGACTGTGGTATTTTGAAGCTTCTTGAACCCGGTGATGAATTAATGGCAGACAGAGGATTCGACATTGAGGCTGACATGCCAAATGGTGTGTCTTTAAACATTCCACCTTTTTTAAATGGACAGCCTCAGCTATCAGTTGAGGATGAAGCAAAAACACGAAAAATTGCATCAGTTCGTGTACATGTTGAACGTGCAATCGCAAGGATAAAAAGTTATAGAATTTTGCATCAAGTAGTTCCCCTGACATTGGCTGAGAACTTAGAGCACATTTGGAGTGTATGCTCCTATTTAACTCTATTTTTACCACCTCTCATTAAGGAAAAACAAGATTAGTTTGTTCATTTACCAGTGACTTTTTGTTAAATGTAAATGTAATTGCAACTTGATAACTTAATTGTATTGTTTATTCTATATTACAGTTCTGGCAACATGTATTCAGAGTAAAAACTACTTAGCTCTGGAACAACTTTTTGCCAGAAGTCATTATCAAAGTAGATCCTCTCAATATGCAAGTCTACATTTGTGAACACAACAAAATCACACCAGCTAACATTAAGTGTAGCCATGCACCCTTGAATTTGATAGAAATAATTGTTGGTTTTTTTTAATTTGACTTTTCCGTTCAATTTTTCCAAAAAGAAGTTTTTGTCATTGCAAGCATCATCAATGCTTAAGTTCTTTTTTGAGAATGGGCATTTGACTTCTCCAATACCAAATGATGTTGGTTCTGTGCTGTCGAACACTAAAAAATCTGGGCTAGCACCTAACCATGGAAACTTCAAATTCACAACAAACCCACAACTTGCACACACATCAACATTTTTTCCTTCATTTTTTTTAAATTTATAGTACTCTTCAATTGCTTTCGCTTCCTTATCTTTTCCCCACTGGCAAGGTTTAGGACAAGTGGTCTGCTTTGACTTGCGAATATTTGCCAACAGTGATTTGGGGAACCTTTGCTTTCTGCGCTTTACTATTGCTCCAAAATTTGAAGATGTAAGCCTTTTTTGTCGTTCATCAAACCAAACATCACTTGAGGACTGCTGCCTAGTGTTCTGCTCAATTTGAAGAACTTGTGCATGTGTAATTTTTACTAAGCCACTTAAACTATTAATAGCATCACAATTAGTTACCAATTCTTCAGCTGTAGTGGAAGGTAATCTCTCAAGTATCTTATCACGCACACTATAGTTATTTATATTGAGGTGCATTGATTCAGAGTATCGCTTCTTTGATGGCATATCTAGGTGCATTGTGTCAAAAGGACATGGCTGACAGTCACTTGACTTTAGCAAGTTGCCCAAATAACTATTCTCATCTGTTTCAATCAAAGCATTGGCAAGCTTTTGAATATCATTTTTTTGCACTGTCCGTGAGAAATGTGGAGTGGGATTGTATATGGGGAGTGACTGTTTGTGTTTCCTCTTTTTAGCCTTAATATCTTTCTCATACACATTCTTTTCAAACACAATGTTCTCATAGAGAACAGCTTCGTCCGACTCATCTTTTCTTGGTACATGCCATTGCTGTAATAACTGTGTGCAGGTAGGATGATCTGGGACCTCAGTCATGTCTAATTGTTTATATTCGATAACTTGAAAGAGCAGAGCAACAACATGTTTACATTTACCACCTTTGCCTGCAGTACACGTACAGCTGCTATACACAACCTCCCCATTTGCTTCATTTAAATGGACATAAACAGTGTATGTATTGCTTTTCATTGCAGCATTAACAATGCATTTAAGTATGAAGCATGATATGTTTCCCTTAATGACATTTGGTTTAACCTGGACTTGCCCAACATATTTGTCTTTGAACATTTGGTAACCCATTTTTTTGTGTTTCTGAGCACCTGTACCAGAATGTTCAGTTCCCAAATGCTTGATTAACAGCTCATATGTAAATTCTGGAATGCCATGTAAATCTTTTGTCCATCTTTTTAATGCTGGTATTTCACTATTATTCGTCTCATGCGAAGTGCTTGGTTCACTCTCCATATTATATGGTTTAAAAATTTGTATGCTTATATTTATATATTTATTTAATTTCAAACTATAATCTATCTATGTTAATTGAATTTACCTAAAATATCCTATCTATTTAATTTTAAACTATCTTAAACCAATTTACCTAAAATATCCTATCTAAATATTTATTTACTATGTTATATTGTTAAAAAAATTAAATTTATTTACCTAAATGATATTCTATAACCAACGAGAAATTTATTAAATTACAGTGGAGGGTGTGAACCAATGCAGACTTCAACTAGAGGACAAACAACAGCAGTAAACCAAGAAAAACACTTTCAAATTTATATATTGTTGCTACGGCTTGTGTTGCTTATTTAAATACGGGTATTTTCGCGCCAAAACAAGCTAAAAACATTTCCGAGGGCCAAGGGCAGCTTAGTGGCAAATTCGAACAAAATCTTGGCAACATATGCCAATTTCTGGAAGCTTAAAACGATATTTGCACAAGAATAAAAGTAAAATACTGCTGAGATCCAAAAAGAAACACAATCAGTTACGCTTATTTTGTAAAAATAATCAGCCGATCGCAAGTTGAAAAGCGAACTCACCTGTTTCAGTGCACGTTAGTCAACTTTTCGCAAGCAAATTTGAGCGAATATTGTTCACAACTTGGCATCTTCTCGACGGATTTTTATCGCCATTAACGCCCAGATCGTCATGAAATTTCGGTGTTTTGTAGTGACGAACCTTCTCGCAATTTTCCAAAGAAAACAAATATCGATGGACACGAAATGATGTTAAAAATCCGCCGATTCTTCTCTCGCACGAAATTCACCGCACATACGGCAGCCATTTCGTTCGAAAGCAACTTTGCATACTCCTACCGTCATGCTTAGCGCGCCTAGTGCTAAAAGGGGAAAGGTCTATTGCGAAACTTAGTAGCCGCGCCTTCGCATAACATGGAAGCGAGGCTTATTATGCAAAAAACAATATTTGTATTTTTTGCCGTACAAAGCTATCCGCCGAGTTATAGCCCGGTTTTCGCCTTTGGTTTACATATTTTTCGATACCTTTAAAGCTCGGTTTCATCGTTGTTATCATAGTTTTAAGATGAGGGAGTTTTGCCTTTCATTTGAGGCGTTTTTGTGATGTTTTCATTAATTTTTTCGGCAGCTTTCGTCGGGGAAATATGGAAAAGACCGACACAAACTCAGGTAAAAATTCAGTTTTTTCCAAGCTATTTCGTCTCAAGTCTTGAAAATTTATTTCATTTTTCTTCCTCTTATTTGTGCAAAATTTGGCGATATATATTTGGTGCAAAATCTATGTTTTTGTGACAAGGACTATTGAAAAGTCACGGTCGAACAACCACCATGTTTACATTTCTCATTTAAAATTATTTTACACCAATTTTATCGATCGATAAGCTGTAATTTCACAGCAATTTTACAGCTCAGGAAAAAATTAGCAGAACTCTGTTGACAGAAACAATCGGAGATAAAATATACAACGGAGTTTTTTGGTTTATTTTCCCTGTGTATATAGACTACAGTACATGTGACGTGATGCCGACTGAAAAGCAAAACAACTCTTCAACTTGGCACACATGCATGACATGGATAGTAAAATACTTATTACCAAGACATAATATCATTCTCTATTTTGAATTACCATTTAATATTTCTTTTCCCACAATATCATACTATAAAGGTAGCCACAATGCGAGCAGCAGCGTTTTTTAAGATATGCCTTTACATGATGGCAAAGCCGAAGGCGAAAAAAATATACAACCCCGAAGTTCGGAAGTGTTTTCCGTTTTATAATGCGATGGTGAACGGAATCCTTTCCTTTTAAAGTATTCCTGGTTAACCCTTATTTAAAACATCTATTGCATGGTAGTAGATAGAAAGAATAGTGTTTTGTAGTGACAAAAAATATACAGAACGTCAGATGCGTTCGAATTCGACTTTTAAATAAAATTCGGCCTTCATGTCGGTATGCAAGCCATGCATCGTCTGTACTTTTTTAAAACGAAATAAACAAAAACATTTCAGTTAGTTACTTTTTGCCATTTTCACAGTATTACTCTGGTATAAAGATAAAAAATATAGTGATATTTGTGAATAAATTTGAACCATTTCAGTCATTAGGTGTGAAATTATAAAATCTGACTGTCACTTTTCATTTAGTTTTCAACAATTTTTGTCACAAAAACATAGATTTTGCACCAAATATATATCGCCAAATTTTGCACAAATAAGAGGAAGAAAAATGAAATAAATTTTCAAGACTTGAGACGAAATAGTTTGGAAAAAACTGAATTTTTACCTGAGTTTGTGTCGGCCTTTTCCATATTTCCCCGACGAAAGCAGCCGAAAAAATTAATGAAAACATCACAAAAACGCCTCAAATGAAAGGCAAAACTCCCTCACCTGAAAACTATGATAACAACGATGAAACCGAGCTTTAAAGGTATCGAAAAATATGTAAACCAAAGGCGAAAACCGGGATATAACTCGGCGGATAGCTTTGTACGGCAAAAAATACAAATATTGTTTTTTGCATAATAAGCCTCGCTTCCATGTTATGCGAAGGCGCGGCTACTAAGTTTCGCAATTGGTCTAAATCAGTGAACTCAAATAAGACTGGAACGCTCACTCTGTCGGAAGTTTGAAGCCAAGATGGCGGATCATGAAGCCTTTCTTGTAGGTATGATCCAGGCCTCCACGCGGAAATTTTGTCGGGAATTCTGATTTTTCCTTTGAAGTTTCCGCGCCAGAGGCCTGGATCATACCTACAAGAAAGGCATCATGATCCGCCATCTTGGCTTCACTCATTAATGAGGGAAAGTCAGCGAGTGAGCGTTTCAGTCTTATTTGAGTTCACTGGTCTAAATTTGCATGTAAACTTAACGTATATATGGTCGCCATATTGGATATTATGGCCGCGTATAAGTTGGAGACCTAGTGGCGACTGGCGAGGTGCTCTGCCATATCTGAAATAGCCTTCACCCACCCACGGGGTGGGTGGTGACATGGTAGTTACACTTTGGGTGGTTATGACCACCATTAAATGGTAACTTACCAGCGCTGTTGCATGGCAGCCACATTGTATAGTACTGTTATGTTTTCATGCAAACTTTACTGTGTCTTTTCTAGCATGCTACTATGTGTATATAACCACTATAATATAAAATGTCCAGGATACTTATCTACAAAGTCAGGTGACATTTGTCACGTTATTAATTACGTAATAGGTACTACCGGCAGTTACTAACAACCACTGACAACTAACAAGGTCACTGTCAACATCGCAATTCAAACTAAGAACTAACTGAATAAAAAATCTTTTATTTATCTATCGGAAGAGACGTGTCTCTTCAACGGGAATATTCATTTCTTCACTGGAATCATCTTTCTCTTCCTCGCGAATCGTATCCGACAGTTTCTTGTTCAAAGTTTCAAACAACAACAAGGAACTCAAACTAGCAATGAAGCTAAAACGTCCGAAAATAATAAACGGAACGGACTTCTTGCTTTTCTCTCCCTAGAAAATATTAATGAAAAGATGGAATTCGATCTAGAGAGTAGATACTAGAGTAGAAACTTTTAATACTTTACGTACCAACAACAGAATCTGAGGAGCAATCATACCACCAAACCTGGTCCATGACATACAAGCTCCTAAACCTACATTTCTGACGTTAAGACAGAGCATTAGAAGAATACATTTCAACAAATAAAACGAAAATATCGCCTGAAAACCTACCTTATCTCAGTTGGAAACAATTCAGAGGTGTAAATGAACAAGACACTGAATGATCCACTAAACCCGATTCTACCAATAATTGCGAGAGCTGTCGTTAAATCTTGAAGTGCATCATTGTCTGGCAAACAACAAGACAAAGTATTTAATCTCACTCGTTAGATATTGTTAATGAAGGTAAAGCAGCTCTAATATGGAGTACTCCCAACTAACCTGCAGCTTTCTCAGAAAGAACTCCAGCAGTAATATTCATGACTGCTCCTATCATGAGATACGTACAGAGAGGTTTACGACGACCAAACCTTGGAACAAATAAGTGATATTTGCTTCAATATGCCTTAGCTCAAGTCGTCAATATTTAGTCAAATAGCAAGGAACGTTTCTAGGGAAAAAAATCACCTTTCGGTTATAAAAACTGTTAAGAAATATGGTATTAGTTCCAGGGTCCCACCGATGAAGAAATTGAGATATTTGTTTCCAGCTAAACTTGAGATATTGAGTGATACACCATAATAACCAACAGAGATGGAAAACCTAGAGTGATAACAAATTATACGTTTGTTTAATGTTTCCATGTCAACCTAATGTAACTGAAACAAATTATACGAGGAAGAAAACTCAGTCTAAAAAGTCTTTACCATATCCAAGCCAGAATGATTGATCGTTTTCTCAGCACACGATATCGAAACGTATCAATGATGGTGTATTTCTTCACAACAGTGATCTTCTCTGTTTTACTTTTTTCAACAACATCGTCAAATATTTCACGAGGGAACTCTAAGTTATTAAATTTAACAATTCTCGTGACCACTTGCTCGGCCTTGTCGAATTTCTTCTGCGTTATCAACCAACGAAAGGATTCTGGCTGCAACCTGATAGGATTAAAAACAAGAAACAATTTTTGCAATGATTTAAAGGGACTGTGATTCATGATCATGGTGATCATTATGATGATAATGATAATATTGATCAGTGATGACTTTTATGTCATGATGAGGTGGTCACAAAAAATTGCATTAAAATTACCATATTAAAGAAATCTGAAGAATTGTTGCCAGTGTTATAAACAATTGTATATATCTCCAGTCTTGAATGAGAAATGCAATCAAAGCTAGAAACATCACACCAACTGGCCAGAAAGTGGTTTGTATGGTACCAACTCTACTTCGATATTTCAAAGCAAATAACTCGATTATCAAAATATATCCTGCATCCATACCCTGGAAAAACATAAAGATCTAGTGCTCTGCTTTTCCTATCCAAAATATGATGAGACTGGTAATGATTATAAGTTTACCGGAATAAATCCATGCCTTGAGTTGTTTCATTAATCTTATACCTGTAACACAGCTCCCAGGATAAAACGCAATATCACAAAAGCGATATAGTTTCTTATGAAGAATATCATTATACCAAGAATGATCTGAGAATACAAACAGCATAATAGTACTGGTCGTCAACCAAATTTATCAGACAATGTTCCAAACAGCAGACCACCAACTAACACACCACAGAAGTAGATTGTTGTAGCCAGATTAGTTTTGTATGCATCATCACAAACTAGATCAAACTAGAAAACGCAATTAAAACCATTCTCCCCAAAATCATTGGTCATTAGCAGAAGGATCAACAGAGATAAAGAGCTACCACAATATAACCAACCAGTATAAATACCATCAATTCATTACCTCAGATATAATAGTTTGTTCTCGTCCTTCCAAATAATATGTCCATCCATTGGAACATGGTTTCTTTTCCTTAGTGCTGACATTTACATAAAGATTACATCCATCCCACAACGTCTTCCCACCTTTCTTTACAAGGGGGACAACTTCATCTATTTGTGTGATATTCCCCACTGCACAATGGTATTTAGTTTTTGCACCCATAAATGCCATGGCCAAATGATTCCAACACAGAAAGAATAAATTGGAACATAGCATTATGTACAAGATCATCTGTAATTTGCCAGGTTTACCCAAAGTACTTGCAAGATTATCTGCACTGAGTGAACTCATGGTAGTTGTGGGACCTAGTTTGGTACATGACCAGATAAAATTGAGATTAGTGCTGCATTTTAACAATTCACATCAATCACATGGAATTATGCACTCAAGGTATGAAATATGTCATGTAATTTTTGCTTAATTAATAACTTTGCTTTACCTCACTTGAATACACGTAAGTACTCCGTAAATTATTTTCCTTGAATACTCTCGAAAACTCTTTGAATCTCCTATAAAGAAATTAAACTTATCTGTGCCAAGTGTAATGTTTGGATGTCAACTCTCAAACAAGGCAGGGGCCGCAGGGCCGTAACTAGACCGCTTAATTGGGTGGGTGTATATTCATATATTCATGCTTACATACCGTAGGAACAATAGCGTACAAAAGAAATAAGTCGTGCATAGGACAAAAGAAGTCAGTCGGGCATAGGACGAATCTATGAATATACACCCCCGCAATTAAGCTTCTAGCTACGGTCCTGAAACAAATTTGCTGACAGATATTTACATATCCTTCGTAAAACTGACTGGGGAGACTACTCGGCGGTTAATTAAGGTGGTTGTTACTCAGTATGAATTTTATTCCATTGATAATATCCGTTCCATATATTTTTTATAACAGTGTTTTTTTGTATGAAAAAGGAAATAACGTAAAAAATTGGAAAGAACGTAAAAAATTCCAAAAGAGATCATCAATCTCTATACTACTCGCTGACAGCAATGCCGAAGACTGGCGAACCAGTTGCGATATACATAGATTACCAGCTGGCGAAAGGACAGTTGCTATAGGAAGAACTCCCCCCTATCTTAACGGCTGACTAAGGGGAAGATGCCTTACGACCCCCATACCATGATGTACGTGCACCTAACCGTTCGGCTCGGTGACAGAGTGGGTTTTATGCCACAAACCTAGCGCGTACATAGACGCATCGGCCACAGTGTGATGGGATGCCTTGAGAGCGAAGATAGATATTACGTATTTAAGCTTTTCCTGAAAATTACAATATTTTAACGTCTGAACGTTTTTTTAAGTGTTTTTAACGAGAAAATAATATTGTCTAATGCGATAATTTAAAATTTAAGTGTTTTCATTGTTTTGATACTCTTTTGGTGTTTTCATTGTTCTCGAAATGTCATCATTTCTGGAAAGGAGACTCAATATAAATGACTGAACGGCTTAGTTTGGTAAAATGTTTTGTTAATTTTGTGTCAATAGTGACTTTAGTGCATAGCCGTTCGATTATATTCGCCGGGTACAATTCGGGTCTAAAATGAATTGATCGATGGTTTGTCGAATTTATTCCTCCTGGTGGTCTAACCAAGTATATGCACACATCAAGTGACAAGTTTTCGACAATGCATGATAACAGGAAATTTCTCACAGCTCTTATGAGGGCGTTTTCACGGTTCCTCGATGTAACATTTCTAGTTTTTTCACTTGCGTGTGAACGATGCATGATGACAATTCGGGTCTGAAATTTCGGTACACGGTTTGCCAAAAGTAATTATACGGTGCGAAAGGTAAGGAACATTATTGATTAGCCATATTGAGTAAGTTGCATGTTGAGCCTGATTACGTTTATTTCCTTCATGTTCGGTCAACCGAAATCCAGTAAAACCGTAAAACGTATAAAAAAAGGAAAACGTTGCATGAGGTGCAAATCGATTTAACTACGATTTAACTACGCAAAATGTATTTAAGAGCGGTTTTTTACAACCGGCCCCTGCTGTTTTGCAGCGGACGATATGCGCGCTGCGCACGTTAGACCATCATCAGGATTCAATTGGCAAAGCTCAAAAGTTGCATAGCAATATGCATAGCAATATGCAATTCCTAGACTCCGTTCGGACGAGCGGAACTATATTGGTCGAAACTATAAATAAAACCTGAACTGTCATTACAGACGATTTCTAAATAAAAATACCAAATTCGGACCGCTGGTCAGGTAACCTGAAATTCAGGTTACCTTTGGAGGGGTTTTCTCCGCGCACTCCGGTTTTCCTCCTTTTTGTATGACTTCAACAAACAGTGTCTATTTGAAGGGCCAAACGTGTGTTCGTTGATAGTGAAAACGATTTCTTGCACATTTTACAAAATCGAGAAATCCTCTTTTCACATAAACGCGAGTGTTCGGCTTCTGGGTTTGATTCCCAGAACACTGGCGTAAAAGAATAAGACATGTTGAGACTGGTATGCATAGGCAGCATGACGAGACTGAGCCCGGCATGGGCGTACGAACAAATGAAACAATAGTAGTTCGAAATGTGCGGTGATGTTCATTTCATGCGTACTCTTACGACGAAAAGCATGGGCTAAATGAGATATTTTCTCCATCCCATGCAGCTATTTCGCGTCACAACACAATAAATTGTTATATGCATGTAGTACAAGGTCGTAAACCAATATTGCAAATTATTCATTGCCAATTCTATTACGGTACCCGATTAGCCAAATTTTTTCAACTTTGCTTAAGGGGAGGATGAAAATGTCTAAAACAAGTCAGAGATTCTTAATCGCACCGTGAAACTAACAGAAATGGGAAAGCGGTGGGAGTGTTTTTATTAAATTTAGCAAAATCATTCGATCTTGCTTCAGAAGTTGTCCAATATGAATTATTACTAATTGGATAACATGTTAAAGTTTCCTTACAGACAGAAAACAGCGTGTTAGGTTGAATACTGCAATGGTGCTTTTCAGTTTCCACAGGTAAGAGTTCTTGGACCGACACCTGTGCCCCGATACTTAATTATTGTCACGTTGGGCCGACCGTTGGAAATTCGTCGACGATTGCACAGTAGCAGGCCAGAAAGCATATCACGTTCTTGCAATATCAACTTACAAAATATAGTGAACGAAATGGACAGTCCAAAACAAAATGAAACGTACAAAATGCAAATAACTATTCGTTGATTTTTCAAAAGATAAACAGATTTTTCTACCTTTCGACATGGTGGCGTTTCTGTCGAAAGGATGAAATCTGCTCGCATGCTGGTACAGCTGGGTTTTATAATAAGGGACGATATGAGTGATCATGTTAACTCTATTGTGAAATACTATGGAGACTGGAGTGATAATGTTAACACTTATTGTGAAAAAACAGGGAAATAATTGTATATGTTGGGACCATTAAAACGATCAAATGCTGACGCAAGGATCTTGCAAACAGTGTTTATGCAACAGTAATAATAAATTGGGCTGGTACGTGAATACGCATGCCACGTATGGTGTTTTAACACTCCTGAATATTTATCATTTATGTAACGAGAATGAAGTGCTACGAAAACGTGCGTTGGGAATAATCGCACCGTAATTGAGTTCAGAATAGCGACGCATATTGCTATGCAATCCTTGAGCTTCGTCAATTTAATTATAACAGACCTAATGTTATAAAGACGTATCAAGCCGTGACGCCTGGTTCATTCAAACACATTGAACTGTAAACAAACAATATATAGTTAACGAAAGAACTGAAAACAAACTGGAACGATAACTTCAAACATCAAAATTTTCCGCCGTGACTATTAAGACCAGAACTCCCTCCAGGGTCACGGTTTGTTACGTCATTATGCATAAGGTCTATTGCATTGCACGTTGCAAGGAAAATTGCATATAATAGCGTCCCCTTTCGGCATTACTTATAGAGAATTCCAGTAGCAGTGGGGATTTGCAAGCTAAACACTTTCAGGCAGCACTTCTGCCCATGGGTAACCTACAGCATACGCCACACATGCGCAGAACACAGGAATGTTCTAAGCGTAGTTTTCTTACAGTGCTCTATTTTTTTCGCGAATTTTGCAACTGTCGATCGTAAAAGTGCGACATTTGCATCGTTATGTCTTGTTGGATCTCGAGAATATCTCGTGATGTAAACAATTGACAACACAGTATAATCAATGTGGTTGACAATGCAATATATTTAGCAAATATTTTAAATCGTGTTGTCCTTAAAAGGTTTACATAATTTTCTAGTCACAAACAGCCCTAGAGGTGTAAAGTTTGCAGCAAATGGCAACGTCTCAGAAAAGTTTGAAGCCAAAATTGAGTGAAAGAAATCCGCAATTAAAGTGCAGAAACAAGTATGTATATCTAAAACAATTTCAGTAATGTGTATTTCTTAGTTTTATATGCTTTGCCAATCGTTTGACCCTATACTTATAACTGTCTATATTTTAGAAACAAAATCACACAATATTTCAACAGTTTCTTGCATGAAACTTCAAACCTGAAAGATAATTTTGAACCAAAATTATTAAAGGAAAATAACAGAAATATAGTCATACTTTTCTGAATTATAGTCATATTTTTCTGAATGATAGGCTTGATAGCCATACTTTTTTCAAAAGCATCTTCATATTCATCAGGTTTAATGGTTCATCTAGAACTTTCCACACCCAAAATCATCTTCCATCCCTTCCAGTTAAAAGTTGACTGTACATGTGAGCTTGATTTGTGATGTCAAGTCTCGTCTTGCAGTTAAATCTCACAATGCCAATGAAAACAGCAATCTTTATTTGAATTACTGTAATATAAATCATGTAGGGTGAGTCAATTTCAGAACTGTCAAATGGTGTCCATATATATATATGGAGATATATCAAATTTTGAGAGATCTCCATATCATTTTCAAACCTGTTTAAGTATTTTTCAGCTTATTTAAAATAATTTTTGTACCATTATATTTATACTGATGACCATCACATTGACAAATTCAAAAAATCATTTTACAGTAGTTAAATTCGCAAAATTACAAGTTACCTTAATCTAAGGAAATTCAGCTTAAAAAACAATATTCAATCACTTCAATGCTGCAATATAAAATCTTTAAAACATTTGAAATCAATAATTTTTTCAGTTGTGGTTTTTATGGTAACCCAGCATGGCATGGTTATTGCTCACTATGTTACAAAGCATATCTTGCAAATGAGGCAGCACATAGGTTGAGTGAGAAGAAAAGTACACATGCTACAAAGTCAAGTGTATCCTTTGGGACAGGTGAGTTAGTTAAATACATTTGCTAAGTAAGAAGTGGCTAATGCATATAGTATATACACAGGATGTTTCATTTTATATCCATCTGAACATATTTCACCCATGTTGGGATTAATTTGCTGCTATGGACATAATGCTATCTCATGATGTTCTCTTCATAATCTGTTTAGTTATTTTCTTGTACAATAAAAGGGTAAGGTGTGGGATAAAGTAAAAGAAGTTGTGTATGAAGGCACTGCCATTGTCATCATTGATTATACCACAGTTTTTTTAATTTTACTTTCTTAGATCAAGCATCACCAAATGAAGAAACAACATTAGCATTTTCCAAATTTGAAGAGAAGAAGAAACTTCAGACCACTTCAAAGAGGTAAGACTGTTATACTACTCTTTTATTTCTATTTTAACCTTACTCTTGCTAGTTTCCACAGAACCACCATAACTTTGCTACTTCATCCCACTCTAGCAGAAAATCATACTAATTAAGTTATGAACATGTTTTACAGGCAAAGTGTAAGGAAATTGTTTACAAAGACTAAAGGTGGTCTGCCAATAGAGGTGCCTTTAGAACCGAATGCCTCAATGTCAGCTGTAAGGGGAAATGATTTTGATGGCCATTATGGTAATTGATTTTTTATATACTTATCACTTTGAATATCTTAGCCGACAGTAAAAAAGTTATTCCAGTTTTCCAATTAAGCCAATGGAGCTATATCCATACCTGTAGTTAAGAGTCGGGTTTCAAGTCTAACATCTTCTCTTCATTTAGTGCCATCATCAGATGTGTATCAAAGTGCATCTGATTTCAACATTTTTCTTAAAACTCTACGTAAACCAGCAGCACAAGATATAGTTGGAAAATGTAAATTGTAAGTAATATTTAATTGTATGCTGTTACCACTATATTTGTGGTTGAAAAAAGCACACATTGATCTATGCATGTTCTCAATTTAGTGTTACAGAGCAAGTTATACACAACCCTACTTGGTCTGTTGAGCGACAAAGTGAATTTCTTCAAAAATTCTATATTGTAAGTGAGATTAGAACACCATTGTTTCTGAATAACTTTCTGAATTCCAAAAAAGGATCCAAGAATTTCTCTTTATTGGATTTTTACTATTTTAGCTACTTCATTAGGTCACACATACAAAAATCAACATTGTTAATTTAAGGGTTAATTTGGTCATTGTTTGACATTTTAGCATATGCCTATAATTCTTGCTTTGTTCTTCCTAGCATATGGAAGAACGTTTGGAGAGTCATGTTGTGTTTAAAGGGACCACTCCAGCTCAACTACAAACTGCCTTAGATGGAGTTGAAAAATATGTCATGACTAAGATATATAAAATGTGAGTAATATTTTTGTTGAAGGCCCAATCTGTGTTTAGAAGTAAATTATTAGGAAAAGAAAGACCAATGAAATCTTTCCAATGCAATATTTCTATGGTAATAATCCATTACTGTGTTGTTGCTCCTTCCCGCTGCTTTATACTGTAAGTGGTCCCCGACCACCTTCAGCCCCCCCCCCCCCGCATTATCATCTGTGACACTTGGTAGACTTGTAGGACAGAATTCCTTGGGTAATCCGTAAATGAAAGGCGTTTTATAGTAAGAAACAAATTTAAAACTTCATATACCCAGGGTTTTTTGTCCGCAATCGACCGACGATGAACTCAAGGATTTGGAAATACAGAAGAAGATTCGTCAACTCAAGTGGGTTACTAGGCAACACTTGGACGCAGCCATCGACCTGGAGAACAGTAAGGTCCTGGAGTTATTGGAAGACGCACAAAATGGTAATCAGCTTTCTTTCTAATCTATCTGGCTGTAATTTTAAGTGCGTTCGTTCGTGCTTGTTTATATATTTCACCAGGCAATTCTGTTCCCGTGAAAGTTGGAATTCGTCAGCGATTGAATCGCTTCCTCCGTTTATTTATATTGGAGGAAATCGAGTTCATTTCATCCCTGATAAGAACTTGATTCCTGCCGTACAGCATGTTCTCGTCTTGTATTGAAGTTTTGTTGTTCATTTTCAGATATTGTTGAGGTAAATACGAAAAGAGCTCCGCAAGACAAGTTGGCGTGTATAGTCAGATGCAGCAAACGTGTGTTTCGTATCCTTAACGTCCTGTGTTGTCCACACTAGTGGGTAGATATAGGAGTGGTTGGGTTATACCTGGAGAAAGGACGCTTCTAAAGTCAGAATTATAGAAATAGCCAGTGTAGACAGAAAGGGAACTTCATTCAGAACTAGGCAACACTGCGAATCAGGTAGAGACAGATAGAACAAAAGAAAAACGGAGAACTACGTTAAATTATATCCCGAAGTGGTACAAAACTTATTTGGTCCACGACTACCAGCTCAACTGGAAAAATAACGATGTTTACTTTAACACTCGCAAAGATATTATTCGTCTTTCATCACCGGATGGAGGTCCTGGCAGCGCTGACGAATTCTTACCGTGTCTTATATATGTTATATTAAAGTCCAATCCTACTAAGCTTAACTCAAATATCCAGTAAGTTCTGGTTAATTGTTGCAATAATTTGCTTGTTTTAAGGGAATGATATCAAACAATCGTTCTTTTCAGATACATAACAAGATTCTGTAATGCTAACAAACTAATGAGTGGTGAAGCGGGATATTATTTTACGAATTTGGTTTGTATTTTGTTTTGAAGATTTTTGTATGTCTATTATGTTGCAAGGTCTATTGTGATTCAGTTCCATTTTACGAGTGAACGAGTAGAGAAATTTGTTCAATTAGCATGAGTTTTCATGGATTTTTCTTCGTTTTGCCTTGGCACTTTTTTCTCTGTGACTATTAGAAAAAATCTTAGGAATAGAAAACAGAGAAATTGAATAAAATGACGCTGTAAACTAGTACCCAGTCAAATTAACACCAAGACCTACTGTAACTAAACCTGTGTTTCCATATATATTTAGTGCTGTGCAGCAAAATTTATCGAAATGATTGACGCCCAATCTCTGTCACTTACCGAAGAAGAATTTAATCGGTATAAGTTAAATCTTTCCTTTTTTTTCACATGATTCAAGTTATTTTATTTGATAAAAAAATGCAATCAAACAAAACAACAACCACAATTGTTTTTTTTTGCCAATTAAGTTATATGAATGGTGAACAACCTCCAGGTCCGTCAGAAGATCCAAATCCTGAGGATGAAAACATGTGTGATGGTCTTAAACTAATGCAGGTGTGAACATAAATCATCTTTGACAAAATTAAGTCCCATTTACACTATCCGATTTGTCGTATACGATTCTTATCCTGGCGTATGTGAACGTATGAACACACGTACAAACATGACACTTTAAATTCCACCTTGAACAAAATGAATAAAGATTGTGGCATTGGCCTTTTTTTGCATCAAATTGCATACAACTTATAGGTGTAGTCTAAATAGGCCTTTATATAGTTGTTTATAACTAACTATACGTTGATAACGTCATTGCTTGCGGCGCCAGACCCAGTCGTCTCGTTGACTATTGTCTTTGGGATAGAATAAAGAGCGGACTAGGAGACCTACCCGATGCAACGTACCCTTGTTTTGTGATATTCTGTCCAAAAGGCGGAGTAGACAACCATTACACTAAATACAATTAACGTTCTTATTGGCCAGAACCTGCAAGTTATTGACTGATTATTAATTGCGGATAACATATATACGTAATGAGACATACTCGATGACACAAACATATATGGTTCCGAATCAGGAGACTCTTTTAATCCTCTTAAATTTTAATTGGAGTAATACATATCACTTGTACAATTCCGCACCACTTACCTAATATACTGTAGTCTAAATTCTTCGACTGCCTATCCTAGTGTCGTTATACATAAAAGAACCTCACTTGAGACCATTTCAATCATGCATGTTACATGGGCAGACTAGGAATATCAATCCTCCAGTAACATGGGCACATCAGTAATTGACATGTTCCTAGTTTATGCGTTAGTAGTAGTATAAACTTCTTTTCTCAAGGAAAACTTGGATAATTTAGCTGAATTAAGAGAAGGACAACTAAAATGGAGACATAAAGCAGTTCAATTACAAAATGATATCGCTTCGTTCAGATCAGACGTTACCAAAGAGGTATGTAAATCTAAGAATCGACAATTACGATTGATAGTCGATAATAACGTCACAAGATTATCGCTTTCAAATTAGAAGCACCTAAGAAATATGATTTTAAATTCTCCTATTTCAAGTTTTACTTTCACTATGCTTAATTGAATCCACGGCCGGGTCGTGAATGTAATCTTTGTGTGGTGATTACTTTCATTAATAAAACCAGAGTGGCGATAATTGCGATGGATTATTTTATTTTGACCAATGAATTGGGGAATATACGCCATATTGCCATAACACGAGCAAACAATGCTCCGAGTCTCGTGTGTAGGGGAAGGATCACTCGAGAATATTTTGCATCTTTGCAAATATAGCTCGTTAGAGTAAATCGTAAAATTCATTGCTTCCACCAAGTTGGTTCTAAATGAAAACTTAAAATGGTAATGCTGTGACGTGATTCTATTTGGTCAATTTAGGGCTTCCGAATTTAGAGCATCCTGAGTAAATATATAGTATTAAACGAGCTTCCAACTGGTGAAAAGACCGCCTTCTCGTATTCCTAATTTCCTTTACAATATATTCTATAGTACATAACCCAGTTTTCACTATACAGAGTGAATTTGCAGTGTTCCGCCACCCCTGAATTTAGGCCCTGTTTACACTATACCAGATTCGCATGGTCACAACATCAAAAATATCCATCGTAATTATCGCTACTCTGGTTTTATTAAATGAAAGCCAGAATAGCGATAATTACGATGGACTATATAACTGGTTGCCGTGAACTCATTAACATCAAAAATATGTTGATATGATGGCATGATTGCTTTAACATGATTTGTCAAATAAGGAAGTTCTGGGGACAGTGATACCATAAAACATGTCGTGACCATGTGAATCCGGTATATTGTAAACGGGGTCTTAATCATATGACTAGCCCTACATGCAATGACATGACCACTGTATATCAAACTCCTTAGGTTGAAGGAATTCTAAATGGTACCAATAACGGACAATTAAAATACCTCAAGCAATATTTAGACAAAGACTCGGGGAGCCAAACGGAAAAGAATGTGAATCCCGATAGTCAAACAACCTCTGGTATTGTTAGCTAATATTATTTATTAATTATTGAATGAACGTATTTAACTCCATGAATATCTAACCTTATAGAAACATATAGTTCGGTTTTGCTTTATTGTCTCTTTTCCATGAAACAAAAACTGCAATGTTCGAAAGGCTATCTTTCATTTGTGGAAATTATCATCGGGACAGTTACTAGTATAGTTTCTTTTGTGTTTACGCCAAAACAAAGACACGACCATTTTTTCTAAGTTTTCTGCAAAATATCTAATTCATTCGGCTGAACTTTTTAAAACTCAACATCTTACTTGAATTTTCAATAGCTATAGTTAGAGTGTATACAATCCAACTTTTACGGTCAAATACTCTTCGTTCCTGTTTAGTCTGTCCACATAGGCGTAGGGTAGGAACGTGCCGTTTGTCATGATGACGTTAAAATAGACGTCATTCACTTTGCTAGATACGCCCAAGGGGACACGCCTCTAAAACTTATTTTTGCAAATTTAAGAATATTGAAGATATTACACAAAATAAAAGTTATACTTTTAATGGAATTGTTCATCTAATATTTTTTTGATAATATTCAAAAACTCATCTCTCTGACTCTATGGATAACATTGGATCACTGTTTTTCAATGACCGAGGAAGGAAACTCTTCCGTAGCTAGGGAGTCGTTATAAATATTCTTTTACCAGTTACGAATACCTCTTTTATACTGATAGTAAATATAGGAAGTATATGACAATATAATTTAACACCGATTAATTCAATATTGATAAGACAACATAGATAGCTAGATATATACATCCATTTATGCATCGTCCATGATTGAGTTCGTAAATATAACCAGGGCGCTATAAAACACGCATGTTGTGTTTTATAGTGCCCTGGTCTAACCAACAAGTTACTGTACATTAGAAAGAAATATTGTTTTTATTGTGAGACATACAGCACGTCCGATTGTGGCATTTTGTGCGTCATAGTTCAGCTATTGTTCTCCTTGGTTGATGAATAGTTTAATCTGCTTTTTTATGAAGAAAGTATTGTAAATGAAAAAATTCTAACAACCCACATTACATAACTCAGTATTGCAGAAGCCGACACTATATGCCATAAAAGTTAATTCTTGTATAGAGTATCTACCTATTTAGGAACTTTTTGTGAACAACCGGAAATTATGGGGGTTGGGCGTGCTAAAAAAGCCACCTTTATGAACTTTCGTGTCGCCGGAAATATGAAATTGTCTGACTTTCCGATTTGTGCCTGGGAATGCAGGAACATGCTATATTGTTCCCGATGATATATTAATGAGCCGTACTTGCTTCTTATTGGTTCCTTTCAAAGTCCCTTGAGTCTGATTGGTTCAACAATGTTACAAAATATGCCAGGCTTCCCTCAGCTGAAAGAGAAGTTCGATGTTCTGCTAGAGAAAAAAATTTGCTAAAGCAAAGTAGACTGATATTTGCTTTATGTTTTCAAGTCTGTGCGAAGTAGCACTTTGTAATATCTTGTATGGAAAAAGAAAGAAAGTGTGGCTATAATTCTGGCAAAATAAAATGGCAATTGTGTTAAAACAGCTACCTATAGACGACACGAAACGGTGCCCTTGTGCACCGCCTCCAAGCCCCCAGAGTGGAGCTCGAAAAAAATTCTGTTTCGACAAGTGTTCACCAAGCCCGTTTAGCGCAAACGAAGACAATGAAGTTGATATACGAGAGTTTTTGGTAGCATCTTTATCAAGAATGAATGTTGGGAGTTCTTCTCTTAAACGAAAACAGAGAACAGAAACGAGCGAGTATCCAGCCTTCGACGTCTGTGGTTCGACACGGAATGGCAAGAAAGTCAAGAGCTCTGGTTTGAACAAACAGGCTCTGTTACCGCTCATTACTGCTGTAAATAGCAGTTTGGCTGTTGAAGGACGTAAAAGAGAAATAATGCAGTTAAATTAAGGATTTTGCTTGGAAGTGGAGAAAAGTTATGATAACTACTGTAACTTCGCCACGTCTGTCAGCGCAAATTGACTACGTCCGACAAGTCAAAGAACATGCTCGCATGCACTGGATCCATTTCATGACCTTGCTCGTTTGTTGAAGAAATTTTACAGGGAACAATCTCCTTTTTCAGTGGCAGAAATCTTTAGTACGGAAAGCTTCGAAAGTATTTGGTTTCTTTCATGAGATATTGCTTCACATGGGGTCTTTGTTTAAAGCAAATATTTTTTATCGCTCGTGAGCTCTGTGTACATAATTTTCATGATCGTGACATTGAACTGTTGAAAATCACGAACATAAATAAAAGAACATTTCTGAATTCTTTAGAACGCTTAGGTCATAAAGTACCAATTCAAGGAACATTTCTTTATTCGTCATCTTAAAGAAGCACCTATGTTATAATTTATACACAAAAATTGAATGTACAAATTGCAGATAAATTTTATACAGATAAAGGCTGATATGCAGTTGTAATATATTTTTTAAAAATGTCAGAATATTTCTAAAGATTAAATAGGGTTTGAGAATTTTGTATAATCATTAGTGCAGGGTTATAGAAATGCAATATTATTATCTAGTGTACATATTTAGATGTAGAGAATTTATGATAAGCACCAATTTGAATTTGTTATAAATCAATTTGTTTGAAATTTTGAATTTTTCAGTTGTTATTTCTACTTCTGTGAGTTTATGAAATGGAAGTTGAATGCCCAAAAGGGTTGAAAATATGTGTTGCCTGGAGAACAATAAAATATTTTTAGTTGTTTTTATATTGATGAAGGCAAGTTGAGTGGGTGTGTTAAGGGTGTCTTTGTTGTGTAGGAACTCTGCAGCATATGGACTATTGTTTTGGCTATGCTTTGTTTTCAAAATTAAACTGTTTAATTGCAATTATCCTCTAAGAATTTTGTGAATTCCATGCTTTTGTGGTTAATGGTCATGTCTTGGCAGTCCATACACGTAGGAGGATTAGATTCAAGGAAAGTAGTCATAGTTGTATGTTAGCAATCACTAAATGATTTGGTATGTCACTATCCAAATGCAACAAACTAAAGTAATAGGGGAATATTTTGTATAGATTGATAGGTAGTAATGCTGTTGAAACATATATGGTATTAGTGAAATTAGATATTGTCACAAAACAAAAGACCATCTGCAGTGATACTGCACTATATTTGTGGTAATGCAATCTTGCACCTTGAACTTGACCTTGAAAGATTTGTTGAAGGTGAAAAGTACCATCCAGATGTAATGCTGAACATAGTGGTGTTGGATTACTGATTTTACCAATATTTTATTGTATATCACCAGGTGTCTTCTAAACAGATGATGTCTTCCAAACTTTATCAAGAGATCTTAGAATATTGGCATGGGGTGCATATTGAATTGGGTCAGTTCAAGAAGTGAATATTCACTTCTTAATCTAGCTTGTTATTGCAGTAGTACTGTTATTTAAGTCTGCTTTTGTCTGTATTGATAATGCTATTGCATCTCGATAAAGCCAGACTGTTTTACTATCCAGTGGTACCATCTACAGGACAAACAATTCAAACAAAGTAGGTTTGACTTCTCAACCCATTAATTTGCAATGTAAATATGCTAGCCAGTTAATGGATAAAATACAATAGCAATCAACTTGGAAATGTTAATAAGAATTAATAAGAGACAATTTTAGCAATAATTTGATTTTAGTATGTTTGCGTAAACTAATAGTATAATTAATAAATACTTCAAATCCAGTTTTAAAAAATTTACAACAGAATCCATAAAAAACAACACAACACAAGACTAAATTCATTTCTAAAAGATGGCTCAAGACTATACATTACTATTATATAACACTACAGATGTACCACCACTCTAATGATAGATTATCACAGGTGTATTCTTTATTTACCTATAGTATTTATCACTGGTAGTGGCCAGATTGGAGTATTATTCATACCACCACACACAACTTATGCATATCAGCTGAGTTAAAAATAATTAAACTAAATGTAAAAGGTTCATTTTGTCACAAAAAAGTCCTAATAATATATAGCTTGGTTATCAGAGTAAATTAAGAAAATTGCTAGAAATCATTAATATTCAGTGATTAATATCTAATAAAATGTGCCACTTCACCATTCCATATTTTTATTTTTAGCCATAGTTAATCTTGGGCTGTTTTCAGAATAAAACTGAGAATACCATTTCCTATGTTTTTTTATTCCTATATCTTCTTTCAGAAGTAGTGGCTTTGAGAGATATGTCTTGTAGTTCCACACCATCACATCTCGTTCAAGCTGTTGTATAGAAAATATTAATTTAGCACTGTTGATCTATCTTTAATGCCTTATTTTCATGCTTATATTCATGCAGTCATGATCACCTTTACCAGTCATTTAAAATCATTATGTTGATGCAATTAAGTTGTTAAAACAAGAGTGTACAATGTTGTGCTGCACCCTTGAACAGCATTGTTAACAATAATTGTTGAGCCATCAATACCGATAGTTGAACATTGATGGCTCAAAAAGATTCAACATCGTTGTATTTTGATGATCATCTAGTGATATCATAGGCAGCCTAGAAATAATGAATGTTAATTATTCATTCTAAAATTGTGTTTTTGTTCTTGTGGTGCTCACATTCATGCGTATGCAGGAGTCTACCCATTATAAGTCATGATAATAGACTGAGTAAATTTGCGCAAACACACCCAAGTGCCACAAGAACAGAAACATGATTTTAGAATAAATAACACTCATTTCTGGGCTTCTTATGGCCACATCAATAACATTAATAATTCAAAGCACAAATAGTGTTGTACTCATTATCCTTTACCTGTGTTGCTTCTGCATATAACATTAATTTTCCTATTATATTTGGACAAGAGCCATAATTTGTTTGAGTTAATTTTTGTAAAAGTGGTTCAACAGGGGTGACCTCGTGAGTAAATACGCCTTTAAAAAACATTGATTCCCATGTCATGTAAACAATGCCAGGACCAATCTACAAAAATAGAAAAAACTATATATAAAATGTAATTGGTCAGAACTGATCATTTTGGATGCTGGACATGAATAATAAGTGTATTTGTCAGGGTCATAGACTAGCCCAAAATGAGTGGGGGATCCAACTGTGAAGTGTCAAATTATTATATATTTAAGTCATTAAAAAATTGATTGGGGTATAAACTGTATACATACTATCCCTTTACCTGTTTCGCTTTGACATAGGTATCAAAAAATGATAAATGAAATCCAAACAGATGAGCCTTTTGAAGAATTGAAAGCACTGAGCAATGCTTCTCATCTCCTTCAAGTGGTGTCCATGTGGCAATCCACTCATGATAGCCAAAATTCCAAAAACTACTAAAAATTTTGTTCAGATTCTTGCCAGATGCAATCAGTGGTGTGTGAAGTATGTTTAGATGGTTAAGATCTCCACCATTTTCTGGCAGGTCCTAGTAGTAAAGAAAATCTTATATGAGGCCTAAAGGTAATTAGTTCATTAAATCATCAAATTAAAATCTTTATTCATCTGACTCCTTAATAATGCACTTTTCTTAACTCTCTCAATATTGGGCATTTGGATTGGGCCATCTATAAACACAGTAAGTATATTATCATTTTAAAGTAATTGTACCAATTATTTTTGTATAATCACAGATACCCATCTGGGAACGGTTGTATCAAGCCTGTTTAGCTTAAACGGTAGTTGAGCTCAAAATAGATCTAAGAAAGTCTATTGTTTTATTCAACAAGCAAACTAAATGTTTTTAACCTTAATACAAAGATACTGTTTACAACTACATATTCAGCGCATAATTTTCAAGTTGACTAATTTATTTTGACTTATCCACCGTTGAAGCTAAATGGGCTTGATACATCCGGCCCCAGAAAGACAATGCCACTATTTTTTGCATAAGTGTGATTTGTCATGATTCGTCACTCAGTAAGTACTGTAAATAGAAGCAATCACACCCCTGCCAATATTCAAATATTACTCCATTTTAAACATAGGCAAGGGGGTGATTTCTTCTATTTATGGTACTTGCTGAGTGATGAATCATGATGAATCACACTTACACAAAAAAACAATGGAGTTGTCTTTGCAGGGCAGGTTGTATTCTATTCACTATTCACCACATGGTTTTTTCAATTGCTTTAAATTCTCTTTAATAATTGTTTGTTCCAAAGCTGAAATTTTATTGCCTTTTAGCATTTTTAGAATGGCTGAAAAATTCGCTATCCAGTGGAGAGCACTAATCTAAAATACCAAATTTGACTTTTTAACAATTAAAATGCACTATTCACTATTCAGGTTTCTTCATTAAAATAGATGGTCACTACAGACTGAGGTTTCTTTCGAGTGATACTCCACCCTAGAACCAATCAAGGCATTGCAAAGGAATTAAAAGAAGCTTGATTTCAAATTTACTATTAATACCTACCTCTATATGGCAGTTTATGTTATGCATTGTCTCACCGCAGTAGTGCCAAGTGCCATTCTTTATTTCTTCAATATCCTCAGGAAACCAATCAGGCTCCTCCCCTTCTGCATGGTACCACACGTAGATCCTCTTATTTTTCTCAATCACGTTCCAGGACTTCGTTTTAGCAAATTCTGGTACGCATTTAGTATAAGGCACCTCCACACATCGTCCAGTATTTCCTTCAAACCGCCAGCCATGGAAAGGGCATTGGACGCAATTACCTTTGACTTGTCCGCCAACTGCAATGTTAGCCCCAAGATGTGGGCAATACGCATCCAGTATATATGCTACTCCATCTTCACCTCGAAAAACCGCCAAATGTTCGCCTAAAATTTGCACATACCGAACAGCTTTGACTGGCAAGTCGGCGGATAAAATAACAAAAAACCATCCATTTGGGTAAACGGGAGGAATGTCACCAATTTTTCGCCTCTTTCGAACTTGGTTTGCAGTTTCGCGTTTTGACAACCCCTCCTCTAAATATCCCGTATCAGCTAAATTGCATTTATAATCTAACGGCGAGAATAACAATCGCCACAATCGGGTGAAACTGTAAACAGCGATAAACACGACGGCAACTATGTGTAGGCTGAGATACTGTACTAATATGTACCTTGCATGACTATACGCATGAATGAACACGTTACTTGAACGTTGAAAGTTTATAACACCAGACGCAAATCCGTAAAAATATCCCGGCAGTTCAAGAATGTTGCCAAATAATGGTGAAGCACTTGCTGCGACTATTAAAACGATAGCAATCAAAGATTTTCGAAAGCGAATCATTTTAAAGGAACTTTCAATTTCGCGGACCGCCCTTGCAGTTGCAGGTGTTGGTAAAAATGAGCAATTTTATTATTTTCAACATAATATAACTTTGTTTACATTCAGGGAACTTGCTACTTGAACTTTGAACATGGGAACATTTGATTGGTTTGCCTTCGGGTTATATTTTTCTAAAAACCAATCACAAGTGAGGTATTGTTTCGAATAGCCAATTAGAATAGCGAAAGAGGTGGCGTGAGTTACAATTATTACAAATATTACACATTATTTTTGAATTGCTTTCTTTTGAATTTTCAAATATATTTATTCCTAGTAATCGTTTTATAATTGCTTGAATCGACGTATGTTGTTTAGTTGAAAGCTCACGCAAAAACGTTCCCAGTAAATTGGCAAAATAGAATTTCTATATTACCAGGAATTTTTTGTCAAGAATTTAAAACATTAGCCATGCGCTTCGGCCTTTTTTTAATTTTACGTTACCCAATCTAATGCGATCTTAAAAATCCAGTGTAAACAAAGTATTTATTCAGCAAATGCTCTCCATGATTGTGCAGCATTAAAAAAGATTAACATTACAAATTGCCCTAGCCGTTAGATATTTCTCAATTAATATTTTTGCAAATATCGTTACATCTTTTATGGAATTTGACAATACCAATATATGTTTTTTTCACGGATGATGAATTTTAAAATTATATCTATTTTGACTTTTTCCAAAGTTTGCCTACGCAACGCGTACGTTATGTTTTGTCCACCTTTTACAAGGAATGTACGGTATGAACTTCCCTATTCACGATCACGTAAATTTACATGTTGGTATAAATGCGAGTTAAAAATTCATTAACTTTTACAGTTAATGAACACGAGAAATTTACATAGCTATGCATCAGGATCAGTGATCCGGATCAATGAAAACAATAAATAATTTCAGTGGTCTAAAGCCGGTTTTCCACTAGAATAGACGGAATTTTTCGATCGAACAAAATTTTTCGCTCGATTTTCTTTTCAATTGTGAGAATTCGACCCTAGCAGATTCCCTTCACAGGTCACAATAGACCTTTTTCATAATGACGTCACGCGGAAAGTCTGGTGTAACACGAAGTTTGATTGGCTCGATAGTTTTGTTGAGCCAATCAAATTTCGTGTAACATCAGACTTTCTGCGTTGACGTGAATAAGAATGAATGGGGGAATCCGAGGAACTCGGGAGCAGGAGAACTGAGAACAGAGGAATGGAAAGAATGGAGGAAATGCAGAGTGCGAGAAAAGGGGAAACGGGGGAATGTGGAACAGAATCGCGGGCTTTGGTTTCGTTTAGCTGTTCAATGACTCCATAGTTCCACCATTCTACCTGTTCTCCGATTCCCCAATTCCCACATTCCCCGATTCCCCGTTCCCCCTTTTAAAGATAGCCCAGCCCAGCCAATCCATAGAGATTATAAATAACACTGTTTTAAAATAACAATGTTTTATTTATAATCTCTATGAGCCAATCAATGCAGGACAAGTTTGTTTTTACGAGACATTTACGACGAATGTCGAAGCATTAGTCGAGTTACTTTCGTAATAAGTTCGTGTATAATCGGTGTCAATAAACCAACATGGCTTCCAGGAAGGGTGGAAAACAGGGCTTGCTTTCTAAGGTAAATTTCTAATGATTGCTTATAATGGAATTACTTATAAATTCAAAGTAAATCGAGTGCTATTATTTAATAATTTAAAGTCAGTTATGGTGGCCTCAGTTGACTGGTTAGTAGCAGTTGTTAAAGCTTTATAATAGAAGCAAAGTATTAAAAGGAAGATAGTGCATAATTTCTCCAAAACATTTTTATAATTGAATGCACTTTAGTGGGAAATTGGAGATGAAAAACCAGTCCAGATAGATAAATGGGATGGAAATGCAGTTAAAAATGCATTAGATGACGCTGTTCGAAAGGTTGGTAATTTTTTTCATGTACTCAGGCTCAGCTATATGGGGGCTGAATCCTTATGCAAAATTTCCTTATGAAATAATGCAAAATGTCATGTAGGTGTGTTGCTGGAACCATTTCATAGATGCATTTCATCAATGCTATTCTTTGGTGATATCTATATACATTAATTTTTTGTAGATTTTGACAGAACACCTCAAATTTGTTGAAAACAATAGTGTGATTGACACAAGGCTTGCATTATGCACAGTAGCTTGTCTCTTTGCTATTGGTGCCTTAATATATGATTACATCACCCCCTTTCCTAATTCTCGTACAGTGTTGATCCTTTGTGTACTTGCGTATCCTTTTGAGAGTTTGTGTAGCTGCAGAGTGATCATTTAAAGAGGGTCACCTATACTTTTTGTGTGAAGTGTGATTGTGGTATTTTTACCAGTTAAATGTGATTGATGATTTACTAAATCTATGATACTTGCTTGGAAATTTCTACAAGACTAAATACAACTTCAGATTTATAGGTGACCTGTGAACCCAGACTAGAATTGTGTGTGATCTGTGAATTACCTATTTTTTGTGAGCTGAAATGTAAATGTTTTGGATTTTACCTTGAAGCAAATGAATCAGCCTGTACAAGGCAATCTATAGAAACACTTCTTGGAAACTTTGACACTGTTTGGCTAAGCAAAGCAGTCAAAGCACCACACAGCAGGGAATTATAGCTCTCATTAGTCACTCTATACTAGCCTGGGAACAAATAGCCTCAAATAATATGGTGTGTCTATGTGTCACATAGACCTTGAAATTGGGAAAATACTAAGTCTATTGATCAATTTAGATATTTATCCATGAAAATATTTTGAATTATTACATAAATTGTAGCTGTTTTGAGTTTTATAGTGTAAAAGTGAAAGGCCTCCATGATTTTACGTGACATATTGTAAACAGGCTGGACATTTTTATGTGAATGCAATGTGAAATGTTGCAATCAACAATATTTTGTAAAATATCTGCTAAGGTGATTGATTCACTAATTCATGATTCATCATAATGTCCAATAATCATTGGAACAAATGTCAAAGATATCTGTTAAGGTTAAATCAGCCTTTAAAAAGGGGAAAAAAATCTTTTGTATTCCTTGACTGACTAAGATATTTTATCTTAATGGGTGTATTAACAGTGTTCACAACATTTAGAGAAAAGAACTACATAGTGTTTGCAAATGAAAAAGATAAGGCTGGAATGGTAAGCATTAATTGGTGATTATGAAATATTTTGTTTCAGCCCATGTGATAAACGTTTATTTTATTGAACTTTTGCAATAATTATAAGGGTCCAGATCACTTGTGGAGTGCACGATCAACACTGAAAAGATATGATGATATTTATGAGTTGACACTGTGTTATAAAGATGGGGAGACACAAAGAAGTGAAGAACAAACTATGAAAAAGTATGATAACAAAGCGTAGATAAGCTTGATTTAGCTAACTTGCACAAGTTTTAGCTGCTTTTGTAGTTTGTGACTTCCTGTACAACATTATGTGACTGTTCATATAACAATTTAGCATATCATTGAAACCTATGCATGTGTTTTAGGCTTTTAGCTTCTTTGGTCCTATTTTTGTTGTCAAATGTCAAAAAAATGTATTCATTTATTAGATCTGTTGCTTCATGGTTCGATGAAAATGGGGAACTTCACTTCGACATCTTCTTAAATGATGTAATGGAGATGCAAAAAGGTTTAAAAAAGGAGAAAGCACAGTAGCAGAATTAATTCACCATTGTTGTATAATGTGCTGTAGTTATATTAAGAACTCATTAAACATATCTGCACATGAAATTGGTTGTTTTATTAGCTCTAAGCCAGGGAGATGGGAGGGAAGAGTTGTCATTAGTCAGGATAGATTCAAGTTTGTTGCATAGGAGTTGAGTGCTTGGCTCCAGTGCTTATCATATATTTTAATGCTTAGGTTGAAAATCCAAATGAAAAAAGGCATGGTGCACTAGCCCCAGTGTAGTACTTAACAAGGACACTGCATGTGCTCAGCATGTTTTAAAAAACCAAATTTAATTTTGGGCACCAGTTTTGGGTACTTTGCCTGAATGCAGTCTAAAAATAATTGGGCACTGATTTATATACTTACCCCCCTAAATTTGAATTGATACCCAAATTTGCACCCCAGGAAACACATCACTGTCATTAGTTTCTTAGGTGCTTCGTAGGTTCATATTTAAATAAAACAATAATTAAATAATTTCTATTACCTATGCCTGACCAGATAACAAGAGGTTCCTGTAACCTTAGACTGTTACAATGCTTTGATATTGTAACGGTGGCGAGCTTCGTTTTTATGGTCTTAAAACATAAAAAATACTGAATGATTCCTCCGAAAAAGTTAATTTGGTCAGTGTTATGACAAATTTGGGCAAACATACGCACTTCCCATTATCCCACAAATACAACCATACTGATAAAGTTCTGAAAAATATTTTAAACATTGGTTGGTACAATATTTCAAGCTGCATTTTTTAGAGGATGGGAATCTGATCTGCGCCAGTAACTTTTTATGTTTTTTAATTTTTAGGCATATAGTTTTCAGTGCTTCTGATTTTAGTTTGTTTTGAATTTTTTAACAGAAATTTAAAAAACGTAGCTTTGGGATTTTAATTCATGCTTTATGTACAAGCAGTTTACTTTTAGTTGAAACGCGAGATAAAAATCTTAACAGAATGGAGAGTGTGTGATAATAAATGTGCATGTGTTTATTACAGACAGAATAGAATACTGAAACTCTATATGCACCTGACCTGGGTCTTGAGCCAATTAGTGACAATGTGATTAGGAAATAAATTCAGTGAACTGTTATCCTTGCTTTCTGGGGCATAAAATATATTTAGTGCATGCTTAGTGCATAATACTTGCATGACTGACTAGCAGTTTATTTGTTGGTGGAAAAGATTACTTTCTAAATGTTCCATAAAATCTTTAATGACAAATTCTATTTTTTCTAACTTATTAGTTTACAATGTGAAATTTAAACAATTATGTGGGTGGAAAGTGCTTTGCAAGCCACTATTGCAGGTAAATGCATAACACAAGCTAATTTAATACATATATTTTTTAACACATTTCTCTGCTTATCATACACAAGATAATTAAATCCCTGCAATGCATTTATTGCAATCTAGTTCTGTACACATACAAAACCTTCCAAGTTTCCCAAAGCAACAGAGAAAATATCAATTTTCTCACTGACCACAAATAATAATCAATTACAATACTACATAGTTCTTTAATGGAATGTAAAAGTTTTAAAAGGTAAATAATTTGGTTCTTGATGTGAATTAAACTGTCTAGCATCTATGTTTCGCACATTCCGCGAACTTCTCCTTTATTCCGTTGCTCTTCAAGTTCTGCTTTTGTCTTTTCTTCCAATTCCCGGATGTCTTCTATCGTCAAGCCAAACCATTTGTCCAACCAACAAAATAACTGCCGATGGAAATTGGTTAGCAACCGGGTAACAGAACTAACAATTAGGCTTTCAACCTTCGTTTGTAGAAACAACCATTTAAATTTGATACGATACAATTTGTAGCATGTCATAACAGGCACATCTTGGGTCTTGATGTCTTCTTGCCAATTTGGACCCAATGGCCCACGGCCGGTTTTCTCTGAGTGGAATTTGGTTGGATCTTCTTCCTCCTTGTAATCCCGCGACTCAACTGATGCAGCAATATCAATATCAACGATCTGTCGTTTCTTCAATTCATCGGCAGATAACTCATGTACGTTCTCGTTATCTTTATTCCCAGGTTTATGCCAGGTATCAATTATAATATGAAAACTGTCCTTCATGTATTCATTGGTGTATATGGTTCGACAAAACGGATAGGCGTTCCACGCCTTTTCGTGAATTTCTAACGAACCTGTCGGCGCTAAACGACGCACATAACCAGGAACTTTTGACGACAAATGAATGACTTTGTACGTATACTGACATTTACCAAAGGTTTTATGTTCCATAGGTTTGTTTTCGACAACTTCAATGCCATCACCACCCCCAGTCTCATTCTTGCTTGCTTCAGCCACAGCGTACAACTGGCCGATCTTGTATTCGTCGACTGAGATTGGTAGAGGGATACGATATTCTTTTATGACACTAGTTGATGGGAGTTGTTGTTCTTCAGCCATGATTTCAGCCTTTTAAACAAGTCGATACACGAAGCAACAGGAATAAACTTCGAATGAAATAAAAGCCACAAAACCGCAAACGCTTGAGGATTTGTCACATGCTCTGAGTGTAAATGTGTACAATTATGTACTATAGTGGTTTTATAGCAGCGAACATTATGTACATCTGAGTACAATTTTGTCATAACCATCTAAGCGTATTCCTCCCAGGCTTAGTTGCGCAATATATTCACCATTTACTCATAATCCCCAATCATGACGACACAGATTTGACCAATGATGGCCTGAAAGAAGTCATGTTGTGATCAGTAAAGATGTCGCAGACATGTTAGTACGTTTTTAAATATCCACGGAGCGCTACGTGACCAGCGTGACTATCTTAACTATGGGGTGGGACGCCTACACCAGTGATCTGCTGCACGCTACGCCCATGTGGATATATTAACTGACTTTATCTCTTCCTTTTTCATTATTATATTCTCTTTTCTTTTTTAAAATTAAAACTGAAACAACATTTGTCTGGTCCCGTAGAAACCATTTACAACAAGATTGATTGGGAAACGATTGCAACTCATGATTATGTTTAATTTCGGTGCTGCTATTCGTAAAGCTCGTTGGTTGCACTTCTACCAGGGACGTAACTAAAACGATAATTGAGGGTGGGTGAACATCATTCATATGTTTAGTTTTGCCCGATGGATTTCTATTGTAAGCTATTGCACTTGAAATGTCCCTTGCCTTCTGCCAGCAGGGACAGCTGCCTCTGCCGCCCACCTAATTCAATCAGGCGTGCCATTATTTTACACAACTTGAAGATTCACAGTATCTTTGAAGCTATTTGAGGCTCTCTTTTCTGGCCCCCAAGTGAAGATGGTTTTTGCCTATTTGGACTTGTAATAGAAGACCCTGCTTGACAGAACCTGCTTGCTCCGGCCGAACTAATAACGCGCTGCTAATAACCCAATATCCCTTGCGCACTTAGAGACTTATTTCATGCAAATGTCGAGAATGTCGTCACAGTTAATGATATTTAATCATAAAAGAAAATGTACAAAATCACAGTTTTCAACGTTATCTCAATCACAATCACTCTCGCTCTCCTCTCGTTCTCGTTACACCCTATCTAATAAATGGTTGCAATTCTATCTCTAACGTCATGCACGAACCTTGAATAGTAACTTTGCTACTTTGCTTATAATAATGTATTTATCTATTCTTTCAGTTTCCGACACAAGTGAATGTAAATAATTCACGGTCGATATTTTTTATTCGTTACGAATATCGTCACATCGTTATACGCCCAACCTATTTTACACGTTTAAAAAATGCAAAAACATCTTTAAAAATGGAAATTTATCCAGTTGCATAAATTATTACTTACTACTTACGTAAAGGTTGGAAGAGAACATAAGAAAACGTATATTAAATCTTAGAATCACGAGTTGCCTAGGCATTAAAAATGCCGCACTTGCCCAAATAAACCGAGACTATTGAAATCACTATGTATAACAATTTTTGAATGCCTGAGCACCCTGTTGAGAACCACAAGTGTATAAATGTTTGACATTGTTTGTACCTAATCCTTTTCATCTCGTCTGTTGTCTCTGCATTATGGTGGCATCCAGAATTGCCACATTAAAATGCGGCCCCATCTAATCGCGGTCTAATAATTGTTCCAGAATGATCATGAATGTGCGCACCCCATCGCAAACAATCCTCGAGCAGTGTCCTTCCAGAGCAGTGAACAAACGATAATATTAACAGGGGAGAAATTTTCCTGAATAGTATCAAAAGCGCCTGGGTACGAGGCAGTCGACTCAATACAACCGAAGTGGAGCATATGTGCTCTGCTATAAATTTTGACACTATAATAAAGCTCATCATCATTCATCATTATCATCATCACTAACATGAATGTCACGTAAATCAGTAAATATCCCGACTGTTAAACTCATGACGGTGGAAGACTTATATATAACAATATTTATTAACGAAAACTTATACAACTTACAAGTAACAGTTCCAACTAACAACTAACAACTAACTTAAAAACTACATGAAACAAAAACTTTATACTGCTAGTGTTCATGTGATTATGACACGTGTTCATAGATAGACTGACGTCCTCGGAATATTAATGTTTATCTTAACACCCCCACTTAAACATATAATATTAACATTGATAGAAATATAACTATTTACAAAAATTGAGTTTACTCTGCTAGGATACGTTTCAGAAATACTTTCATTTTTGATCCTGTGACTGGCTTCGTAAATATGTCAGCCAAATTATCATTCGATGGAATATACATTACTTTTAACAAATGTTTCTCAATCTCAGATCTATACAAAATGATATCGTACATCTATATGCTTAGATCTTTGATGTTGGACTGGATTCTTAGCTAATGCTAATGCACCCTGATTATCGCAATATAGAATGATAGAATCAAACACATTTCTGGATGTATCTAGGTAGCTTTTCAACAATTGGAAAAGAAACTTTGCCTCTTGCACAGCAGCAGCAAGTGACATGTATTCAGCCTCGCAAGTGGACAGAGCCACTGTTGCTTGCTTTCGACTTTTCCAAGAAACCAAAGGTCCATTCTCACTCAACTGAAATCCATACCCTGTGATGCTACGCCTGTCTTCTGACGAAGCCCAATCTGCATCACAATAACCAATTAAAGTCATTGGTTTATCAACCTTCCGGAAAATAAGACCTTTATCTGAAGTACCTTTCAGATATCGTAGGACATGCTTGACAGTGTTCAGGTGATCCACTGTGGGAGCGGACAAATATTGAGAGAGTTTTGTCACGCTGTAGCAAAGATCTGGTCTAGTAGAAGTCATCACATAGACTAAACTGCCAACTATCTCTCTATATAATCGTTTGTCAGCTGGTTCTGATTCTACTCTGTCTCTGACATTCTTCGTTGAGTTCATTTCACATGGTGATGTCCTAGGCTTACAGTTTTGCATTCCGAATCTAGATAGGACTTTCTCTATGTATTTAGTCTGACTCATCTTAATAGTGCCTTCTGTACAGTTAAATTCTATTCCTAAAAACCACGATAACACACCTAGGTCTTTCATTTGAAATCTGTCTCCTAGATTTCTCTTCACCTGTGTTAAACTGTCTGTACTATTTGACGCTACTAGAATATCGTCTACCCTACGTCTACCCAAACTATTAGGATTGTAGTTGCACTACTTTCTACCTTAACATAAACGCAATTGTCAGATTCCGACTGAATAAAAGCCTCACTTGTAACTCACTTGTTAGATAAGAATGCAACACACTATTCCAATTACGACTGCTTTGTTTCAAACCATATAACGATTTATGCAATTTTAGAACAAGGTTTTCGCCATTTTTCCCTTTGACAATAAAACCTTCCGGCTGTTCTACATACAACTCGCAATCAATTGGTGCGTTTAGAAAGGCTGTCTTGACATCCATCTGATGTATAGTCAAATTGTATTGTACTGAGAATGTTTCCTTATAAATAGTTATAATCAATTTCGGGAGTTTGGGAATACCCCTTTGCGACATAGCGTGCCTTGTAGCTTTCCTTTCCGTTTGGATTATTCTTAATGGCATATACCCATCTTCCCCCCACTGCATTTTTACCCTCTGGTAGTTTCGTTAGTTCAAATGTGTTGTTATGTTTTAGGGCTTGCATTTCATCTTCCATGGCTATTTGCCACTTGGAAGAATCATCGGAGGACATTGCTTCCTGATAAGACTTGGGAGCATCTGTTATTCTGTAGCAGTAATCGATTGTGAAATTGACAAGTTCATTTTCTTCAATTTCATCGCCATCAACAAACTGCTCTAAATACTTAGGTTTTGTGCGTTCACGCCTGGGATATCTGCTTGTATTAGTTTGCTCATTGTTTGTGCCTTGATTAGTTGCAGGCAATTCGTTAGTATTATCCCCTTCAACTTGCTTTTCATCTTCACTGCTTATTGGCAGGTTGACAATAATTGGTTTTTCATTCATTTCATGTTTTTGTTTTGGGGTCTCGCTTACAATTTCAAATTTATCAGAAAAACGGACAATACGGCAACGTTTGATAGTTTCGGTTTGGGGAAAGTATACTAGATAAGCTGGACTTCCCTTATCGTACCCAACAAATATTCCTTGTTCCCCTCTCGCATCTAGTTTCTTCTTTTCCTGTTGTATGCATAGCAAACGGTACCAAAAATATGCATGTTCTGAATATTTGGCTTGTGCCGTGTGAAAGCTTGATACGGTGTTTGCTTTATTCGTGGATTATAACAGCGGTTCCTAATGTATGCGGATGTCCTAAGTGCGTAAGGCCAAAATGTTTTTGCCAACTTTGACTGAATTAATAGGCATCTAGCCATATCAAATAGTGATCTCCAATTACGCTCAATCGTGCCATTTTGATGCGGCGAATAAGGAGCTGATTTCTCATTTACTTCGCAAAAATTTCAAGAAGATCTTGAAATTTTTGCGAAGTAAATTCCGCGCCATTATCACTTCTAATGCGCTTAACCTTACCAAATGGACTTATTTCTGCCAAAAACTTCCCAGTTGCCTTTAACGAGTCACTCTTATTGAATAGAAAATAAATCATAATCATACCCGAAAAATCGTCTACAAAAGCTAATACATAGCGGTAACCTTCTCTTGCTATAGGATCTATCGGGCCGGCTAAATCACAATGAACTAATTCCAGAATATTATTAGCTCGCTTGTCTGGCTTTCTGCTTCTACATTGAGTCATTTTTCCTTCCACACATGTTCCGCAATCAAATTCTTTCTTTCCTACAATTTTCATTCCTTCAACTACACTTTCCAAGGCTAAAACATCGTTCAGATTACAGTGTCCTAAAATTTCATGCCAATCCTTCAAATACTTAGACTTGCTATCCTGTTTTGACATGCCAGATGAGATTACGCTGTTTAAGTAATATAACTTACCTTCCTGTTCTATTTTAAATTCTGTACCATCTGGACTAACTAATTTAGCATGATTAGGAGAGAAATTCACAGTGGCACCCCTACTAACTGCTGCATGGACTGAGAATATATTCTGCTTGTAAGAAGGAATATAAAGAGCATTTTTAAGAAGAGCCTTATGTGTTTTACCTTCAACACCTCAGCATCACCCCTTTTCTGCGCAACGTTGTTTGACCTTTTCCCGTCTGCCAACTCAATGAAGTGCCTTTCAGGATTAAATTGCGTATCAAACTTAACAAATTTGCTAAGATCATGCACTATGTGTGTTGTAGCCCCACAATCAACTAATATACCATTAACCTTATCAATATTATCTATATCAACACCTACTCCGAAAAGATATGACTGATCATCATGCTCACTATCATGATAATTATTATTTCTTACGAATTTTGAGGCATCGTTTGTCGGTTTCCTTGTCCTCTTCTTTTGGCATCTTTCCGTGTTGTGGGTGTTGTTTTTACAAAAAGCGCACCAGCGGTTTCTTGAACGACATTCTGAAATTTTATGTCCCGGTTTTCCACACCCATAGCAGATGATTTTTCCTTTGTCGTGCTTGCCACATTTACCGAGAACTTCTAAGACGCTATCTTCTTTTGGGTTTCCTTTTTCTGAGAGCTTTTGGGTCTCTTCAAAACTTCCTAATGAGACTTTAAACTCGCTAAACGATTGTTCTTTGTCTCTTTGCGTTACCACAGTTGAAAACGCTTTATACTCTTCCGTAGGTAATCCTTTGATGATCATCGCGATCAGTAAACTATCACTTATGGTTTCCCCAGCGGATTTTAGAGATGTGGATGCTGTCTCTGCCCGCAGCATGTAATCTGTCACAGATTCTTCTCTCGACTTCGTTAGAGAGGTTAGTTCAGTGTATAGGGATATAACACGTGGTTTGCCCTTTGATAAATAATGTTCACGCAGGATTGCCAGGGCCTTTCGTCCATCATTCACTGCGTCTCGGATAATTAGCGACAGACTGCGATCATCTAGTACTTGTATCAGTTCGGCAAATGCATCCGCGTTTTTGGTTGTGTCTGTTCGTAGTTGTTCTTCAGACGCATCATCAGCCAATGGTCCTTGTATGGTATCGCTTAATTTTTTGAGCCTTAGATACCCTAGAAACTTTACTTCCCATAACTCATACTTTTGTTCATCACCGTCGAACAATAAGCGGCCGTGACTGTGACTGGGCCCATAACCTGTTAAACTCATGACGGTGGAAGACTTATATATAACAATATTTATTAACGAAAACTTATACAACTTACAAGTAACAGTTCCAACTAACAACTAACAACTAACTTAAAAACTACATGAAACAAAAACTTTATACTGCTAGTGTTCATGTGATCATGACACGTGTTCATAGATAGACTGACGTCATCGGAATATTAATGTTTATCTTAACACCGACAGTCCCGCAAAGAGCCCAAAAATCTCTTTGAGTTCTGTGAGTTCTCTCTCTCCAGAAACGTTTGCATGTGGAAATCACATGAATTCGTGAAATGATGCAATTGCCTATCCTCAGGGAAAACCCTATAAAGCGGATACGGTTTTGTAACGGAAACTCTGCGGCAAAATAACAGCCAATAGGAACGCAATACGCTTCGTCAACAGGCTGTCTACATTATAAATATTCATCTTCAAACAGACACATGTACTTTCCACAAAATCATCTGGCGCCTTAAGAACATTTTAAGCTGTGTATTCCTTGCCTATATTCCTAGTTTCTTGCCTATATTCTTAGTTCTTCCGAGATGCCGAATAAAACTGTTGTCCTGGCGTATAGTGGCGGACTCGACACTTCGTGTATTTTAGTTTGGTTGAAAGAGCAAGGCTACGATATCATTGCATATTTGGTAAGGCCAGAGTTGAATCTGCTATTTCCGTTTAAATTTGTCTCTTGTAAATGTAATTAATGTATATTTTTGTATTGTCCGAGTAATAAGCCTAAGGTTTTATTAAGTGAATGTTTTTAAAATGCTTTTAAGTAAGACTTTTATGCAAAATAAATATGAAATTTCCCAGAAGTGTAGTTGATATCAATGTGTGTATATAAAGGTCGCAGCTTTGTTTTGGTTCGTGAATGCCTCATTCTTTCGTTAAGTCTGTTTTACCGAAACGTGTATTTAATTAACTACATACGCTAGAAATAAATGCTATTTTTCAATGAAGATATTTCTCTAAACCAATATTCTATAAGTATCAATTGTCCACCAGTCAAAACCATTTAGTAATTTTAGTTTACATGCAATGTATTTTGATCATCAGAAATTTTTTATTTCTAAGGCAGGCTTTGTTTACCTAAAATTTGCTCCACAGCTAGCTATATATTTTTGTTTGTCTTCAAAAGCTTTTAGTGTTTGCACAAGAACAGATGTTTTATTAATAACGATCGTAAGTCGTATTTAAATCCGTGCTATATGTGCCACAGATAATTAACCATTCATTGGTATGCACACGTTGGCAGCCTAATTATGAGCTTGTAGTAATGGAAAGATAACGTTTTTTTCGAATAATGACCAATTTTAACAGTTAGGGTTTTACATACTCACGTACACGCACGTAATAGTTTAAATCCTTATATAAGTTATCTTTGAAAAAACAAAGCGAATAAATGAGTTAAAAATCGAAAGATTTTAGTTTTACGCTTATTTTAGTATGCATTTGTTGGCTTAGGTGTTAAGAAATGAAAATTTATAGGCGTTCCGTTCATGGCTGCACGTGCATATAAAAAAAGCGTAAGTGAGAAGCAGCCCTTCTAATAAAACTTTCATGTGATGTCTATCACTTTCATAAAGCTGAGCCAAGAAGCCAAAACCAATGAACTCGAATAAGGACACACGGTAATAGCAGTAATTTTTTACTCAGGTGTTTTATCCTGCTTGTAAATATTCATGAATAATAATAATAAATAGTGAAAAGACTTATATGAGTTCACTGGCCAAAACATATACAAAGTCAATTACACTAACTATAGTCAATTATAACCATTGACTTCAATACTTTCTATAGCAGTGATTGGTCACCAAACAGACTGAATAAAGCTTAGAGACGGTCTATTACTATTGTGCATTGTGATATTCCACTATTGCCTACTAAGATTCTTATTGTTCGCTGAATCAATTTAATATATTGACATAGTAATAGGGTTATGAGGGAAAACGCGGAATTCAATTTCGAATTACTAATTCATCTCAATCCTTGACAACTTTCTACCAAAAATATTTGTCATCCATTACAATTTCTTACCAATCTCGTAGAAACCAAGGACAGACAGGGTATGAATGTCAAGTACTGAGTAGGCAGCATATCAAGGCCACCACTTAACCGTATCTCAGCGACACGCTAGCACAAGCATCTTTGTTTTAAGCCATTAGGCAACGTACAATTTTTGCGGCCAGTAAAAGCAGAAAGAAAGTGTCTTTAAAGATAATATAGCGGAATAGATTAATTGATTTCAATCTGTGATTTTAGGTTTTGCTAATTACTTTGAAAAAATAGCGTTTCAACTTGTCGGCAGAACATTATTAAAATTAATGGTTTTCCTTTAGAAGTTGTAAATATTTAAAATCCAATTTCTCTTTATTGCACTATTTGCTACCTTTCATTTGTGTTTGTGACACCCGAAACACGAAACACAAAGACAGTGTTAGCGTTTTTTTACCAATTACAGCAACTAATTAATAATATATTTACAATCGACTGACAAGTGCGGTTCGACAATGATTATCGCCATGCATATAGCCTTATAGGATATAGTTTTGAATAAATGAATGTTATATCGTATTTTGATTCAATCCGAAACAAATTTCCATTTCCAAAGAACTATAGTTTTTGACCTTTCCTCACGCGTGCCTCTATGTAGATTTCAATGCTTTTGGAGGTAGCCAAACTTCAAAAGTTACTAGGTATATAGCCTATAGGTTATATCACATACACACCACAGCCTACCGCTGCCTCAACCCTTGTCCAACCGTTTATGGATTATTTTCCTCTTAGCTCGCAAGTCGCAAGGATGACGGTTGTTCACCCATTACTTCTTTAAACTAAAACGTTCTACCTTTACAGCAAGTATATTGTATGTCATGAATCTATCATTCCATGGTTTATATTCGTACGAGTAAAACATTCAATTTTGCAAATCTAAAGCCCCGTTTACACAACACTCAATTTATCGGCACGGCTAAAATGGGGTCCCGTACCCATTTTATCCATGCTCAGCCTTTGTATTGTTAGCCTGGGCGCTAAAAAAATTGGGTACGGGTACCAATTTTAGCCATGCCAATAAATTGCAGTGGGCTTATTAAAACGAAAGCAGAGAATCATCATTCTTTGCACCCGGGGTTCAAGTTTCAGCAGTACTGCAAAGGCTGTATACAAATAACTTTTATATGACTTGTCCTTTAACTCTTCTAATAAGAAACTAGCAAATATTTGTCATTATAAAGGTTAAAGGTATTCGAAAGTTTGATCCTTTCAGCAGTGATACTGCATGGATTGAGGCGTTCCAATACTGGACTACAGTGATTAATAAATTCAAATTTTAATTTTTCGATATTTTTGGCCAGTTGGTTGAGGTTAAGAAATTAAAGGAAACAAACTATTGCCAACATGGAGTAATTCACTATTCAAATACTTAAAGATATATTTTAAAGATGTTAAAATCAGAAAATCTTCTTTTCTGAAACGCTAGGCAAACATTGGTCAAGATGAAGACTTCGAAGCAGCCAGAGCGAAAGCTACGAATTTGGGTGCGAAAAAGGTTCGTATCATATCATATGGTATGAAATATGAATGAAAAAGGGAAACATTATTGTTAACCCATCTGTCGTTTCCTTCAAGGTGATAATTGAAGATCTTCGAGAAAATTTTGTCACAGAGTTTATTTACCCAATGATTCAAGCTGACTCGATTTACGAAGACCGTTATCTTCTCGGAACATGTAAATGCGAGCGATTAATTCATTACCTTCAGCTCAAGCTGCATGTTACTCGATTTTTTTCATTTTTCCTTCAGCCATTGCTCGCCCATGCATTGCTCGCGGTCAGGTGAAAGTTGCATTAGATGAAGGAGCGGAATTTTTGTCTCATGGAGCGACTGGAAAGGTGTGGCAAACTTTGATCATGTGTGAAACGTGGGCTTTATTACCAGGCGCATAATATGCTAATCTTGTTTTTTTAGGGTAATGATCAAATTCGTTTTGAACTTTCCTATTATTCCCTCTTTCCAAAAGCAAAGGTATAAATACATTACAATGAAATAGTAAATACATTTATTTCATTATCTTTAAGACTACGAAAGCAATAAAATAGGTGAAAAGGAATTAATTATACTTGTCCGTGCGCCGTGCGGTACAGTTGATAAGCATAACCACATATCAAAACCACATATCAAATCATCATTGTCTCGAGCGAGATTGAGACTTTCTAGACTAGTTTCTAGACTGCCCTCGCTCCCTCCTCCCTTCCTTCCCCTCCAACTCCCTTTCCCACTTACTCTCTGACATGTTTCTGCTTTTTTTCTTTAGGTTATCGCTCCATGGCGAATGGAGGTTTTTATCGAAAAATTCAAGGGAAGAACTGATTTGTTTGAATATGCCAAGGTAATGGTTTGCTGTTTCGAAATTCGTCGGAATTTGTTTTCCGGCTGTATTAAACGCTCAATTGAAGAGTGGGGCCCGCCTGTTGCGTAGTAGGCTAGGAGCCTAGGGAGAGAGTATGATGAGCTAAACACCCTAGACACCTTGGTCGACGAGGCTCAGGAAAGGTGCAAAAAGTTTTATCGTGCTTTTAAGTTTTATTCCGGGCCTACCAGGTTTTGGGCGCTTGGCGCCAACCCAGCGTGCTCATTAAAAGAAGACCATGCTTTACCCTGTCCTTTGATATCTGCTCCGCCCAAGTTTCATGCTGTGTTTCTTGTTTAGAAAAATGGGATTCCTTTGCCAGTCACCCCAAAGAATCCATGGAGTACAGACGAAAATTTGATGCATATAAGGTAGAGGTTAATGTTTGAAAAGATGTTAATACCGAACCAATCATCAATAATGGCTACTTTTTTATTTTTCAGCTATGAATCAGGAATCCTAGAAAATCCTAAGGTATGTCGTGAATATTGTCATCAGGTTGAGCCTCGCTCATCCAGGCCATTCCGAAGTTGCGGTAAAGGACTGGTAATAGTGATATTGACAATGCATCATGGGGCTGTTTTGGGGACGAACCTTTTGTTTGCGTCCCCAAAACAGCCTCTTAATGCATGCAGTTGCGTGGTTGGTCTTACTATCGCCAGTCCACTACCGCAACTTCGGAATGGCCATCTATTGTATTTGTATTCGTATATTTGTATTGATACTCCATGTAACATGCAATACACGTAATATTATTTCTGTTAGACTGAAGCTCCAATACTCCATATAACATGTAATATACGAAATATTTCTGTTAGACTGAAGCTCCAAAAGATATTTGCAAAAGAACAACTCATCCGGAAGACGCTCCTGATAAGGTGAAGCTTAATCACACAAAAAAAATTATTTTGATTTTTATATTTTACCTCTCAAAATGCATTCTAAATCTTTTAGCCTGAACGATTTGAGATTGAATTCAAAAAAGGTGAGAGACATAGAATAATAATCAAATTTGCAGATTTACAGAGATTAAGATGATATAGGTTAATGCAGAAGTACTATTATTAATATACAATTTGTCTCTCCATTTTACTCAGGTGTTCCGATCCGTGTTCTCTGCCATAGTGATAAAAAGTCGTCGAACAAACCTTTAGAAATGTATCAACAACTCAATGAAATTGGGTTAGTATAGAAAAACGCATTATGCAGTGTGATTATAAATATGTCTTTTTACCTTGAACATTGCAAAGTGCAAACATAAAAAAGCTTTTTTACAATTTCATTTTATTTGCCCAACGTAGTTCACGAAATGGAGTTGGACGTATAGATATCGTGGAAAATCGCTTTGTTGGCATGAAATCTCGAGGTGAGGGTACAGTAAGTTACTTTGGAGCTTGCTTCGCGACCATGGAAAGTAACATAATGGATGATTCTATATTCGATATTTTAGGTATTTATGAGACTCCTGCTGGAACAATATTGCGACAAGCTCACTTGGATATTGAGAACATCACAATGGACAAGGTCGGTCAGGTCGAGTACCACCTTTTCCCTGGTGGTGCATGGTCAATTATAAGTTTTCCCCTATTATTTTTAGTAATTTAGTAGTCCTTGTAAACTTGATGGCTTTAATGCATGTTCAACATTTCCGCTCAACTCTTCCAGATCACGAGTTGAATTCTCTTGGGAAGTATATGAAACTTGAATGAAATAAAATATTTTGCCGTATACGTTATTCTTTCAGGAAGTCAGAAAACTGAAGCAGTATTTATCTAACCAGTTCTCGCAATTTATTTACACCGGCTTTTGGTTCAGTCCTGAGGGTAACTTTGTGAGAGAGTGTTTGGCTAAAAGCCAGGAGAATGTTGAAGGAATCGTACAAATGCAAGTTTATAAAGGACACGTAAGTAAAACATTGTATCCTGATTCCTGGCCTCCTGGGGCCAATTGTATAAAACACTAGCTAACTTTTAACTGTAGTTAAGGACAGAATTGCCCAATCAATTAAAGTCGTGTATTTCTGAGTTAACTAGGATTTAACTATGCAAAATATAGTTAAAGAGTTTTATACAACCAGCCCCAGGTAGTAAATGATATATCTGTATATCTGACATGTGAGTAAAAGGATGCTCGAGCCATGGTTGATTAATTGCAATTGCTGTATTTCTCTCAGACCTTGACAAGGTGGGCCACTCAATATCACGTATCTCATTAGACTTCTGTACATTTTTGCAATATTATAGGTATACATCTTGGGTCGAGAATCAAAGACTTCTCTTTACAACGAAGAACTTGTCAGGTTTTGATTTTGTCATTGTCATGTAGTTGATCAAGCTGAAATAAGTTTAGGAAGAACTAATATTGAAGAAAAACACCCAATTCCTGAAATGTCCCTGAATTACTGGAAGATTACTACGATCCCGCCAGTTTTAAAATTGTCTCTCACTAGAAATCATCACGTGTTTCTATTTCTCTCTTAGTATGGACGTGATCAGCGACTACAACCCAGAAGACGCCGCAGGGTTCATTAGAATCAATGCTCTTCGGTACGATTTTCTTTATCTCCCTGGTTTTAAACTACTTTTAGGAAGCGCTTGAGAAACAAACACACAACATCCTCTCTGCCGTCATTGTGAATGTCAGTTCACATTGCGACTGTCAGTTCACAGAAATTGGGATTCTGGGCAAAATCAATTTGAGAGCCTTTACCTATAGCCTATAGGCACCATTCACTTCTGTTTCCATGTCCATCGTATCTATCTGATCATTTGGGCCTTGGGGAACCGCCTTCAGTCTGGGTGACAGATGTTGTTGGTGGAGGGCGTTCACTCACTAACTCCTTCCTTGCTCGGTACCACCCTGTCCATGATTAATATTAAGATAGTATTTTAGCAACCTCAATTTATTGTTTTTTTCTAGATTGAGAGAAAATACCAGACTTCGACAGATGACAGAAAAGTTGAAATAAGAATTTTCACTTATGAACTTGCAATTGTACTGAGGATTTTCTTTGCATAGAGATGTATTTGATTTAATATAGTTAATTAGCAATTTAGCATATGGTCTCATCGTGCGCATGCAGGACGTCGAAAAAAACCCAAATAATTTATTTGAGTTTTTAGACCATGTTTAAGATATATGTTTAAACAATGTGTAAAATTTAGTGTATTATTTACTATTCAATAATACTCGTAATATGCAGTTGAAGCTGTTATAACTTATATGAATTGTTTCTAGTGGTTTGAGTCGGTTTTTTATTATATGGAAATGCCTACTCGAGTCAAACCAACTGGTTTGTTACTTGGAATATTTTTCTGAATATTGAGTCAGAAACAACAAATGAACAACAGTAATAATTTTGAACAAACAGTAATTTGAAATTTTGAACGAACCAGGACAGATGCAGAAAAATAAGCTACTGAGCATTTGCATGGTAATGATTCATGAACAAATTCGTGTAGCCTGAAACATGAATATAATTAGGAAAATAATTGTCATGTTAGTTGCCATAAGAAAACATCTCGTTCTCACTTCTACGTCGATGACGTTACTGCCTGGTGAAAGTGAAACGCCCGTTTACACTACACTGAATTTATGGGCACCCATTTTAGCCGTGCCGTGTCAATAAATTGAGTGTAGTGTAAACGGGGCAACCTCGTACCCAGGGTAATTTCGCTGTGTTATAGGTAGAGACCAGTGGGAGAGACCGCCCGCTGCGGTTGTAAACGGGGCTGCCTTAAGAGATCAGTGCATGAGACTTACATGACGTTACCAAAAACTTTAAAAAAAACACCACGGGCTCAGAAAGCGTTCAAGCGAAGTCTTCCGTTTCATTCACAGAAGTAATAGTTGTGTGGCTTGTATTGTTTTACAAATTAAAGCTTTTACAAAGGTGTAAAACGTAAAGGATACTCTACAGACTTTCATCTAACTTTACTGAGTAACCATGTCTGGTGCTGTTTTGGCAGAACATGCCATACCTTTCGAAGAAAACTTTGAATGGGGTACGTATGTAGTGTACTTTAATAGCGAATGATCTTCAACAAGCAGCATTTTCTAATTATACCGTCTTCTTTCTAGGTGACTTATCTGATACTCATTTCAACCCTGATGACTTTTTATTACCACAAGATGATCTTAAATTCACGGAAGAAGAGGTCTGACCCTTTTTATTGAGTAAAATTGTATCGTAGGTGTTTATCTTGTGCACCTTTAGCAGCACCTATTTTAGTCATTTAGTGTATAAAAACTGTTTCGAGAAATGTAAAATTTAAAGCCCCTACAATTTCCGGTGTTGAGTTTAGCTTCCAAAGTAACTTGAGAGTATTTTTTGGTATTACTTGTATATTTCAGAAGCAAATAACGGGTTTCAAATCTTACAATTTGGAATAGAAAGTCGTTTATTACAACCTTGCTATTTTTAAACTTCCGTCTGAAGGATGTGTAAACACTAAACACCGTATAAAACTGATGCAATAAACCGATTCACGGTTTTATATATTGTTTTGTATATTTTATGTTCAATCAAGTATCAAACTAAACGTAGCCATAATTGTTAGTTTCATAGCCGTAAAAACTGTTCACGTTACGTTGTGTGCGTGTTTATATTCGGGCATCATGTCGGGCGAGTAAATTTATCACACATTGCTTTGTAAAATATGTTTCATTTTGTTTTCACAAAACATGTACACTATTCCCAAGACTTCAACTTTATTTTGCCCGAATTTTGTACGCGATAATTTTCATGCAGAAGTTAAGATGTTTTATATTTTGTTATGGAAACTTTCATTTTGTTAACCTTTATATTATGGCTTACACGTCAGCTTTAATCTGCTAATCAATATCCTAATTTTATTTAGTAAAGTTTTCGAATTTTTTTACAGATGAAAGATATTGACTTGCAGGATTTAGTTGGCAAACTTGAATCAGATGATTTTTTAGGTAATTTTCCAGACTTGGATTATCCAAGCTTAGGTAATATTTCTTATAAGGAATTTGTATTGTTATAAATATTTAAATAGTTATGTGCCTATTCATTGCTGGACAGGTTAATCCATTGCATAAGCCATGATGGAGAGTGATTGTGTGTAAGAGACTGTCCATGTGATAGGTGCATGTACAGTATGCCTTTGGCTGACACAGACAAATTTTGCGCAAAACATCACCGCATATCTGTAAAGTCCCTGCGAACAACAAAACTTTTTATCAGTTTAAAATCATTCAGTTTTTTGGCAGTGTAAAATTTGAAAGTTTAAGTATATTTTGGCACATGGTTAACAAGAGACACTGGCAGATTGTTCTGTTTAGCTATAAATTAAGAGTCTGGTTCAAAGCATATGGCACAAATGCTTAATCATACATCTAGCCATTTTTACATTTTTGTAGTTTGTTCTATGTTATTTAGATAATAAATGCAAATTAGTTTCTTGACCAGCTGCTTGTTAAAAAGCTGGATGACGTAGAAACGTCAGGAGCTGCTTCACTTTCATAAGTGCTGTTACTTGTGCCATATCTGTAACACTCTTGTTAATTTTTTTCCTAGATATTTTTAAACATGAGCCATTATCCCCAGATTCAGCTGTTTCATGTAACGATTCCTTCCCAAGTTCACCAGGATCACAGGTACTGTACATGACTTTGTGAACCTGCATATTTTCTTACCCTAACCCCTTATAGAAATTATTCTATTTTCTCCCTTTTGCCTACTTTCCCATTCTATGTATTTCTTTTGTTGAAAATATTGTTTACCTGATCTCTAACTTTTTATATTATAGAGTTCTGGAAGTGGTAACTTATCCCCTGTTCATAGCACAGGCTCCCTCTCTGACCAAGATCACCATGATCATGTTATGATTACTGATGTTATGCTTGATAATGATTGCCAAGAAGAGTGCATTATACAAGAAATTGACAAAGGGATTAGCTTTTTAGCTAATGAACCTTCTATACAACAACAAGTGCCCAGTCAGCAATTACAAAAACAGTTGCTACAACCACAGCAACAAGAACAACAACAACAACAACAACAACAACAACAACAACAACAACAACAACAGCAAGCAAAACAGCATCAACAAGTCTTGCTGCAGCAACCAAAAACCCAACCAAGTGTTCCAAATGTTTCAATGGTTATAAAGTCTGAAAACAAGAAGGTTCAGCCATGTAGCCTAAAGTCCAATGGCTCAAATACCCAAATAAAGAATGAACTGTCAATCAGTGCTCCCACACAATGCATGGTAATTTCAAATGGTGTTCAACAACTGGACCAAAAGCCTGTCATTCTGCAGAATGTACAGACCTTAAAGTTGCCATTGCCTCGGAATTCTAAGCAAAATCCAATGTTTGTTCAACAATTAAATGGTAGTATACCACTACAAACTGTGTTGCCAGTGACAACTACACAACCTCAAATACATTCTATGAATCTTGTATCAAGTACTGGTGTTTCTGTTTTAAAACCAGGTACAGCTTTAGTGAATCTCTTCTTTGCTTAGTCAAGCCTCTTTTTATGTAAGAAAGCAAACATGTGAACTTAGCCTAAAAAATTGATTCTGTAGTATGCCCTGGTTGTACATTAAAACAGGTTCAGTGCAATGGTTCGGAGCCTGTTTTTTTAAGTGACCTAAATGACCTAAAATAAGGCAAATATCTCAGTTAATGTACAGGTAGAAATTGGGTCTTGATATAAACATTTTCAAGGTTTGCTCCCCTTTGCTGTGCAATTGTTTTAGTTCATCAGAAATGTAGTTGCATACATTGTTATCATATAATTTAATATAATTGTTGACATAAATTAAAAACATTCTGGTGTCTTGTTAGTCATGGCTACATTTGTTATTCTTTTAAAATAATCATGTTAATTTCTCTATTTAGTGTTGGTTCAAGCGGGCACCAACAAGATGACATGTATACCTGTTTCGCCAACTGTCCAAGGCACCATTCCACAAACTACAAACACTATCATTGTATGTATTTGGACTCTAACTATTGTGGTTGGTTCCATTCTCATTACATAAATTTTGTGTAACTTACAATATTCATTGTATGTTAAACAGGGAACAGTTAATAATTCAACCACAATAAGGACTGGTCTTAACCAAACAAATAGTTCAACTTCAGCAGATGTTGATGTAAGTCATTTAAATGAATTATTTGTGTGATTAAAGCTTTTTTGTGAGCAATGAAACTTACATTCTTGTCTAAGAATTTGTCTAAGATGCAATGACACTTAATTGTTTAAACACATAAATTCTGGCAGGTGTTAGTTTATATGAGCAGAGATTCAGAATTGGTCCACAATAAGACACTATATCTACAAGAATTCAACTATTCAAACAATAGCTTTTTAAAAAGGTAACACATGTTTGTCCATCTTTCAGATGAAAGTGCTGAGAAGGCAACAAAGAATGATCAAAAACAGAGAGTCAGCCTGCTTGTCAAGGAAAAAGAAAAAAGAAGTATGTGCTTTGGTTGCTTTGATACATGTTCTAGATTTTTCATAATAATAGCAGGACTAGGCAATTACTTTAGGTGAAGTTAACCTATTTAGGGGAAGACAGCACGTTAATCTAGTCAGCCCCTCTCTATTAAGTTTAGGGGGACTTTTTATTTGCAAAATTTTGCTTTCAATTTCCATTCCATCCAATTAGTATATAGAATGTCTGTTAGTTTCATTACTGTAAATATTGTAAATTTTGTAATGATGATAATAATTTTTTTTCACCTGTCAGTATTTACAAAGCCTGGAGGCAAAACTGAATGAGACATTGGCTTTAAATGCCCAAATCACACAAGAAAATGAGATGCTTAAAAAGAGGTTGATGGAGTTGGAGAGAGAGGTAATTGTGTGTTGTCTCTTGTAGTTCTGATCATAAAACGTATTATAGCTAAATTCCTTCAGCAATTACATTCCTCACAGATTGAAGAATGATACAATCCACAATCATTTTATTTTATAGAACAATGCATTTAAGAACTTGACTGGGATGAACCTGAGTGGAAATGTGGCAAAGTCAACATGTGTTCTTGTTCTTCTACTTTTTGTTGCTCTCAACCTGAATGGCTTCAGGTTAGTCTCAACTTTTTTTCTTGTCAACCTTTATTCTGTAGCTATAAAGTGCATGTTATCGCTGCGTGACTCCCTCGCAGCAATATGTCCCTTTATGTAGCATGCATGCAGGCAGTGGCGTAGGAACCGGGGGGCACCTGGGGCACGGCTCCCCCTAAAATTCTATTTTAAAATCGAAGGTGCCTTTTTTGTTTCCTGCGTATGCCCAACTACACGTGCCCAAATTGTTTAGTAGAGCATAAATATAAACTACAGTAATGATGTCCTTGCAGGTTCGGCAATGAAACCGTCCCTATACATATTTTCAGCTGACCTTTTTATTAACCAAAAGTGCCCCTGTAAGCTAGTGCCCCCCCCCCCAATCTCTGAACGCTTCCTACGCCCCTGCAGGCAGGTGACGTTTTTGATATGTAATATTAACCAAAGCATCATTTTATTTGCTCTTAGCAATTTTAAAGACCAACTAAAAGAAAGCCCAGGTCTGCTCGAGAGTTCCACAGTACACCATGGTCGAGCTTTGTTGGAATATACTGATAAATATAACATTGACATTGAAAAATTGTCGTCTGCCAAACAAGACGAGGAAAACACGAAGAACAGACGGGAACATAAAAAGAACATTTTTAAGAAGGGTTTAGAGAGTGAGAGAGACAGCGGGAGAACTGTCAGTTCGTCAGAGAAAAACCGTTTTATAAAGAAGACAAAGAAGGGAAGTCGAACACCATCGAAAAATATTACTCAAGTGACACCTTCTGTATGTAGTCCAGCTCCTGCTCTGAACGAAACTGAGAATAACAGGTAATTTTTACACTGAAAAAATGAATGGCCAAGTAGCTTGGTTATATTTTCAGCACACGAGTACATCTATTTTTAACTGAATATTTGCGATGTTCATGTGACAATATTACCTGTGATGTTAGTCTAATAGCTTTCTATAGCATTTATTATACTGTCATTATTTTCGATCACTGATGTATCTGTTGATACTTGTATTCTCAGATTAAACGAACTGATTGAATTATTGATTCGGAAACATGAAATGGCAAGAATATCGGAGCGACTCGGTAAACAGAGCCAGGAATATGTACGATCACCGATCTCTGAACTTGTGACGAAAATAAAACAGAATTCTACAAGCAAGACAGACTTGAGGTAAAATGACCAAACTACTTTCGTTTGCGATCTTAGATCATAACAACTTCAATGTTTCACACAGCTTTCAAATGCCTGAGGTTTCATTGTTACGAAATAAAACCCTTCAATCCCCCTCAGTTGAACCACTCTTGCATCGAAGATCTAAACATTTTAAACGTGAAATACATCTGCTGTTATAAACTTAATTGTTACTTGCCGAAATTTTGATCCCATATTACTGCCTTAAATCTCTAATCCCAGTCCTTGATTCTGATCCTGGAACGTACTGAACTATCGTTTTGTACTTTGAAAAAGTGTTTCACTTGCGCGTTCAGTGACTGAAGTGGTGAAAATCATTATAATATTTGTATTCTTTCATCTGCAGGTCGTTCATGCTAAAAAATTCGCAATCAAAAGAACTCCAAATAGCCTCGAGATACACAGGGTAGGCATATTCAATCGATTAATTAAAGTATATTTCGTTGACATATTTGATCAACATGCTAATCGTTTTGCTCATTTCAGATCTTTTAGATCATTTCAACAGGCGTTCAACCGTCAACCTGATACCTCGTACCTCGTCTCTTTCAGAAAGGTAGGAAATGAAGTTTCTTGGTGACCTGATTTATGGAACTGTTCAGATTTCTAGATCATTCGCTTGCACGCCTCCTTTTTTCACATTTTTATACGCGAGGTATTTAAGCGGAAACTAAAATATATTGCTTTCGATAGGATCATCTTATGTTCCCAGCGACTGAGATGAACACGACACGTCGACCAAAGATGTCATTTATTTTACCTGCCCCTAGTGGAGGTAGGTTTATATAAACGAATTTGTTAGCAGTTGCTCAGTCCAACATCAAATTTTTTACACACCCCGATGGATGAAGCTAAGCTGGCAGGAATTAATGTCCATTTTTTTCGATCATGCATTTGCATTAGCCTGCGGGGATGTCAAATATTATAATTCATAAAATTTACTATAGTTACTCAACCCCCCTTACTGTCTCTTCCATCCCCTTTTTTTCACCCCTTTTCAACCCTCCATTTCCCACTTCTGTTTGGCTTAGTGAACTGTAAAAATACCTAGGTATTTATATAGAGCTCACTGGTTAGGCTACATCTATAAGCGTCCGACAGTTGAAAATTTGTTATTTGAACGGTTAAATAACTTGAATTTTCAGAAAATATAAGTTTTAAAAAAAAAACGGCGTCGCGGTTTTCATTACCTAGATCTATGTCATTCATCCTTGGTTGCTCATGACGCCATCTCTTATCTTGCCGAGTCCAGGCCACTCCTTATATAGTACTCCTAATCTAACAAACTATTTCACTCTTTTCCAGACGCCAAATGGCGTGTAAAGAAAAATTACATTCCAATGATAAAGATGGATTGTCAATTCATAAACAGTAAAAGAATATTTATAAAGAGATCAAGTATTCCACCAAATCTTATGGACATGTCATATTTATACACACCTTATGTAAATAATGAGAATGATCACAATTGAATCGCTTAGCGAAAATTAATCTTAATTTAGTATTTGTAGGTGCTGCTGTTCTGCAGTTTTAAAATGTATTGTATAAATCTGGCTTGTGTGAGTGGTTGCTTCTTGCTCGATCGACGGCGTGCTTGCGAGCGTAGTGGACACTTGTTTTTAATTTGTCTAACGGTTTTGGCACATGAGAAGAACGGGCGATAGAACAGTTTTAATTTCGTAAATTTCCATGAATTTTTTTTATTTAACTTGCAGGGACGCCAGCATAAGCAGTGCGCAGCATAAGCAGTGGGCAGCATAGGCAATCATTCCATTTAACAAGAGGCGGAGGGTTGGGGGAAGGTGCCCTTTTAACAGGATTGCCTTACAATTTGCCAACAGTGGGACTCGTTTGAAACTTGCTTCGGAAAACGCTAGCAAAACAGCCACGAACTTACGACTGACAGCACAATCGCCTGGCAATGTAAACAAAAGACAGAATAAATGGCAGAGTAAACTAACTATTTTGCGAGCACTATTGCATATACCACTACGATGAATTGATTTATGGGTTGATATAGGGAACTGGAGGGTGAAAAAGATGTACGCAAAAAAATTTTGATACTTAAACTATATATTCATTTTTGCTACTAACCCTGATAGAGGAAGCTAAGAAAATGGTGAAATAGATAAGTCAATAATACTTTTTATTTTTACCCGTTTTAAAACTGTATAATGGTTTCACACAATTTAACATAAACTTTCAATTTTTAAATATAAAAATTTACAATCATGCAATATTGCTTATTTGGCGATCACATTTCATTTTGTGAAAGCGCAACAGAAAGATAGAAATAAACTAACTTATAAAATACATAACTTTACTTATATTCTCCAATGCATGTCTTAAAAGAAGCTTTAATATGCGAATGTCTTAATATATTTTTGACTATTTTCCTATGAATATGGCAGCTTTTCGATGGGTGTGTAAAATTTAAAGTCTGTGGGAAATAGTTCATAAGCTTTGGGAAACATAAGACGATAGGATTGTCGTATTGTCACGTCGGCCACGCCAGCTATGTCACCAATTTCTGAAAAAAATTATATTCCAGAATATTGACATAACATAAGTGAAAGAACTCAACGCAAACCTTATAGAGGCAAAAACTTCAATGGCCGCCCGCGCGGGTAAGGAAAACATAATGGGAAAACAAACTTTAGGGTCAATGTGGGAGGCAGGTGGAAAATGCATATTCTACCTTTTTGTGACTTTTTACCCTCAGAAGCTTGTGAGGCGAGGTAGATTGCCGCTGCTGCAACAGATATAGGACAACGCCTGTAAAAGAATTAAGAACAACATGCATCCGTTATAACATCAAATACTTTGTCACCGCGCTTTTGTGTCTACAATGGTTGTTTGTCGAAAATTGAATATCTATACATTATACCTATATACGTATAAACCAAGTTACGTCATAGTTGCATTCGTGTTTTGCAGTAGCTACGGCATTACCAAACAGTAAACATATACCAAACAGCAAGCTAAGGACTGTTTATTTAACACAATGCATGCAACATGTTGGTCACAACTCATATTTAAGAGTTACTATACTAACCCTGCCACTAAATCAAGATCCATAGCTTTCCTTGCAATATGGGTAGCAGCTTTCTGGACAGTCATTGGTAATCCTAAGTTTGAACAGAACCGGGACTAAAAGAAAGATGTTTACATTAAAAAAACGAAAATCAAAACGCTGCTTATCAAAAAACTTCATTGATGCTTAAAATGAACTGATTGAGGTCAAATGGCTACAAACCATAAAATCTCCGGACGTAATGAGATCCACACTAGTCTCTAGAGCTCTTAAAGTGAGCTTAAAACATCGACCAATTTCTTTTTTTGAAACCTTACTAACAGCACATATTTCTGGAAAATGAAACGGTAAATTAAAACGGTAAAATAAATAAGCAAAATTATTAACAAGCGATAACAAGAAGACGTTAAACGCGGAAAGCCTGATGCCACACGAATTTTGGTTGGCTACGCAAAACTAACGAGCGAATTAAATTTCGTGTAACATCAGGCTTTCTGGTTTCAGCGTTTGACGTCTTGATGAGAAAGGTCTATTGTCCATGGTATTGTACCTTTAAATGTCCTGGGAACACCTTCTTGCCGACACGCAATAGATAAACACGCTGCAGCAATAGCATCATTGCTTCGACCTTTCAGGCTTTTTTGTTCATGAACTTGTTTGAACAATGTGTTTGCTCGATCCTAAATGATTTATCAACAATTTCATATTAACTACCTTTAACCTAAATTGCTGTGAATTTAACCAACCGTCCTCAAAGACAGGCTTTAGCAGACAGTTTAACTTCAGGAAAATCCGGTGTTGACTGTGTCTGAAAATTCCCACTTCTGTTAACCCTCATTGTAAGTAAAGCAGTGTATGCTTAAAGTTTGAGCTCAATTACCACAATATTTTTTGGTAGATTAATCCGATCAGCCATAACAGATATTTCTCTAAACGCTTGTAATAGACTCCGATCTGACCCGGATGCCTGAAATTGAAATTGCGGTATGTCATTCTTTTTTATGTAATTTATACTGAAATTTGCCAATTGCTAAGGCATATTAACAATGTTTTTATACCTGCTTCCACAAAAAATCCCTAACTTCGTCGAGGAAAAATTCACTAATTTTGAGGGCTTATGATTGTTGCAATTAACTGTACTTACACCACCACGATTATGCATTCTGGAATAACCATCCATGTCATATTTCCCAGGACCACCTCTTTCAATCATTGTAGAAAGATCAGTCCCACCTAACAGTGGATTCTGAAAATAATAAGATAATTGATTGCCATAATGATAGTGACTCACTAATGAATATGGCAGTTTTCCACGAGATTTCGGGTCAACGTAAAGTAAAGCTTTTTATGTGTTGACATTTTGAGTACATTACTGAAATTCTAGTCCGTCAATTCGAGTGAGAAGGGTATGGATTTTAGGCGATACAGAGAACCGAAATTTTCTTAGTTAGAAATCTTATAACAAAATAATCAAGAAAAACCAAAAAACAAAAATGTGTTAACTGTGACCTAATTAAATACAATATCGATTATACCACGGTTCTATTAGCCGTGATTATGCGAATTACCGTTTTCCCGATTATCTAACTAAAAAAAATCTATCACTAAAGAAAATGTTGGTCCAGTTAATGGGTAAACTTAAGCGCTCGTAGGCCAGTCCTGCGATAGCCTGGGCTCTACTTTAATATCAAGAAGAAAGAAATATGGAGTACAAGCAAGACGATTTCGACAAAGAATCTGGACCAGATTTTTCAACGTTTTTACTTACCTGAGCTGCGCCAACACGCGATGGATCGGACACCGATTTCTCGTTGTTAAATGTTCTCCACTCTGATCCAACATCGACCACTCTATGACACGGAAAAGACGATGATTTTAAAAGCCGGTCTGACTCAGTTTGACATCAAAAGCATTTGTTTATAATTACAATTTTAAGTAAATCGGCCGCTTATAAAAATATTTGACAGCCCAAGAATTCCTTATCTAAAAGTAGACGAATTTTTCGTAATGCCAAGACAGTATTCATTCACTTGTAAGTGATTTAAAGCTAGTATAATATTGTTTCAAAATGGTCTCGTCATTACCGATCGCCCACTACCAAGCCACACTCGGGGCAAACCATATCTCCTGCTCGGTAGTCCTCGACTAAAAAAGCATCTGGATGTTGCGGGCATTGCAAATTGCCCTTGTTATTTTTTCTGTAAGAAATAAATTTAATCCGTGAGTGAAATCGTGTGAAATTCACGATAGAATCAGCAGTAAATTTGACATCACCCTACCTCGACATGTTTGAGTGAAATAAAGATGTTTAACGATTACGTCATATTTATAGTCTCGGTCAACAATGCCCGCCGGAAGTCGAAAGTACTAAAAATAGGAAAACATGTCAGGAACTCGATACTTCTGCCTTGAATGTCTGAATAAAATCGAAAGCTGAAATTAGTAACAACTAACCGTACTTGTCGAACTGCATGAAATCGTTTATTTGAGTAATCTTCTGTAATACTGTGTTGTATGTTGAAGTGAGGCGTTAATCCGCTGTTTTAGAAAATGCTTTGACTGAGCATTTTCGTGATTTGCTTTGAGTACCATCGTAAGGTGTTTCAAATTACCATATAATAAAGAGAGGGCTTCTCTTTATTCTGTGAAATTACTAGTCAAGAGTCAAGCCTGCTTTAATTATTATGACAAACGCGGCAGACGGACGAAGTAGGATTGGCTCGCGAATCATGCAAATTTTCTCCGAGTTACTTTCCTACCATTTCCTATCATTTCTGCTTTCCACTGTCGCGTTTTTTGCATTGCACGTGCGTACACGCACGTAAAGGCTTGAAACCTCAGTTCTAAGTTGTTGTATAATCATTTTTATGCCAGAGAAAACATACAAAAAACATTAACGGAATTCAATCGTTGATTTTTTCATAAGCATTTAAATGACTTAAGGCTGTTTTCCACTTACGCGTTTTTTATACGCACGTACACGTACGGGAAATGTTAAATGCTTTTAACTTTCTATTATTTAACATCTAGGTCAACTAATGCATACTAAAATATGCAGAAAACCAAGTTCCTTCGATTTATTCACTTAGTTTTTTTAAAGGTAACATGTATAAGGTTTAGACTTTTACGTGCGTGTACGTGCGTATGACAAACGCGTAAGTGGAAAACAGCCTTTAAAAAAAAGCTTTACGTGCGTATACGTACGTACAAAAAACGCGACAATGGAAAACAGTCCTAACACATGCGAAACTCACACGCATTTGTGGAATGGCTACTTCACATGTGACAGATGAAATAAGCTATTTGAATGTTATTTATTAATAATGAATACGTCGTTTATTATATTTTATTATTCAAATTAAAAAAAGTTCTCCTTTTTCACATTATAAATTAAGATAAATTGTTTAAATAAAATCAATATAATGTTTAATAATGATGATCCTACGTTATGACATACATATCAGTCAAGCCTCCAGGTGGCCAGTTAATATTATTGTTCGTAGCAATTTTCAAGCTAAATGATAAATAATTAAATAGATCTTACAATATATTCCAATTATTTTTAACATTATCACACTTTTGTGTGTATTCAGCGTTCATTATAAGACTTCATATATTTGCAGCATTGTTCATACGCCATAAATGACACACCAACTGAACTGGCACCCTATATAAAAGACAATAATCAGTCACTATGCCGTACTCTTCTAGCATGAGAAATTGAAGGCAACTCAATTCAATGAAACTGTTCTAAACTTTATAACTCTACACCAGTCTTACTCTCTGAGCGGGTCAAGAGAGAGAGTTCACTGGGCAAGAGTGTTGAGGGCACGATCCAGGGACACGGTGAATAACCCCCAATTGTGCTCCCATTATCCCCTGCACGCTAAAGAGTTTGAAGTCCAAGGTTAGGGAACAAGATGTTTTGAATCAGCTGTACACCTGGGCAATGGCAATTATCCGAACTACACAAAGCTGTCCAAACCATCGAATTGACTGACCTTTATAATATTGACTTTAAGTCCTTTATAGAAAGCCAGAATTCCTTCGTTTCTAAGTATATTCATGATACAGTTTATCATACCGGCTGACCGCCGCCTTGCATTGAGGGAAGCTTGTACCAAACTATCTTCACGGAATGCAAAACCATCAATCTTAACGAAAAACAAATAAGAAGATCTACAATAAGCCTCAAATACAACCAGTAAAACACGAAAAACTAAGCTGGAACCTTGCCCTCTTTGCCCAGCCCTGCAATTATTGCACTTGGTCTGGATAACAGATTATTCTCAATCAAGGCTTGCCGTTCATTGTAGTTCGCGCACAAGGCATTTCATTACCTGCAACCGTTTCTTTACAACGTCCAAAGGATGAATGATAATTTTGCTAAGGGTACCAGACATAGCCCCGCAAAACAAGCTCTCGCTTGCTGAAACGTCACTATCAAGCTAAATAATGAAAATAGAGTATAATAAATCCTTTAGATTTGATCATTCATCTTTGATACTTTACATCGAACAATTAATTGCAAGACGATAACAATATAGTTGTTCAGTGGAATCATATTTATATAACAAAACTTGGAAACTCTTGTTTTTAAAGCGAGAATTTTTTATCTTCTGAGTCTAAAACATTCAGGCATATATAATAAACAAAATAAAACACTGCAAGTGCAAATTTGCATACAAGCACTTACTAGTGAATTTATGTATTCCCTCCAGACGATTTGTAATCGAGTATAAAACGCAAAATGCATGCCCGTTTGAGGAATTATCTCTATCATAGTTGGGAGCAGGCCTTAAACAAAACGCATATCAAGATTAGGAGAGGTCATTCCAGGCTATAAATATAGTGGTTTTAAAAAACGCTTCAAAAGTATAGTACCTTGGTAAAATGTCCTTATGCCATTTTCACAATACATTGCGGTGACAGCTTGATATAAACCATTGTAGACCTGTTGTTGTAAGTATCAGCAAAGTTAAACAAATCACAAATGGCGCCGTAATGTATAAGGATGCGTCCACAGTTTAAGTACCAACCTTGGGTTCACCTTGAGCAACCAGTCTTGTTCTTACAACATCAATAGGATAAACAAGAACGGAAGAAAAACACCCCGCTAAACCACCGCAAATAAAATGTATCACTAAAAAATTCAAAAAAGGATTTGGATTCAAAAATGGGAAAGAACTGAATTCTCATTATATTTTCCGTTTCAGACATATATACACACACCTGGTTTTTGGTCTGTGTATTTCTTATGTGAAATTGTCTTCCAAGCCATTTTAGTCAGGACTTCAAATGATGCAAACTAAAATAAATGTCCCAGAAGGAACCAGTTTAACACTCTTAGCACATATTACGAAGTCTTATTGGGTTTTTTTGGTGGGCGGAGCTAAAATATTTTGGGACTGGCTTTTCATAATTTCATATCTTTATATTTGTAAGGGACGAGTAAATTCTATAGGAGGAATTATTTAAACAATTTTTGTATCGCGATCTTTCAGTGTACAGTAAACAGTTCTTAACTTCTTTTGTACTAGCGCTATAGCGACTATGCTGCATTTCTATAGTCGTATAGACTATACTATGATAATCGTACAGGGATCTACAAAAGGTTTTTATGAAACTTTCTTTAATTCTTATTTCTCAAATTCAGTTTTATGTGCAGTGGCAGATTACCATGGACTAGCTGAAGTTCATGAACTGGCTCCCTTTCTTCGAGAGGCAATGCATGAAATAATGAGAAAGTTTGTAGTCAGGGACGTAGGAACAGGGGGCTCGTGTCGCCCAAAATTTTTCAAGGAGCCAAAAGTGCCCTTTTTGTGATGAAAAATGATTTTTTTGAAAAGCTAATGTAGCTGTAAATACTATTTTAAAATCGAAGGTGCCTTTTTTGTTTCATACGTATGCTCACTTACACGTGCCTAAATCTTTTTGCAGAGCATAAATATAAACTACACTAGTGATGTCCTTGCAGCTTTGGCAATCAAACCGTTCATATACATTTTTTCCCTGCCCTTTTTTTTAATAACCAAAAGTGCCTATAGAAGCTACAGACCACCCCCCTCCCAATCTCTGAATGCTTCCCATGTCCCTGTTTGTAGTTGTACTTCATCCAGAGCATTTTTGCTGTAAAAACCGTATAAATGACCAGTTCAGAATTTTCATGCTAAATCCTATCTACTTTTTGAAACTTAGAAATTAATGCAAGTTCAATTCCATGAAATCCTACGGGACTTGGAATACTGCAACCATATATGTCAGCCGGCCCCACATAGTCGATTTTTTATTGCATATAAAGCAAGATAAAAAGATACCTGAGCACACCCATATGATATGGACAAAATTTGTGCTGGGACATGACCTTTCCTGTACATACACATAAATAAATGTATTAAAATTATCAGACAGAAATAAAAACTCAATTTTTCAGCTTTAAACAGGACATTAACATCTTTTTAAAATCACATATTTTTAACTTCACCATAATGCTTGAATGCCTTCCTCTTTTGCAATTATTTTGAATGATTGAAAGAGTCCTCTGTACTTCCTTGTGGGTCCTATGATAGGCTTCTGGCAGAAACAAAAAAAATGTTAGGCTTTATTAATTATTACAATGCCTTCAGATGATTCCCCAGCTCTTTCTTAGATGCTGTCATACTGATAAAAGTATTGCATGACATATATTAGCATGACAAGTGTCAATAGCGCTGAGAGTGCTACCAATTTCTAAAAAAATAAACCACAAGGGACAAACCTATCAAACCCCTTAAACCAGCAGGTAGAACTAGGTAATTGAGACATTCAGGTTACTGAGGTTAGTACCTTATTTGTAGGTTCAAGTTGTATTTGCAATCTTATCTTGACAACATCACATGGTTGCAATAATAGTCGTGTAACAATGCCTGACATTGCACCAGCCAGTGCATATTGACTAGTTGTTAATTGTCTCTGGCCCTCATCATAACCAACCATTTAGTAGCTTGAAGAGAACAAATACTCATTCACATAATTCATCCATGAAACCATATTTGCATAAGTGGATCCAACACTCTATCCCAGTTCTCTAAATTTATATCCATGAATGTGTGTTATATTTATTGTGATTACTACAGTGGAATCCCTGCCTGTTAACATGACCAAAACTTTTTGGCCAAATGGTACTATTAACAGGATTGTGCAGTATAACAGAAATGAATTTTTTATGCCATTATAAATGGCATCACATTAAATTGACATAATCCTATGCAGGGCACATCTGGACACATTGCATCAGTGACACAAAGAGTTATAATTATTGGATAAAAGTGAACAAAAAGTAATTTAGTTTGTAGGTACACCACGTAAGTATTTAATACTGCAAAGCTTCACCTATTGATGTCACCATGCAAACATGCAAGAATATTAAATACTTACAGTTTTTAACAGTTTCAAACATAATTGAATGTTCAAGTTAAAATCGAAACAGTTTATTATTTCTTTTTAGAAAATACCATACACCAGAATCCGTTTTTAGGCATGCGAAATATTTTCATTTGAAATTTTATTTTAAAAAATACGTATTTTTTGGCATTCTATCTTCTTCAGTGACTTTTTAAAAAAATCAATTCAACGGGATTACTGTAGTTACAGCAAGAACTGCAAGTAATTCAAGCGTGGTTCAACCTTCTGAGGTATGTTATTTAATGATGACGTAGCGGTTTGTTTTGATTACTGGATGGATTTTGAATTTCAAAGGAGCAACTTACTTTCAAAAGAGGACGCACTTAGGGGAATTATAAATGCGTGTTGCCTGTTTACAGAAGAGCATTTAAAAAATCCATTCGATAGTTGTATTTCATCGAAAATAAACTAATAATCAAGAGTATCTGATTGTATTTTTTACCCAAATGAAAGACATGGCTGAAATATCAACGGTCAAACCGGCACGTGCAAAGAGGACGCTTCCAAGCTTGCCAAGTTCTAAAGCGTCAAATGGAGGAGTGTTTTTATCGCCGACTTGTTCACCGAAAACTGCAAGAAAGAAATGCGTAGATTCACCTTTAGCTACAACAGGGAAAGATAGGATTAAACCATCACGATTGCCTGTACGACGGACTCAATCCTTGAGCGAAATACCTCTCCAAAGACCGTCAACCTCAAATGGCAAAGTATTACGTAAACAGGCTACTGTTCATTCTAGTGAGCTGGTTGTAAAGAATGCAAACAATAATCATTCCAAAGACTTACGACTCTCAAAAATTTCTGGATCTGGAGAAATAAATAAAGCACAAACCAGGAAAAAAGCTGCAGCAAATAAGACTGCAAATTCTCTAAATAAACAGTCGAAAAATGAACTAAAAATTAAGAAAATTCAAGAGTTTTCAGACTCTATAAATCATCCAGGCTCAGAGAACTCGGTTATTACGCGAGGTTTAACAAAAAGCGAAAGCATAAATAGTCTAGATAGTTTGTCAGGATTGGGGCTTGATCAAGAGGAGAAATCCTGTGTCACCGTTGCTGTACGTATTCGTCCTTTTAACCAAAGGTAAACAACTATAATAATGGCATTCTGTTTGCTCAAATGCTCCGTAATTGGAGTAATATTTGAGTTTATTTAATCATATAGGGAGGAAGTATGAATTTTTGACCGTTATTTTTGGTAATTTATTTATAACCGTACTTAGAATGCCACGTGTGCCCACTTAGGGGTTCTCAACCTTATAATTGGTGAGTATTCTTTTTTCACAGCATGTTAATTTTGACCTGCTGTTTTCAATATGAACATCAAAAATGAAAGTACAAAATATAGTTAATTTGTAACCCATAAATTGAATTTTTACTCCAAAAAAGCTTTTAAAATTTTGGTTCTGTTAATTGATACAATATCTAACATATGACATGCTGTATATAATATTATGGAGGTAATAATTTTAAGATAAGCATCTTACTTTACATATATGGTTAGCAGCTGCTGTTATAAAATACATATGGTAATGAACTCAAATAATATTACCATGGCAGTATGTAAACAATGATATGTTTTGTATGCAATTTTTGTATAGTCTTTTACAATATACTTTCTTCAAGAAAGAACTTTTATAAATAATATTGAGCTATAATAATATGTTTGATGATTATAATGTTTCAATGACCTTCAATGTCTAATCGTACAATTTCTCAAATTTATATAGTATAAATTTATATAATATATGATTTCAATAGTATATAATTTATTATACTACCTGATCATATGAAAGACACAAAAGTGTTGCTAAATTTTAACTTTGTATACAACCATTGTACTAATTGCAAGTTGAAGTATTTTATCTAAAAATCCATGTATAAATAAAGTCCTAATTAAGGAACTAGAATATCCAGCCTTTAAGCTAGGTCACCTAATTTAAAGGATATGCTGAATTTATTTGAAGTATGCATTTTTTCCATGTAGAATATTTACACCCTATCAGACCAGACTGAGAGCATACATTTGCAAATAAGTCATTTTAGCTCATAGGTTGTGGGGAACTGCTCCGAAATTTTGAATAGATGTTAATTAAATGTGTGCAAATTGCTCTTTGATTTAAATAATGTATCATAAATATTAATATATTACATATCATTCATTAATTTCTAGAGAACTAAGGAACACCAATACTCAGTTATATTTGACAGCAGATGGAAACACAATATTTACATCTGGTCCAGGTTTAAAACATAGTTTCTCTTATGATCAATGCTTTTGGTCATTTGATGAGAACTGTGAGACCTTTGCTACTCAAGAGTATGTTTATAACAAGATTGGCAAGCCTCTGGTTGAGAATGCTTTTGATGGTTATAATACATGTTTGTTTGCATATGGTCAAGTAAGTTGAGGCACTGTAACAAAGTTTACGAGCAGCAGTGTTTAATATTAGGTAGACTAATCGAAGCTAGAAGGAGCAAGCTGATTGACATATTTAAATGCTGAATCAATAGTAATTTTAAATTTTATAATGAGATGTCAAACTTTAGTTCTTTAATTTAACTTCTTTATCTTTTATCTAGACAGGATCTGGCAAATCATATAGGTAATATAATTATATATAAACTGCATGTATAAACTTATTAGTATCTAAAATATAATCACTATTTACAAAAACACATTGATGTGCACAAATTGCTATTTTTCCTAGCCAGAGTCTTGTGGAAAAAGTGACTCAAATCATCTATACTGTAGATTTAAGATAGGAGTGGTTATAATTTATTGTTAATATTTGATATGGTACAAAACCCACATAATATGTACAGAGAACTTACTGGTGCCAATCTATGCAGCCATTGACCTTGTTCAATGCTCTGATGCCTGATTTTTCTGTAAATGATTTTGGTTTGATCCTACAGTTATATCTATGTGTGTATCTTTGCACCAGCATGATGGGATTAAATCACCAAGAACAAGCAGGAATCATTCCAAGGTTTTGTCATGATCTTTTTCAAAGAATCGTTTCAAGTCCTGAGGTATGAGTTTTCTTGGAAAATAATTCCATTTTTTCTGCCATTCAACAGAAACATATATATCTAACTTCTGAAAGAATTAATCTTGCATTTACTAAATGCCATTTAGTATCTGATATTTATTATTATGCTCATCTCAATTGTGGACAATTTAGTTGCCAGTGTCATGGGCTAATACTGCTGTTAGTAACTTGTTAATTTGTAAATTATGTGATTCTTAATGTAGTTGACATTTTCTGTGGAAATCAGTTACTTTGAAATCTACAATGAAAAAATTCACGACTTGTTGGATTATCAGAAAGGAAGGGACAACAAAAAGTCCAATGTGAGTTGAAATTTAAAGTTTTAAAACTGGTACGATTGCGGTCCGTTCACAAAATACGTGACGAACTTTCAGACTTGACGCCCCCGTGAAACCCCTCTATGACGTTGTGTGATGATTACCATAAACCCTCTCAAAATTATACGTGAAGTCTGAAGCACATACCCCTCTCCCACCACTAGTCCAATGGTAGACTCCCCCGCACTGCCGCACACACACAGTATTATAATATACTTCATATCTGATTCATTGATATCGCAGCCCCGTTTTTTCTCAGCTCGAATTTTTTGTGCAATGCGAAACAAGTTGGAAAATGTTGCCACAAGCATGAAATTCGCTTTGGTTGACTATAAGAGTTGTTTTGTCACCCCAAAGAGCGTCACGTATTTTGTTAACGGATCCTTGATCAGTTTTTTATTTATAAATCCACAAAAAACAATGCAAGGAATTTGACTATTCCCCAATCTTCACTGATATAACTATCATTGCAGTTACGTATTCGAGAGCATCCTGAACTGGGTCCCTATGTTCAAGATTTATCCACGTGAGTTGAAAAATAAGTAAATTGGCTTTCAGTCATTTTGCATAATCTCGTATTCCTGTCTGTAAAAATTTTTTTGCTGTAATTCAATCGTCACTTTGCATATTTCTGTCTAGGTACATTGTCAGTAGTTACGCTGATGTGGAGGTACAATTATGCATTTCACTTATTGAAATAAATTTAATCCCTTGGCCATAGTCAAGTGATCTTTTTTTCCCTTCATTGTGAGAGTTAATGCAACTATACATCAGATTCCCGAAATACCTTCATGATTGCAACTTTTCGTGTTGAAACCGCGGCGTTTTGATTCAAACACGTTCATATGTTTTCATGTTTTGATAAATTGGTGTGGGATTACTATGCACATTTTGACAATTTTATTGTGCATAATTTTAGTCCTGGCTTGCTGTGGGAAATAAGAGTCGAGCAACAGCAGCAACGGGAATGAATGAAAAAAGTAGTCGATCGCATTCAGTGTTTACCATCATACTCACCCAAACACAGGTTGGTATGAATATTCAGGATTTGAGATCATATTTTCAGACTACATAAGTTTGTTTATGGTAATAAAAAAAGGAATTCAATTCAAAATTCCCTGCAGTGGCTCCAGGTGTATTCTGATAACTTGTTGGATTATCAGAAACCGAGATTATGGCATTTCGAGATCATCAACACGGTTTAATTGATCGAATTCCTCCCACACATGAAACCACAAAACACTTAGGGCTTAGATAAGTGTGGAAGGAAAATCGATAAGTCGCTTCATCATTCTAAGGAGTCCCATTTTCGCATATGGTAGGACGACAAAATTCTAAACCAAAATGGAAAGTCCTTTTTGACCATAATACCAATGGAAAGCGTTCATGATTCCAATCTAAAATGGATAGGTTTTTACGACTTTACCTAAGCCTGCGGACAGCCTCTCTGGCTCTCTCATTTATAATGAGCTTGTGTGCAGGTTTATAGGTTTTCGACCAAAAGTGCTCGGCGGACTCCGGAAATTTCTTGCAAGTAATTAGCTGGCATGCCTTTGTTTATTGTGATTACTGGAGCTATGGAAGTAGAAATTTAGTCCTGAGAGCTCTGATCTGAGAGCTGTGTTAGAGTTAGGTTGATTCATATAGTTGATGTAGATTTTTTCGATCTTATGTTTTAGACCGAGTTATTAGAAGGAACAGAAACTCAGATGTCAAAAACAAGTAAAATCAATTTGATTGACTTGGCCGGGAGTGAAAGGGCCAGCACTGCTTTAAATGATGACGTAATTGATTCAAAACAAACCTACGATCTAAGGTTAAAGGTAATACTCAAATAGTCATAAATTTTTGTTTATAACTCATGTGTACATCGCGTTTCCAATCACCTCTGAATACCATCCTATATATATTGAGAAACGTTTTACACATCATTTTTTACTATAAGTTGCCATTTGATGCACGCACGATGAAAAAGATAAGATACTCCCCCTACTTAATGGAGATTGGTGTATTTAAGATTTTGTTGAAGTGATTGGTTTTTGACAAGCGTATTATTTTGTTTGCAGGAAGGTGGTAGTATCAACAAATCTCTTCATACTCTTGGAAAAGTCATCTCTGTTTTGTCAAGTCGAGAAAAAGCTGGCAAAAAGAAGAAAGTGCATATTCCGTACCGTGACTCAGTGTTAACTTGGTAAGTTCGGAGAATCATAAGGGTGAACAGTAAGAGTTAGGAGAGATATTTCAGAACAGCTTGTAGCAGATAAATTAGGTTAATTAATATATGTTAGGCTTTCTCTTGTTTTGACAGTGAATAAATATGGACGACTTCTAAATTGCTCGATGTTTAGAGGCCGTTCACAAAATGCGTGACGCTTTTTTACATCCCCGTATATAGGTCGACACAGACCGGACGCGAATTGGCAACGCAGCGCGAATTTTCAACGTTTTTAATTTTTTAAAATCAAATAAATTTTACACTATCATAATATTCTTGTATATTACATAACAATAAAACATTTTGACTGCTCTAGCGTCCATAGTTTCCAAATTTTACTTCCAGAATTTAATTCATATGCTTCTGAAAACTCAAAATTCGCGTCGCGTTGCCGCATCGCGTCCGGTCTGTGTCGGCGTTAACTCTCTGTGATGTTGTGTGACGATTACCCATATACCTTCTCAAAAATTACGTGACGTTGAACCACAAACCCCCCACGCACACACACACCCCCCTCCCACGCATAATATAAGATACTTCACATGTGATCCGTTTCTTAATCTAGGTTGGTCAGCTTAGCTTAGAACAGCGTGAAAATAGAATACCTCATAATATTCGTGCACTTTATCGCAATTTTTCCAACATAGGTTATTAAAGGATAGTCTTGGGGGGAATTCTAAGACAGCCATGATAGCGACTGTGAGTCCTTCTATCGTCCATTATGAAGAGACATTAAGTACTCTAAGGTATGCCAGCCAAGCGAGGTGCATCGTTAACAGAGCAAGAGTAAATGAAGATCCTAATGCTAAATTAATACGAGGTGAGAATGGATGAGGCATTTTAACTAAGTTTTAATGTGCTGTTGCATGCCGCTATCACAGTGTTGTTTTGTTCAGAAAGATACGTTATACTTGAAATATACGATAAGAAGGATTGTGTTGATAGGTTGGGCTTCTGATAGATCCTGAAAAACAACGACATGCAGATGTCTTACAGTAATGGCTGTTTACCTTTTCAGAATTACTTGCTGAAATTGAGCGTCTGAAAGAGTCGTCCATTTCATCAGAACCTGAGGTTAATGTCAGCTTAAATGATGAAATAACAATGCTACGAGAAAAATTGCGTGAAACTACGACTTTATTGGCCGAATCCACGAAGTAAGACTTTGTCTCATGAATATTGTTTGTCTCAGCGGTGAGTCGATAGGCCAGTCATTAAAATATAAATCTCTCATAGAAATTGGCAAGAGAAGTTAGAGCTTTCTGAGAAACGTAAAGTGGAGGAAGCCGAAAAGTTGAAGGTATATTAAATATTTCATCAAAAAATAAAATTTAAAAATATTACCAGTATTTTGTTAACAAAGATTAAAAAATCCTTTTCCATTTTAGAAAGCAGGTGTTTCCTTCAAGGTTGATAACAAACTCCCTAATCTTGTAAACTTGAACGAGGATCCTCAGTTGTCAGAAATGCTGTTGTACATGTTGAAAGAAGGTAAACACACATGCACATGTTGAAAGAAGGTAAATTTGCTTAGTCAACAAGAGGGTTTGGTTGTTTGATGTTTTGAGTGTTTACTCAGTAGTTTTTTATTTTCATTCCCTCTTAGGAGAAACAACAGTAGGCCGTCGTCAAAGTGAACACTATTCTGATCATGATATTCAGCTGAATGGGGTTTTAGTGGCAGAAAACCACTGGTACTGCAGACAAAACATGTCTTGTATAATTTAAACAACACTCTCTGCATGATTTCTTTTTTCCCACGAATAATTATTAATATCTTCTCTTTAATTTTGTTAGCTTGATTCGTAACGAGGGTGAGAAGGTATACATCACGCCAATTGGTAAGTCGCGTGGAGAAATTTCGTATGTGATACGATTTTGACTCTCTCACTTGTTTCAATTATGAATTTCATGTTCTCCCACGATACAGACGATGCTCCGACCTATGTGAACGGCTTGCAGTTATCCGAGGAGACGTTACTTCATCACGTAATACGAAAAACTTTACGTATAACTAATTTAACTATATTGTTTTGCCGTGGCAGGATTTGTGTTTTTTAACATTATTGACAGGTTGTGTGTAAAGCTTTGCGTATTATTTTGTTCAGATGTTAACCTTTAACCCCACTTTGCAGGGTGATCGTTTAGTCATTGGAGGAGATCATTACTTCCGGTAAAATATATTCTCCTGTTTATGGTCCAGCATGTTGGATAATCGTTGATCGATTTAGACATCTGCATGTATATCATGTTGGTAATGTTGGGGAGGTTAAATGAATGACTAAGAGTTTACCTTCGTCTTCGTTAAAGGTTCAACCATCCCATTGAGGTGCAACAAAGAAAACAGGAAAATTCTGAGAAGGGAGAGAATGTTGCTCCGAAAGATTTTGAATTTGCAAGAAATGAACTGGCTCAAGTGCAGAATGCCAGGTCAGCTAGAAAATTCACTTTATTACCTGTGTGAATGACTGCCTGGCCTCCCAATAATTCCTTGACATGGAGTTAGAATTGTCTTGTTTTGTCCAGTTTTGCCGCTGACTATTTTTTCTAAACTTACATTGTTTGGTCGATGTAACCTCGTGGCCGACTTCTTAATTTTTTGATTCTGTCTACGATTAAGACTTCAAGCTGAATTGGAAGAAGCTAGGATAAAAGCTCAGGAAGAAATAATGGTCGAAATACAAGTTGCGAAAGTGAGTTTTTCGTAACGTCTCGTGAAAGATGTCACTAATGTGAAGAAACTGAAAAATACCTGCAGTGATTAGTTGGTTCAAACTGTGGGCGATTGAGGCAAAATTACGATAAAAAAATTCACATATAACCTTAAAAATAAAACCTTGCATAGTCACATGAATGATTGTCTATCTCAACTTTCATTCTTTCTTGACAGGAAACAGCACAACAAGAGTTGAATGAACAAAAACAATGTTACGAGAAACGTCTCAATCAATTACAAAATAGTTTGGTAAGTGAAGAGTTTACATTGAACACTCATTCTTTCTAAGGTTCTTCCCAGGATGAGTTGCGAAGTCACCCTCACCGGTAATTTTATGAGATGAGTCACGAATATAATTACTGTCAATTTGACGGCTAAAGAAGGGGAAAGTAGTTGAGACTGAACCAAATCAGCCGTCAAATCTGCGCATGATAAATTCTTGATCATATAATATTCTGAATACGTTAAATTTGGCATTTTGAACAGGTGCAGGCTGAATAATACAAAAATATGAGGATAATTAGGGAGGTAACAAATTTTGTTTTTTGTATTCCCTTAGAACGAGGTGGGTGCGGAGAAGACTGAGATCGAGAAATCACACCAGAGTGCAGAGGACAAGATCAGTCAATTACAAGCGCATAAAATGGTAATTTCTTGTTTATGCAGCGACAACGAGGCTATGATAATATACACGTAGAAACTTACACTTTAATCAATTTTATTTTCAGCTGCTTGAACAAGAAATTTTAAACAACAGGAAAAGATTGCAAATGGAGGCTTTAGCAGCTAAACAAGTACGCATCTTATTCCTGATCATGAAAATAAAAAGATTTTCAGTCCTTTCGGGAGACGACAACATGCAACCACGTTTTTTATGGTTGTTTTTCAATTAGGCTCTTGAAGAAACGAAAGTAAATCAAGTTCGGATAATTTCTGAATTGGAAAAAGAAAAGATAAAGATTAGAGAAGATGTAGAAAAATTAAAAAACGCGAAGGTAGTAATCTTGTATTTTCTTTTGTGAAAAAAATCACACTTCGTGGTAATTTTTTAACCGATTTACAAACGATTGCAAACCGATTTACACTTTTTCTTCCTGTTCTGTTTAGCAAGCGAGAGAACAGAGAAAAATGAGCATTGTTTCTAAAGGTATTGTTGAGTCTTTTTCACGCTATATTTTGCTTTTTTCTGTGTATTTTTTTCAAATTCGTTTATTTTGGTGACAGATAATAAAGGGAATAGTGAATTGCTACGCATATCTGTTATGTTGAGAGAAGCAAATAAGATCAGTGAAAGTTTAAAAAGACATTTGGTAAGATATATTATTAGATTGTAAAATACGTCTTGCCTGGTGTGAATAATGTCCGCTGGAGACGTTGACGGATGAGTCATCGTTAACTTCATACGTTTTATGATCATGGTTACCCTATGGTATGGAATAAGAAACTAATTTCTTAACTTGTCAATTTAGACATTCAGCAGAGATGATATATTGCTAAACGACAAGGTTTGTAGCAGAAAGTGATACTTCCTTTTTATTCCCATTATTCAAGTTCTATCCGTTCCCACTATTCATTCTTTCTTTTCCAACCTAAGGTGGAAGTGAAAATTCGTTTGAACAACACAAAACTTGGAATCACAACAGTGTGGTCTTTACAAAAGTTTGAAGCGAAATTAATGCAGATGAGGGAAATTTATCAGGTAAAATAATGAACTGCAGTAGTGAATCTTGCGATAAAATTTCATTAAAATTTATCTTAAATTTTGATTTAGCAAAACGAATCTGACAGTATCAGTGGCGATGAAGATCCATTCAGTGACCCGTCAGATCAGTGGGAAAAAGACTTCAGGCTTGATTCACCTTCTGAAACTATGTATGTCTAACATTCTACCTTCTTGATAAAATGATAGGTCCATGTTGGTCCCCTCAGATCTTGTATTGAAAGTTAATGTTTTAGTTTCTCCACGTATATTATGTTCTTTCTAAATTTTTTCCCTCTTTTTACTGACTAGACGGATGAGCAGACGAGAAACTCTTGATTTAGTTTCAAACTTGAAGAACTCGCTAGCTTCACCACTTTCATCAAAGGTTTTTATGCAATTCCTCTCATTTTTTTTCCACGAACTTTCTCACAGTTTGTCTTTATGTGTTATGACAGCGATATTTTTATTAATATTGTTTATTACAGGGAAGTCCATCGGTTCTCTACGGTGTATCACCTCGTGCTAGAGTCTTAGTGAACAACGCTGTGAACAGGCAACATGGTAATATTAATATTGTATCGCTGATGTCACACTAGTAAATACTGCTTCAATCCCAGTCATATGTGCAAACACTGATTGTAGTCTAACCTCAGGCCAGAGAAAGGCTACAAATATTCTGTTACTATTTCTTCACTAAGTCGCTATAGCCCCATCCTGTCGTTGTATTGGTTTTGGATCAAACTCCTGCTTTGTTAAGACGCGTTTACACTTGCGATTTTTGTTGTGATTTTATGTTGCGATTTCCTTCTTTTGATAGATGTGAACGAGTAATTAGTTACGAATGCTCCGATGTTAACGAGCTCTTATTTAAACACCAGTAACTAAATCACTTGTTCGCATCTATCAAAAGAAGAAAATCGCACAAAAAATCGTAGCAAGAATTGCAAGTGTGAACGGGTTTTAATAAGGATGTAGAACACTATAGTAATTTTAATGCAATTTTCATTCTCTTCAGTAAAAGCTGAAAATATTTTTGCAAAGTACAAAAGAGACGAGACACGTTCTAGTGAAGTGAAGAAGACATTTCCGTCACCATCGCCATCTCCACCGCTGTCTGATCATTTTCAAAACAGTAAGGAAATTCTTCTTGACGTAATTGATATCAGGAATCCCAACCTATTCATGTTACCTTTGTTTTTCATATGTCGTTTTTCTTCGACGATATGTCCCCGAACCTTTTGTCCCTAAAAAGATTTTTTTCTTGGAAGGAACTTCTTCATTGGTCAACAAAAAGTTATTCGAGTTTATATTCACTTATATTTTCATGCATGTTCAAGGTTTACAAAATGTCACATCAGTACCAGCGATCTGCCGCGATATGGTCTCCAGTCTTATGTCGAGAATGGAAGGTTTGTGTTTATTGAATATTTTTTTGTTATACTAGTAATAATAGTAAACATATTGTCAGATTATCATTGATAATCCAACTAAAATAAAAATACCTTGTTTCATCGTTACAAAAATTTAAGGCCTCTCAAATTAACTGAAATCCTGCTGGATACGACTTTTAGAGTTTAATGACATTATTGGTGGTCAAGATTAGATGTGTATTTATATACTTTCGTTTTTACAAGGTCTTTCTACGTCAAGCGAAGTGCCTTTCCACGAACGGATCGTGTACAGTGTGAACCAAGTTCTCTTGTCTGCCTCAAGTTTGCGCAGAGCTTTTAAAAACGACAACGGGGCAAGACATGCGGGTACGTCTAAATCTCCGTTTAAGTGACCGTTAGACAAGCCGTTTAGCTGTAGTTTCCAATCAAATCCAATCATTTTTTTCTTATCAAAGTTCCATTGCGAGAGACTGAAATCGTTCGTCGTCATACTATTCAAATTATGACATCCTTGGAACGACTTCTGGAACAAACGCAGTCATGGAGAACGGTACTCGATGCCAGCGGTGTGGAAAAAGTTCGCGAGATGACATCGCGTTTACTAGACTCAGTACGAAGAGTTGCAGCACATTTAGCAAAACTGTTAATGGTAAATATATAGATAATATAGATTTTCCTATATCTTTATTACTTTTTCAGTGGTTATATGGTCAATTCGTTTAATGCACGCGCCTTTCACCACTGCATTTGACTTCCTTTATGGTTAGAAGCTTGCCGTTAGTTTGTATCTAATATCAGTGGCGTAGCCACCGTTGCTGGCAATTTGGTCATGCTATGCAAATTTCAAGTCATTAGAATTATCAATTTCTTTAGAAATTCATTGTTTTCACAGCTAATGAACACCAAAATATTAGCATAGCATGACTAAATTGTCAGGCTGGCTACGCCACTGCCTAATATATAACATATCTTCTCTATGTCCCCCCTCCTGCAGTGACAATGATGATTCATTGCCGGATCCAAATTCAAGGAGACCTTTTAGAACTACGATAACTTGAGAAGTGTATCATAAAAATCGTGTGAAATCTATCTTCCTTAGGGCTGTGATGGAGATATGGTGTCATTGATTGAGGAGTCTGGTGACAAGCTTGAAAACTGCCTATGCATTCTAGTCAAACAGGTTGCAAAACTGGTTGTAATGTCACCTGTTGAATTCTCTGAAGACAACCTGGCTGAAGAACTAGAAGTAAGTCGAATTTCGACTAAACGATTTAATAACTAATCGCTAGATTGTTTTGCCACCTCCTTTTTAGTGGTGTTACAGTATAAGAATCTTTTCTAAGAGTGATGCACATATTATGCTAATTTTTTATTAGATCCAAGGTTCTTGTGCGGCAGCGTTTGTGGAGGGGCAGAATCTTGTTCTTCGTGACGCTGTACAAGACTGTAATAGAGTCATCAAAGAATCGCTCAACAGCATGCAAAAACTGGTTCACAAAGGCAATAACGAGGTATGAGAGGATTCTCTGTTTTAGATCACTGCAGATTGACCGGTATTAACTGAAAACAAGAGGTCATGAGGTGTTTTTTATTGATTTTTAGATGGAAAAAGAGATCAGAGACGACGCTACAAGATTATTGAAATCTGTTTTAAACTGTACTCGAAATGTCGACGACATACAAGTATGTAAAATCTAGCTAATTTTGATATGAGGGAGGGCTTCGCCTATAAAGACGAAAATTGATCAACTATCAGTAAGCTAGTAATTTTTCAACGAGTTTTTGGTCATGTCGTATAGTGTTGGTCATGTCAAATTACTTCATAGGTCATCTCCTTCATTAATTTGATAGTTCGAACTTCTCTGTTCAAAAACCCGCTGACATCAATCATATGTTAATTTCATTATCCTATAGAAAACGTTATATAGTCTAAAAGATATGACGCCATGCACCGTTGCTGGAAGACGAGTATACTGCTGTCACCAAGTGGTCAGCGGCACTCGGTCAGTTACAGACATTTCTGGGCGTTTGACAAAAGCCATTGAGAGATTGAAACTAGACAAGCCGCGATTATTTACTGGAATGATTGAAATAGCAACTGAACTTAGGACTAGGGTCGCAAACGTTGTGGAACACACGCAAAGCCTCGTGGAATTCGATACAAGTTATTGCTCGAATCAATCCCGGGAGAGATCAATTAGCCAATCACAAGTGGGTTTCGCCAATCAGTCCTTCGATGAAATCATTCGCGATTCCCGCGAGAACCTCACGCATGAATCCCGCGACCGATCTACGAGTGATCCTCGCGATATATCTACGAGAGAATCTCGCGAGAGATCATCAAGTTTATCTTTTCTCTCAACCTTCAAAGACAAACTGAAGGTTAAAGAAAAGAATGTGAGACTAACATCTCGTGAGCTTGCACAGACATTAACAAAGTACTCATTCCTTACTGATGAAAGGTCTTGTGAGAGGAAGCATATGCGTGGTAACTATGGCACTCCTGTGTCCAACGGTATCTCCAGAGGCCTTAGAGATACAACAAATTCTCCAGGTTCTTTTCAAAAGAAGATTGCACACGAATTTACACAGCAAACACCCCCGCGAAGTCCTCGCGAAGGTTTTTCGGTCTTTCGTTCGAAAGAGTGCCCATTGTAAAATCGATGTGTTGCTATTGACATGAACAAGTTTTTTACATGGATATAATTATATTTATGCGAGTAGTTATTTATTAATTTTTTTTATCCACCTGGATTGAATAGATGAAAATAAATTAGAACTTATAGTGCTAGTACTATTAAATACCCATGGTCCATGGATTCGTTATACTTTTCAGGTGGTCTATGTAATTATAGTAACTATATAATTAAGCATTCTCTACTCTACGAACGTGAAAGATCTTACAATGTAGTAATGTGAACAGGCAGGAACGTGATGAATAATTGTCCACAAAGCAGTATGTCTGAACTATTTATTGGCTTTTTTACTCATTTACATTGTCTAAAACTGCTGTTCTATTCTGCATCGATTTCACAATTTCCTCCATTCACTACGCTGAGTTAACGGTCACGAGTAATTAGGCCTGGTCTCCATCTTTATTAGTCATGAGTTTCGTGAACATGGTGGTTGATGTAGTAGAATATTTCTATGTGTGTACAGTCAACAATGACCGTTTGAATACAGAAATAATAACAAATTTACATCCGCACTATTTCTCATCGGTAAAAATGACTTGTTCACGACAATTTCCAATTTCAACTAATTGGTAAGCAGGTGATAACTCTTATATGGTGCGTTCGTTTGGGTGCGTTCATTTTACGACGTGGTAATGTCGATTATAATACCATTTACCATGCATGTGGTACTTTCGTAAGAATTCCGTGATCTGATTGGTTAAAAATTCAAAACTTGTAGACCCGAGTTTCTTCACACGGTATCATTCTTCAAGATGGCGGAGCACGAGGAACGAGTGAGTAAAAGTCAAGTAAATTTGTAGTTTTAAAGTAAAACGTTCGTTTCGAGCACGTGTAAACTCAAGTGTGTGTGAAAATATTTCGTAGGACGTAGAAGAGAGTGCCTTACCTGCGCAAGATATTGTCAACAAATACTTACGTGGATCGAAATTGAGATTTTATAAGGTTTGATTATTTTTATGAAAAACGTATGGATTTATTAAAGTATTTCCAACTGATATTCGTTAATTTGAAAGTTGTATAACACTACAATGCTATAGGACAACGAAATAATGAAATTGTAGTTTTGTTCCACATTGAAATATTTGCCATTGATAGCCTTTTGAAACGCATTTTTTTATTTTGTTATTAAATACATTATACAGGGATTAAAAGATAAGAAACTAAGGGGCAAGCTAAAGAGCCATGAATCAAAATATAAAGAAGCAGCACTCCAAGCAGCCAGATCTGAGTTGCTTCTGCCAGAAGAGGCTGGGTAAGTTAAGTAAAGAGATGATATTGACTCGTAAAAATTTTCATGAAATATATGGTTTGTGATGGAGTAAGATGTCCATTAGTTTAGGAAAAGTCTGCCATTTCAGGTAAAAATAAATTTGTCAAAATAGTTTTTGATAGTTATATTCACATTTATCAGATATCTTGAGGCTGAAGGATATGAGAAAACCTACCACTTCAAACAGTCTGATATTGTTAAGGCTGTTGACATTTCAACTGCTAACAAGGTAAGTTCTTCTATTTATTTTGTCTCAAGTCATCAGGTCAGCGATATTCCCCATAACCACCATATGAAGACTGGTGAACTGTGAAGTGAATAACATGACTCTTATTACTTAGCCCTCAAGACAAACATCATCCGTGTCTGACTTTTCTGCTGACTGACGCTGCTCCCTGGTTATATTGGAACATGTCTGATTAGTTAAACACCTACACTTCATTTTTTTGCAGCATTTTGAACTTAAACTAGAAACCTTTGCACCATATAACATCAATTATACAAGAAATGGGAGGTAATTTACACTATTGATTTCACTTCTAATTCTTATTTTCTTCATTCCTTACATTATGGGGCCCCACATAATAGACTAAACTATAAATCTGCAATTTTTCTGTCTTAACTAGGTATCTTCTACTTGGAGGAAGAAAGGGCCATCTTTCTGCCTTTGACTGGAAAGATAAAAAATTAAAATGCGAGTTTCATGTACAGGAAACTATTCGTGATGTTAGGTACCACATTGAAGCTGTTGTATTTCAGTTTTATGCTTGACAAATGTAAAATGCTTGGTAATTTTTTCTTACTCTTTTGAAGGTGGTTGCATATTGAAACAATGTTTGCTGTTGCACAAAAGAAAAACGTTTTTATTTATGACAACACAGGACTGGAGTTGCATTGCTTGAAACAACATGAGAATGTGAATCGTTTAGATTTTCTTCCTTATCATTTTTTGTTAACAACAGTTGTGAGTATTTCATATTTATTACTTGTTTATTAATGATGTTTAATGAGATAAAAACTGGGATAAAAAATTGCCCAAACCAGCTTGAAGTGATAAAATTTCATAGCGGTTGATACCAAATATTGATGACTAGAAAGGCAGAATAGGGCAATTTAGGTAATGACATCCAGTAAGGGTTAAATTTATAGGGTTGGATTCAGAATGTAGTTCTGGAGAATGGATTTGGTTTAGGGAAGGGTCCAGGACTTAGTCTCTGCAATTCATTTTGCTTTTACTGATCATACAAAGCATTAAATGGTGGTAATTTAGCAGCATGATTTATGTAAAATATTTCATGTTGACAATCCACCCCATTTTCTAGCATGGTACATACTTCCTTAGGCATGAAAATAATTTATATTTAGAACCAAAAAGGTATCCTCAGATATCAAGACGTGTCCACTGGAAAACCCATATCGAGAATACGCACTGGACTCGGCCCATGTGACTGCATGTCAAAAAATCCACACAATGCCATTATGCACTTGGGTCATTGCAGAGGTAATTAAAATCATAATTTAGTTTGCTTTTATCTCTTTGAAACAAGCTTTCCCAGCGATAAGAAAATGTCTGTTTCTATATATTTACAATATTCAATATTTTACAAATTAGGAACAGTCACTCTATGGAGTCCAAATGTCACTGTGCCCCTCGTCAAAATGTTGTGTCATCGTGGCCCTGTCAAGGCGATAGCTGTGGATCAAGGAGGATGGTAGGGGGAAAGGAGTTGACTCTTTTTCAATTTTAGCGGATTCTCATAGAAACAAAAAACCTCTGTTTTTATCTTTGGTCTTCAGGAAACAACTAAACAAAATAAAACGATTGATGCAAAAAGGTTTTTTGGGAATAACATAGCTACACTAGCTAACATGGCTAACTGAATTTTGAATCACCGTCGTAACTGTCATTCCAAGATTTAAATTTTTAAAGTCAAACTAGGAATATCTTCTGTACTTCTCGCAAACTTCATATAGAGTTATATGAGAATTTCTCGCTGTTATGCGGTCTGTGACCCGGACATGTTACTTTCATTAGGTATATGGCAACCTCAGCGCTCGATACACAAATAAAGATTTGGGATATAAGAACATACAAACAACTTCAAGCATATCGTACCGTTAGACCAGCCTCGAGCCTGGCTATTAGCCAACGAGGTCTTCTTGCAGCAGGATGCGGTCCACATGTTCAGGTTCGTTGAAGAATCGTTATGGATTTATCCAAACTGCTACCGGGTAGTGACCTAAAGGAAGGATGCAAATTAAATGCATTTTCCAGTTTTTTCTGTGTAGTACTGCACTCTGCTCACATGTGATTGAAGTTTTAATCAACTGCATATTGCAGGCACTGTACATTACCCTTTGTTCACAAACGTGAAGGACCTTTACTAAGCGGTACTACCACAATCAAATAATTTCCTACAGGTGTGGAAGGATGCTTTTCGAACAAAACAAAATGCTCCGTACATGAACAATCTATTTCCTGGCTGCACCGTTCGTGGTGTCGAATTCTGCCCGTTCGAAGATGTGTTGGGTGTTGGCCACTCTAAAGGATTTACAAGTCTCGTTATCCCAGGTAAGACGATTGTTTACTTAGAAAGCACTTGAGGAACATTCGAACGGAATTTATAGCAATTTTGGACCAATGTCGGGAGCAAGCAACGGTTCAGAATCAGACAACGGTTTCTGTCACCAGTAAATTGCTGTTGTGATGTCCCCCATATTTTCTTTGCCCGATTTTGCCAGATTTCTGACTTTAATTTTTCTTTTGTAAATTTAATTTATTGTAAACGGATGGATATCAATTTCATTTTTAAGGTAGCCTCGTAATAACGCATTTGGATGTAAATAAATTGATATTTGATAGATGCGATTGACAGAAATTTCTCTTTATCTTAAGTGAATTGCCTATGTTCTTGAAATCCATATTTCATATGTCCTTTTAAGGTGCGGGTGAACCAAATTTTGACGGACTCGAATCTAATCCATATCAAAACAAAAAACAACGGCAAGAATTTGAAGTGAAAGCGTTACTTGAGAAGGCGAGTTTTGACTGTTTTGTTCACAGTTCTAGTGCTACAAATTTAAACAGCTATTTGCGTTTAAAACTGTTTTCTTAGGTTCAACCAGATCTCATCACATTAAACCCGAGTCAAATCAACCGTGTTGATACTGTCGACAGAAATGTTAAAATTGCTGAGATGAATGAAGATCGACCAGTAAGACCATTTTATGCCATGAAATTAACTTGCACTGAATAACCCTCTGTTGCCGTAAACCGACCTTGTGTGTCAGGTTACGGCGGTTTTACGGCGGTAGCCCATATATTACCATCTTTGTTCATGCGAGTTTTATTCCTGAAATATGATCCAGTTAGTCCTAGCGCATCTCTCATTGGTTGAATATTCCAAAGGAAGAAAAAGTGTGAACTAAGGACAAGTGTCATATTTTTGCAGGAAGAGGAGGATTTCACACCAAGACATAGAAAGAAAGGAAGAAGTTCCTCTGCCAAGCAACACCGTAGAAAAAAAGGTGTTCAAGCTGAGGACAAACGGGTATGTGTAAATGAAGTAGTTAACCTTTCCTTTTTCAAACAGAATTCATTCACGTGAATCAGGGGGGGACGCTATCCACCGGATGGTGATTTTTTAACTGTTGTAAACCTGGGAAGCAAATAAATTACGATTTGGTGCTAGCTGCCATTAAAGGGAACCCCCAATTTAAGCGTAATAAGATTTAATCATGGTTATACTGAACAACGGGCAATTTTGGAGCGATTGAAAAAACCACTATCCAGTGGATAGCGCTATCCGGCTTTCGCACAGCCGACCTCAGAAGCGTAAACTGTTTTGTTTATGGACAGGGTCTTTATCAGGATCACAAAATTAATTCTACATTTTTTCTACAATTTCACTGGGTCATTACAGGACAAAGTTAAAAAGCTGATAAAAGAGAAACAGAAGGAAACAAAGAAAGAAAAGGCACAAGATGAGATAACTGAAAGAAGGAAACTTAGCAAGAAAAACGTTCTGGACAGGTTCAGAAAAACAAGTAGGACGTAGCATCCAGTCGTTAAATAGAATAATTCCAGGTCTCTTTTTCATTGTCTTTTCGTTAGTGGATCAGAAAGACAGTCGAAATGGCTATTCTTGTCAATAGCAGTTGATGCGTATAAGTCGATATTGAAATAAGAGCGACACGCATATGGCTACCCAGCTATTTAAAAATCGCCCATGCAGTCTTAATATATATATTAGGTACATATAGATTGATTTAACTGAAAAACAGCTCATGCATCAGAAAAACCTGGGAACGAGGATGCTCATGCATTACTTGATTTTATCGGCGTAATAAATTAGAAAACACAAATATTCAAAGCCTGGTTAAATCAGAACAATTCTGTTTACGATGTGGCACTTGCGAGCGAATCACAATGATTTACGCGGGATACTATCGCGATAGGGCAAACTAGATCCTCTAAATAAAACATGTAGCTGTAGATAACTTTCATCCTAATACAAACAAGCGAAAAAGCAGATACGCTTGTCGAACAAGTAAAAAAATTATCATGCTTAGACAACCCCCCGGAGACGCAGCAAACTTGTTAATGAAAAATGTTTCTATTATAATACTCTTAAAGTGGACTGGTTCTCAGCGTTTTTGGGAAGATTTTGGTAAGCGAAGGGATGGTACAACGAAGCATACCCGTATTCGCTAGAGGCAGTGAACATCGAGCATCCACGTATGGTTCAGCCTATCGTGATCTTGGCTTTATCTACAAAGATATTTTGTAAAGATTACAAAGATCCTTTGTCTACGAGATTATCAACGTGCTGAAACAATTCTCGCCAAACTTGGATGGAAACTTTTTCCGGTTTGAGTCATGGTGTAATTATTAATAAATCTTGCGGCAAGATCGTAATCGTTAAAATCGTCGATACTTGGAAAATTATCAATATTTTGCTATTGAATTGGACATTTTCGTATTTGAGTAATCGCCCAGTACTACCTTTAGTCCGTTCGTTTTCAGTAAGTACGCCAGTATGGATTCAAAGGTCGATACCAACCCAAAAAATGCGATAAAAGTGGCTAATTATCGAGGGAGGAAGTATTTCATGCCGAAGGAATACGATGGAAAACCAAACAAGATTAATTGGTTCGTAAAAGATACAGCCAAGCATGCTGGATGTTGCTTCAAAGTGTACAAGGAGAGTAGTGCTCATTTGGAATTCCTTCATGGCGTTGACGCGTCTGGCAAAAAGATCGACAAACACGAGTCGATGAGTGGTCACCGAATTCCTGTCAAAGATTTGGGTATCGTTTACTCTAAATGAATGCATAAAGATTACAAACATAAATTGTAAACACAAGTTCGCATATATTCATAAAGAAACATTAATTTTGGATTTTGTCTGTTGGTCTATGTAATATGTTCGCATCTATTCAATAACAAAAGATCGTATAGGCTTCTGGGAATTATTAAAGTTTCCTTTTTTATACACCCTGTAGACAGCTTACAAAATAAGACAATAAGATTTCAAATAATAATTTACTGAGGTGGATTATTAGAAATAGGGCCTTTTAGGGGAGAGCGATGGTAGGTTTTTCAATGGTTTTTAAAGTAAATTTTAAATAAATTAATGTCTAATTTGGACACTTTTTCATCTCAGACTACGAATGAATTAGGCCATGCATATTTAATACATAAAGCCCGCCGCATACGAGAGCTATCAGCTGAGCTAACGACCTCGCTAAAAACTATCCGCACACGAGAGTAACTTGCTGGGCTAACAGCCACGCGAGGTCTTTAGCTCGGCTAATAGCTCTCGTGTGCGGCGGGCTTAGGTTAAGAGATGCCTGCGGAGAAGGCTAGTAATAAATAAGTTACATTTTGTGTTAGTGAAAATATGCGCGTCCTGCTTACTTTCGAGTCAAGCCAATGAAATAATCGCAATGTTGGTCTTGCGTTTCGACCTTTTCCAATATAAAAGGTCCAGACAAGTGCAGTATCATAGCATTATTATAAAAGTGCAGTATTATAACATTAGCACTCTGTATATAATGCAGCGATGGTATCTTACTAAATTTTGACCTTTCCATTTTCATTCAACACAGTAGTGACCGAATATAATGGGAAGTGGCAGCGATAGAGGTTGAAATGAACCCAAACTTTTAATTCAATAAGCAAAGTCACATTTTTGACTGCGCATCCAAACAGCCTCGTACCCAGGCGCTTCAATAGTAAATATATAACGTTGCATTCAGGTATAATATAGTAGTCAGGCATCCAAATGAAAGCGTTCTTTTGTTGGGATAGTTGACATTCAGCTGGAAATAAACAACTGAACTGTAGCTCTTCTGATCTTAGCTGCATGTTGTGATTCAACTGCAATTTTATCCCAAACTTAGAATGTTTTCATTGATACACATTTCAGACTGTCAAGTAAATTGGCATTACTATTGAAACAAATAGTAGTTGAAAGTCAACTTTATTCCTTTATTCCAGAAATATTCTACATATTTTATTAACCCTTCTTCTTGGCAACACCAACAGTTCTTCCCTTTCTGCCAGTTGTCTTAGTGTGCTGACCACGGACACGAAGACTAGATAAAAAGATAGATACCTCAATTCCTTTCTGTTATTTGGTGGGCTTCACAGTTAAAAGTGTCATATTTATCTGGTCAATACAGCATACTTACCCCCAGTAATGACGAAGGCCTCTATGGGCTCGGATCTTCTTAAGTCTTTCCAAATCTTCTCGAAGTTTATTGTCAAGATTGTTGGAAAGTGCCTATAAAATTGGGTAAAGCATCAATTTAGTTCAGTCTATGGTCATCACGCATACTATCACAACTGGTAATATTACAAACCTGACTGTATTTTCCATCCTTGATGTCTTTCTTTCTGTTCAAGAACCAGTCAGGAATTTTATACTGCCGAGGGTTTTGAAGTATGGTTGCAATACGTTCAACCTCATCTTCTGTTAATTCACCAGCACGTTTGTTAAGATCCACATCAGCCTTGCGGCACACCAAGGTTGCATAACGTCGACCTACACCCTACATTAAGATGAAAACATCACTTTGTTGTTTTCCCTGGCAACTTAAAATTTGGATATTAATTATATTTGGAAAGCTCGAATACAAACGTTTAAATTAATTTTCCTCTTTTTTGTTCACATATTACAAATATGAAGTCAAACAAACCCGTATGAAACTATTAGATGAATTTCACTCGTCATCATCGATATAAGATCAATTGATCAAATGTTCACAATTATTTCTACGGAATCATTCGATCATTCCTAATACCTTGATCGCTGTGAAGGCAAACAAGCATTTTTCTTTGCCATCAATATTTGTGTTCATCAAACGCAAAATATGCTGGAACTTCTCGGGAACAACGAGAGCCTAAACAGGGATAAACGTTCCATATTATCATCGAACTCCATTGTGCTTATTAAGTACCACTGTTATGAGGCTGTTTTTCGCCTACAATTCATGCACAATTTTAGAAAGAGCTTACAAACAGGACAAATGATTATTGGTCTACAAGAAAGCAAGGGGAAAATAAAAAACAATTGCAGGATTAGAGAAAATTTCAGTGGATTATTTATTGAAATATACGCTCAATTTCTATTCTTACCATGATGGCGGAATGAAGAGGAAGATCGCGATGAACTCTGGGTGTTTTATACACATGTGCAGGCGAGCACCTAGAGAGGTGCAGGTGTTTAAAAGGTGTGCAGGCACTGAGCTATATCAGCAATATCAGCGATTTATCATTTAATCACAGATTTAAGCCCATTTAAGCCCCGTACAGACGGGTTTTCCTTGCCAGGTTTTATTTGCTCGTGTGTACGCGAAAAAAATTTTCTCCTTGATTAGAGGCGAAGGAGCCTTGTTCAAAAGCTAGTCATGCCAGCTTAAGTAGGAAATTGCGCAACAATTAAATATCTTCGAGCTAATTGAGCGGTTTTTATCATTTTTAAATTTTATCATTTTTGTTTGTTTTGAAATTCGATCGTATACTTTGTCGTAAATATACTCGAAATATATATTTTCGTAAAACTTGTCAAGAAAAACTTGTTCGCCAATCGTCATACACGAGCAAGTGAACTGGTCAAGGAAAACCTACCCGTCTGTACGGGGCTATAGTGCCTTATAGTAAAAATGTAGTGTAACTTTGTCAAATCGCATAGTTTACAGAATGCAATACTTTAGCATTGATACTATTAAAATGATACAAGATTACGATGGAACATGTTTTGTAGACAGTTTTTTTGTCGTTTTAGTTTGGTAAGTTCAGTTAATGTATCAGTACGATATTTATGGTTACGATTTACTAAAAAGCGACTACCCTTGCAAATTGCCTAGGAAGGTGTAATCTTTTTCGAGTTCAAGCACAGGCAGCCCGGTCACTGCTGTTGTTACGTCATGCTATTATATATGTATATAATTACAATAAGGCTGGCAACTCTCTCGCAAAAAATATAATACATACATTAATACCATCGCTTAAAACAAAAATATTACGCTAGTTTCTTAAAAAAAAAACAGATACAAAACACCTTGGATATATTGACTATATTTATCTGTCATTTTTAGACTTGAAAAAAACTCTAAAATGCTCAAATTTTACGAATTAAAAGTGTGTTTTCGTTGAAATTTTGCGAAACAGAGGCGGGATGCAATTTACTCGACAAACGTCATCATCGGAGAATTCGTCGGCAAACTTCTGATTGGCTGTGGCAAGTTCGGAAAATTACGAAGGTCAACTCAATCAAGAAAAAAGATCTTCGTAATTTTCCGAACTTGCCACAGCCAATCAGAAGTTTGCCGACGAATTCTCCGATGATGACGTTTGTCGAGTAAATTGCATCCCGCCTCTGTTTCGCAAAATTTCAACGAAAACACACTTTTAATTCGTAAAATTTGAGCATTTTAAAGTTTCTTTCAAGTCTAAAAATGACAGATAAATATAGTCAATATATCCAAGGTGTTTTGTATGTAGTTTTTTTTAAGAAACTAGCGTAATATTTTTGTTTTAAGCGATGGTATTAATGTATGTATTATATTTTTTGCGAGAGAGTTGCCAGCCTTATTGTAATTATATACATATATAATAGCATGACGTAACAGCAGTGACCGGGCTGCCTATGGTGGTTCAAGTTTAAAAATGATGAAAATTTGGCAACTTTAGCATTTTATGATACCCTGTACGTTCTTCAGGGGGGGGGTCTAGGCGATGAACCAAATGACATGGCAACAAGTACTATAAACAAAAACCCATGTTGAACTCTATGTTGAACAGTTGAACTGTGAAATGACAAATGTCTGCATTTACAAATTTAGTTTGTCAAGGAGACACGGTGAAAATGAAGGAGTATCTTGAAGACCCGACAAACGAGGTCGCGGACCGGCAAACCTTTCTAAACGAACGAAATAAAAGCGGGAAATCCGCTTTGGATTTTGCAGCTATACTTGGGAGGGAAGATGCTATAAGACTTTTAATTGAATGGGGGGCTGACCTTAATTCGAGCACCAAAAAAGGTATCTATTGCTTTTAAGAATAAGCAATCATTATATAACTTATACATGTGTATGCAAAGTTGTTGAAGGCTTATAGCCAAATTTTTCAATTCTTATTATTCAATTCAAAATACATTACATTCATGTTTGTCTAACTTTATAGGTTATAGTGTATTACATCGTGCTGCATCTTGGGGACATTTAGACTGTGTAAAGATGCTTGTAAACCTTGGTGTAGATCTACAGGTTACAAATGTTCACGGAGAGCGTGCAAGAGAGGCTGCAGCTAGATATGGAAAACAGGATTGTGTTGACTTCTTGGACAGAGCTGGTAGAAACTGACTTTTCTAATTGGATATGTAACCTCTTCTAAACTGTTTTTCCATGTTGACTGGAAGTCTATTATGTTACCAGAGAGGAAAAGCTAGTCTAAACTTATACAATATTAGTACTTTAGTAGGAAACATTCTATTATTTTTAGAGGCAATTGCTGCTTTACAAACAGCAATTCAGGACATCAAAAGTACAGTGACAGATCCAGAGAAGAATCTTGGACGTTTAAACAAAGAAGACAAGGTAATTTCCTTATAGTTACCAGTCATATAATTGACAAAGGACTCATGCATTATTTGAATATTAAATTTTAGTTAACTGGTAACAAGTTGTGTGACGAGAAAAACACTTGGTTGATGGCAAACAAAGATACTGCATCTGTAGAACTTATATTTAAGAAGAAAGATGAGCTTTATGAAGCTATGCATTATATATTTTTGAAACTTGAAGATTTGGGTATGATATAATAATGCCATTGACTTATTATGATTTATGATACCTAATGACACTGAGTAGAGTGAGCTTGCTTATCAGCCCCTGCCAGTCTGCCTATTGCCTAATCTAGCATTGACAAGTGAAGTTGCATGCCATTAGAGAGAGCAAAATACTAATGCTTCTGGATCTTGTTTTTGAGCAGATTGCCAGCTAAATATGTAGATACTCAACTTTTCAGTTGCACTTCCATGCCATGTTGCTAAAAATACCAATAACTCTTTGATATTCTTTTTTTTAGAGATTGAGAAAAAAAGATGACCCATTATTTTGTTCATTTTCCTATAAGTTTAGAGAAAAAATAGTGAAATGAAGACGGTTCAGGTTTACAATGTTCGAAGGAGATCTGTTTTCAGTAACAAATTCTTATCTATATGAACAATGAAATGAGAACAATAGATTAGGGTCCCTTCCCCTAGCAGATCAATTTGCACCCCTTATGCAATCTTGAAAAATTGTTCTGCAGTCTCTGTTGTTTACCAGTGTTAATCTCTTACTGAACAATATAAAACTCGATGTGAATGCTGTAATTTCAGAGGCATGCTGACAACTTCTCTTATATTGAGCCCATCAGTGATAATTTGTGGCGACTATCTCCGCTTATCGCTGCCAGGCCCACTGGGGTAATGTAGTTATTATTTGAAATATTATTTTAGAAAACTCTCTCAATATATTATCTTCACGAGTATAATGTTTGCGCATATAAATATAAACATCTGTTATTAGCCATATCTATATTTCTATGAATATTTCTATAAAATATCAAATATAGTAAAAATAGTTCATCCCGCAGGCTAAAAACAGGCTAATAGTTCAACGCGCGCTGAACTGCCGAAGTCTGGTTCGGATAACCTCGCTTTCGCGTGGCCTTAGTTACTTTGTTACGTCGCCACAAAGATTATACATTGAAACAATGTTTTATACACTATAAATTTTTCATTCTTGGAACATTTTTATCTACTCTATAAAGATATCGCTCGTAAATGGATTGCTGCTACGCTACCGAGGGTCCTGTATCGGTTACGAGTGCTATGAATAGGAAAACCCATTCAAATAAACCGATACTCCAACATATATCTGACAAGCATCCGAAGCACGTTTTGGAAGCTTTAGACGGGCTACGACAGTGCAAAGAACTTTGCGATGTGGTTTTACGCGTTGGGTCGAGAGTGCTGTATGCTCATAGAGTGATTCTAGCCTCTTGTTCTCCGTATTTCAAGGCTATGTTCACAGGAGAACTGGTTGAAAGTCGACAAATGGAGGTGCCAATTAAAGATGTAGATGAACACGCGATGGAATTATTGATAGCATTTGCTTATACAGGATCGATAACTATCAAAGAGTCAAACGTCCAGACGCTTCTACCGGCTGCTTGCTTGCTACAATTAACCGAAATTCAGGAGATTTGTTGTGAGTTTTTAAAAAAGCAGTTAGATCCGACGAATTGTCTAGGTATTCGGGCATTTGCTGACACTCACGCATGTCGCGAGTTACTGCGTTTTGCAGACATGTTTACACAGCATAATTTTCAAGAGGTTGCAGAAAGCGAGGAATTTTTATTGCTACCATATGGTCAGTTGCTAGACATTCTCTCAAGCGATGAACTGAATGTTTCCTCGGAGGAGCTTGTTTTTAAGGCAGTTATGTCATGGATCAAGCACAACGTCTCCGAGCGTCGTCACCACCTTCCAACTGTTTTACAGCATGTCCGACTCCCCCTGCTAGGGCCGAAATTCTTGGTAGGGGTTGTTGGTACTGATATGTTAATCAAAAGTGATGAAGCATGTAGAGACCTTGTTGATGAGGCAAAGAATTACCTTTTGTTGCCTGAGCAAAGGTTGCTAATGCAGGGGCCTAGAACTAGACCTCGAAGGCCAACAAAGTGTACTGAAGTTCTTTTTGCAGTAGGTGGGTGGTGTAGTGGTGATGCTATTAATAGTGTTGAGAGGTATGATCCTCAGAATGGTGAGTGGAGGTTGGTTTCACCAATGAATAAGCGACGTTGTGGAGTTGGCGTTGCTGTGTTGGATAACTTGTTGTATGCAGTTGGTGGCCATGATGGAAGTAGTTACCTAAATAGTGTTGAGAGGTATGATCCAAAGACTAACCAATGGAGTTCTGAGGTTGCTCCAACCAGCACATGTCGGACAAGTGTTGGTGTTGCTGTTCTCAAAGGGTATGTCTAAAACTAATAGTTTTATTTACAGACTGAAATTATACTAATATATTGTAATATAGGCAATCTACTATATTTATAGCTTACAGCTAAAATGTTTTTGGAAATCATTGTAATTTTTTCCTACAGCCATATGTATGCAGTTGGTGGCCAGGATGGTGTATCCTGTCTCAACATTGTTGAGCGATATGACCCAAAAGAGAACCGGTGGACCAGAGTTGCTCCAATGAGTACCAGACGGCTTGGCGTAGCTGTGGCAGTGCTTAATGGCTACCTTTATGCAGTTGGAGGGTCAGATGGTACCTCACCATTAAACACAGTTGAACGATATGATCCTACAGCTAATCATTGGAAGGCCATGCCATCAATGGGTACAAGACGAAAGCACCTTGGCGTGTCAGCATTTCAAGATAAACTTTTTGCTGGTAGGTACATTATGGACTGATAGCAAACTTTATTTATGTATTTGTGAAAGGCATGGTACACGTTGGTCATATTCGGCAAATTTTCTCCCAGTAAAGAGGGCTCAGTTTTCCAGCAGTCTTCGCATGAAAAATTAGAAGCTTTTCGTTTTACGCCTTGCTCTCAATTTTGTGTAAGTTGTCCGCTGACAATATGAGCCTGCACGAGTGGGAGAAACTTAGCTAAGTTGGACCTGCGTGGTAGCATTTTAGATTGTTCCAAGTTCTGTTAATAAATATGGGCCTAAAAATCCTAAACTACACACAAGAAGAGGCACAAATCCCATGTTAATTTTCATGAATCAACCACTTTGTCACAAAAAATATATTACTGGTATATAATTTTCTTTGTTTAAATGTTAGACCATTGTATCCAAATAAATCTCTTGTTTGCTGTGTTTTAGTTGGTGGCCGTGATGACTCAACTGAGCTGAGCAGTGCTGAATGTTTTGATCCCGAGACAAACCAATGGAGTCCTGTGGTTGCTATGAACTCTCGACGTAGTGGTGTGGGTCTTGCTGTTGTTAATGGACAGCTGCTTGCGGTAGGCGGGTTTGATGGTACCACCTACTTGAAGACCATTGAGGTCCTGGACTCAAATAGCCAATGGAAGATGTATGGTGGTATGAACTATAGAAGACTAGGTGGGGGTGTAGGGGTGGTTAAGGTACCATTGTGTGATACCATAGGGTGTTAATAATGGTGTTTAATAGTGGTGTTTTTGTGAGTTTGTACAGTAGATGGTTGTCAGGCAAGCTATACAGTACTTTGTTGTGCTGTATTGTATTTCAAGCCCACAATACAGGGTCAGGATTTCAATATGACCTGAGTATGAATATTCTGAAGTTTGACACTGACTATCATCTTCTGCCACTTATGCTTACTAACACCCGGCAATTGTAGATAGTTGTGTAAGAAGGTGTAGTATGTTCAATTATAGAATTGTTTAAAATGTCAGGTTTTATATTACCAAGGATGATTGAATTTTCATGTTTTCCTCCTTCATTTATTTCTGGTTTTCTTTGAGAACCAAGCTATAAAGCAATATTTCCTAGTTTATCCACATACAGGCTTCAGGGCAATGCAAGGCTTAAAATGCTACTTTATCCCAGTGGCATTTTCAAGACCCAAACATTGGAGCAAAAATTGAGAATATTTAAAGTAAAACTCCTTTTTCCACTATTCACACTATATTGTTTTACAACTTCCTACAATATTCTCCAGTTGATCCACTTCTTTAGGGCATTCAGATGTTAAGACAACAGGCCCTGTCTTTGTGATCAAAATATCGTCTTCAATGCGAATTCCAATACCTTTATATCTGAAAGATCAATATTGCACAAAATCAGTACATATTAAATACCACACTTTTCTAAAAAAAAGGTGTCCCCAAAAAATTGTGACTCATTGTGAATTCATAATTGACTAAGTCCCATAATTGCTGGACTGTAATTGTCCCCTAACTACTTTTGATGTGGTTTTGGCTTTAATATTTTATCACTGGCAAATGCTGTCAGCTTGACACTAACAACTCAATATTTATCCACCTTTTTGGCACATCCAACTCATCTCTAACATAAAGACCAGGCTCAATGGTGATTACCATTCCTTCTGACAGAGGAAGATTTTTACCAACAGAACTAATATCATGGACATCCATACCAAGATGATGACCAATATGATGGGGACACAATTTTCGTACAAGCTGTAAAAAACATGAGATAATTGACTTAGTGTCCCATAAGAATGACCTACGGACGATTAGAAATAGTCTGGCATTTATACCGATACGCTTGAAATTATGGCAACAGGAAGCTTCCTATCTAAAGTAAGTTTAACTAACCTGCTGGTTTTGGTGTCGTTGAAGACCTTTTGGGATTAATTTAAGAGCTAAAAGACGTAAAGAAGTCAAGAAGATAATTTTATCTTTTTAATTGAATTTTATTGTCTTTCGATGTTGTGTTTAATACGTACCTTCGAAGTCGTTTTCCATCATTGACGTCATTGCTTGATAAAGATTATCAATTGAAGTACCGACCTGGCATAACTAGACGACAAAGAACCTGATTTGAAGATTGTCGTTAATCGTATAAAAAACGTCAGGCCGACTGGACACCGCAGAAATTGGTGTTTAAGACGTTTCAACCCGAAAATCTAATCGCTGGTTCACAATTGTGCATTTCTGTATCGCCCTATCAAAGAGAAACCTTTTGAATATCTTAAAAAAGTTCAATTTTTCTTCTGAATACGCATTCTGCAATCTTTTGACAGCTCATCATACACATCTGACCGCTGTGAAATGGCCATTTTGAGGCTTAAAGTATACACAAGGTTATTAATTCAGACGATTCGTTTTTACCGTGAGCAAGCTTCAAATCTTTTGTGCAAGACATATTTTCTTGAATATTTATAAATCTTTTTCCTCACCAAGTTTGAAGTCTAAGTATCGAGAATTGCGGCTAAGCCTATACCAATTTCCGCGGTGTCGGCCGACTGATACCTTTATACATTCCTTTTGAATATTCAACATCATTTCATAGAGTTCTTTTTGTGCTTTTGTAAATTTACCATTGACAGGCCAAACTCTTGTCGTATCACTGCTGTAGCCATTGTATTCACAACCACTGTCGACCAATAATAACTCGCCATCTCTAAATATACATCAGATGTGACAACGGTGGTATACAAGGGCGCCTTCTATTTTGATAATCAGACCAAACCTTTCTCTGCATAAAGGAACGTCCGATCTGGATTTTAAAGATTTTGTTGGTTGAAATGAAATTGTCACGTTTTCCTGTCCTCAATATGTGGTAAGTGCCGTCCTCAATATATATATTAATAGCTAATATGTGTTTCTCTGTTCGACTACCCGAAAACATCATGATGTTGCGGAAATAAAGTTTTAGGATAAAAATATTACAAAGTGCCAGGAGAAAAATTGGCAGAAAAAGGATGTTTCCTAGTCTACCCTATGTCTTAAGGTGGGCTAGCCGCTATTTCGTTTAGCTTAACCAAATTGAAGAATGACCAAGTCAACATTTACCGTAATATTTGGTTATTACTAATATAATGTAGAATGTTAGCCATCGATCCAGTTGCAACTACTGGTGGAAAGGATAACCGATCAGCTCCGTGTTTTTTACATTCAAACTCCATAATATTTTGTAGCTGTGATTCCTGTATTCCGGCTTTGGTATTTGCCATGGTCTAAAGTGTATTGGAGTAATAGTTACTAACCAGGCAGGAATGTATGCGAAATATTCAACACCACACAAAAGACATTGTCATGTATGTGATCATGAGGGATATATGGAAAATGTGTCCATGTCTCCATGATGACGACCCTTGGTGGCGATGGCAGTATGCTTGTTTATGTTTAAGGTCAGGTTTAAAGGTATTATCAGCTGTCATTGAGTAAGAAACACTCGAATTCATGCTGAATTCAAATGTGGTATAACAACTGCCTAAAATAGACAAAACACTTCTCGACGTTTCGACCTGAGGGCTTCGTCAGGAGAGTCAGCGTGAGAGTTATCATACTAACTTTCCTGACGAAGGCCCTCAGGTCGAAACGTCGAGAAGTGTTTTGTCTGTTTTAGGCAGTTGTTATACCACATTTGATGCTAAGTTGTTTGAAGACGCTGCCACGCTGCTCCCTGGTTATATTGGAACCGTATCATGCTGAAGTATTTGACATTTCGTAACAATTGTTACTTTTCGTTGAAATGTTTAATAGCAGCAGTCATTCACGGTGCTTTAAATGCATGCATGACCGAGCTATTTTTCTTTCAATAAACGTAAGGACTAACAATGCATGCATTGCACTTGCTGCTTCTTGTATGGACTAATCACTCAAGCGGAAAGCTGTTTTTGTGCGGTGTTCTGAAAATCAGAATGTAGAATCGAATAGTTTCAAGAGTCCACTCTCTTTACTTTAATATATGAATAATGCTTACATGCCTAGCAGTCGAGATACCTTGATAAACCCTTTGGCTGTAATCGAGGTGCATTTCTTCAAAAGTGAAATTTCGGCGGGAGATTTAACCACTCGTAGCGACTCAACCAAATGACCGACGCGATGAATTCCTAATAATAATACAATTAGATACGACTTTGAATTCTGTTTCATTTTTGCCTAATAAGATTCGTTTGGACGTGATTGAAACATTGCATAGGCGGCATAGTTAACTTACTGCTAAATTTATATTTGGCTGTATTGAAAAGAACGTCGGTAATATCCTTGTTAATATGAAGATGAGATGGTTCCATATGGTCATACCAAATATGGCAATTCTCATCATTAAACCTGCATTCATAGTATAGAGAAAAGTAGATCTTGATTGATTCCTGAACTAAATCTTGGGCCTAACATCAGGTTATTACTGCTCTACGACTGCGGATATTTTGACAAAGTTACTTTGGTTCAACGCTCAACAACATCACCTTTCTAGTATGGTTCGTGATAGATCATTGATTGAGTATGCCTAATTTAAAAAACAAGCCCGATTACGAAAATAATATTTGTTGTTTGTTGTCCGTAATGGACACATTTTGAGGGTATTCGTAATGATCTGGGAAGATCAAGAAACATGTTAACTAAAAATATCTCGTACTTCATGGAATCCAAATTGCTCAACAGCTCCTTCTATTCCGCTTCGTGGTCCATCCCAAATTTCTCTAAAATAAGTAAAATTCGAATCTCGTTAAATAAAATTGTGTCATCAAATGAAACAAACTTGTGCGCCTATAATGTGGTTGTGTTTCATTACAGGCAATTACAGTAAAACTGACCTTGATGGATCCCTAGGTCTTGTGAAAAATACGGTTTTATATTCTTGTCCAGGAGAAGTATGCCCACCAATTTCTAAAGGACAAAAAGCAGTTTATGTAAAACTTATCCAACGAAAAAACTGTTGCCTAATCAGTTGTACCAACCTACAATCAAGACACTATCCGGTTCTTGATATCCTGTTAGGTACAAAAAGTTGGAATTCTGCCTGAAAGGATACCTAATTTAGCAGAAAGAAAATTAGTATTTTCATTGCGTTAAAGCTATCATACGATCATACCACATTTTTGTATCAAGCTTTGTCATACGATAGATCTTTCTCACGATGACGTCAACGCGGAAGCCTGATGTTACACGAAGTTTGATTGGCTAGTTAGTTTTGCGGAGCCAATCAAACTTCGTGTAGCATCAGGCTTTCCGTATTTGACGTCATGATGAGGAAAGTTTATTAGCATTTAGAACGGCTATAACTGCGCTATAACTTACGGTACGTCCGGGCCCATGAAATACTCAGGACTTGACGTGAATATAAGAATGTGTCTTTTATGTAACTTTCCATAGTGTGTGTTCCTAAGAACTCTAAGTAAAATAAATTTCATCAAAGTCTCACAACTTCTGAAAAATGCAGAGCAGCTTTTATGTAGGTACATTATAAAGACGAGGACAAACATGTGCACAGTGCACTTACTTTTTGACCTGAGAATAGGTCACTCAGAATAGAGATAAAAGTTCTTGATTCAAGCAATTAATACAGAAATTTGTCTGGGAATACGGGAATAAGTTACTTATTCAGCTCGATTTTCATTCAAGATATTTATACATATATAAATATACCTACTTTATTAAGTTATCTCTTCTTTGAACATACTCATCTCTGGAAATTCCAGGTGTGACTAAAGGAGTCAAATATTAGCAGCCTTTAAATGTGAAATATTAACCATCCAATTTACATCTTATTTCTTGGAAGTCACTGAGAGCAGTGCTCAGGTGAGGGGTTATATATCATAATTTAAAATATTTATACATGGTATGGAGTGAACCTAATAACAATTAACTCACTTTCATTGTTTTGCATTAAATGTGGATGAGTAACACCAGTTGGTTGACCTAATAGATGTGTTACTTTTGATGTATGAAGTTTTCGCCAACAAACTGAACTTCCAGATATACCTGTTGGAAAAAAAAGCTGTAACATATGAAAAATATATACCAGCTAACAAATTTCAATTTATCTATTGACATATAAGATTAGCAGTTTGGTTGTTCTTGGGTAATTGGTTGTTTCAAAATTCACTGGTAGACATGCTTTGATTGTGTCATGATCACATGAACACTGGCAATATAAAAGTTTTGTTTCATACAGTTGTTAGTTAGTTGTAGTTGACTCTAGTACTTGTAAGTGGTATTGTAAGTTTTAGTAAATAAATATTTTTTCTTAATAAGTCTTCCACTGTCATGAGTTTAAAGGGGTTGTGCCAAGTTAATGAATAAATAAGCACATATACAATGCACCAGACAATTTTACTTTAAATAGGCAGGGGCCAGTTGTATAAAACTATTTAACTACATTTTGCATAGTTAAATCCTAGTTAATTAACTCAGAAATACACACAACTCTGATTGGCCAATTCTGTTCTTAACTAGTCTTTTATACAACTGGCCCTAGTACATTAATCACTTTAATATATTGATGTTCTGGTATTACCAGTTTTTTTTTCAAAATATGCATTCACAAAATACATGACACTCTCTAAGGCATGGGAGGTGCAATTTTAAGAGAGTGTCACAAGGAGTGAGGGGGTGTCACTGGTGAGATCACACAAGGTGATAATCAGTTGATAACAAAGTTACAAAATAATTTATAAATTATATATTTTGTATGTGGGCTATTCTACTATTGTAGTCAGTATGAACAACTAAAATTTTACCATATCTGCAAATTTGGAATACTTTCATATATCTTCCAACCATAATGTAGCCAAATTTCTTATAATCATTTCAAATTCACCCATATACTCCACTCAGAGTATTGTGTCTCTATTTTTAAAATGTTTATGTTTTAAACGCACCCCCCCCGCCTCCTACCAAAGAAAATTCGGAAATACTCGTTTCCATTCTCGTTTCCTATTGGCTTGTAAATTATAATGTTGCTAAAATGTTGCTAGGTATGCAAATCACTGTAAATATAAATAATATCTAATTATAAAGTTGATGACAGTTTTAGTAATAAGTTACTAATAACGTTGTGGGTCCAACCATTTTTCTAATAAACATGGCAGTTTTATTACTAGGCTATGTCTATTATCTGCTTTTGTTTACAAAGGAAGAAACTTCTGCTATAACGCCACTTAATGATTTTGTTCGACATTTCGAAACACTGAATTATGCCGCAAAGCCCAAATTGTACCGAAGGGATACACAAAGAAGTCTTGGTAAGACGCAGTTTCTTGTGTTCAATGCTCACGGACGAAAATTTCAACTAATGCTTTGGCCTGATACAAAAGCATTAGCGCCCGATGCAGAAATTCTTGATGGAGATGGCAAGAAAATAGAATTTGACAGAGATTCGTTGCTAACTGGTGAAGTTGTCGGCGAACCAGGTTCTATCGTTCATGGAGTCTTGCATCAAGACACAGGTTTGTTTACCGGGAAAATTCTAATGAAAGATGATGTTTATTTCATCGAATCGGCAAAACGATATTTCAACAAACCTATGGGCTTTCATTCCGTGATATATAAGGACGAAGACGTAAAGTATAGTGTGAAATTTGCTGAACCAAAAATTGCCCCGATTGAAGAGGGATTTAAAAGGAACGACTTGCAAGGGGAAAGAGAGGATTTCAATATAAGAACTCGAAGAGCAACAGGCATTCCGAAGAATAACTTTTGTCGTCTGTCGATGGAAGCTGATTACACCTTTCTGGGGTTTGCAACAGACGCTATATTGGCTGTTGGCGAAATATTAAAGCATGTACAAGCTGTAAATATAATTTATGGCCAGACATTCAATACAAGCAGCACATATTTCCCATATAGTTTACAATTTCATGTGGGGCTATTGCAAGTACACAATAAAGACCAAACTCCAACAGAATTAAGAAGAGAGAATATTGATAGCTCAACATTTCTATCAATAATGTCGAAAAAAGATTACTCATCTTTCTGTCAGGCTGTTTATTTCACCCACAGAGATTTTGCTGGAGGTATTTTAGGGCTAGCATGGATTGGTTATCCACAGGGTAGAGCTGGAGGAATGTGTGATGGCAGGAGGGGGTCCAACAGTTATAACACAGCAGTTGTGACATTTACACTTCAAGGACGAAATACTCCACCAAAAGTCTCAGAAATAACATTTGCTCATGAAATTGGACATGCTTTTGGAGCCAAGGTATTTCTCTTGTATATTTTTATGGTATCTTACAAAACTTAGCTCAATTTCTAATATATTAGAAAGTTGGATACGTGCCTTTGCCGACACTTTACTTTTCTGATTATTACCATAATTATTTACACATGCATGCAATATATTTATTGTCTCCCTAAATGGGTATATGATATTGGTTTTACTGCATTAGTGAAAGAGAATTCCACAGAATTGCTATTTTTAACTATAAAAGATGGTTTACTAGTTCGCTAAATTTCATGACTGTTACCTTATGTCAACTATATGTCAAGTATCTCCGCCTAAATTCTGTTTATTCTCTGAACAAACCTACCTATCTCAGCTAGGTTAGGGCAAGATGTTGATGCAATCCATATCCACTTTGACATGATTGTTGCTAATATGCGATCTAGTATCATAATAGGGGTGACTGTTATGATACAAGACATACATTAACTATATTTCCACTGATGAGAGTTCTATGGTTGGCATATTAGTATTTACAATAAGGTTGTTATGTGCAGCTGTACACTTCACTTTTTAACCTATTCACTTGTATTCACTAAGCCTATTCTGTGGTATTAGCTTAATTTATTTTTTGAGACAGATCATCTGGCATTAGGAACTCCGGAATTTGTGATGATGAAGTAAGACAAACTACCCAGATAACTTTTCTTGACAGAAGATCCATCTGTTTTTTGCCTCACATTTCCAATTACGAGACAAACTTTTTTTTTGCCAAGTTCATCCAGATGGATAACTTGTCTCTTGGGCCCATGTGCTTGAATGTCTGCCTACCATATTATTTTACTTTATGTATAAGAAAAATGGTTCAGAAAATATTGCTGTTGTTGGCATCCCAATATCAGCTACCCTTAGTCAGAGCAATTCAATGAACAATGGTTTAATAAAATAATTTGACTTAATTGACGTAATCTAGTATTATATGGATTTTTAAGTCCTTTATTCTGATTGGTTGACAAGCGGTCTGTAAAACCCATATCCGGACCATGATTTGTATGTTCTGTATCCGGACCAGTATCCCGAATGCCTCATGCAGCTCAGTCATATAATAAACTGATTATTGACCTCGCTTGTTTGGTCGATCTGTACTGTGAAATATCAAACAGAGGTTTTCTGCATGTGTTTTTTTTTAAAAAAGCCTTGGTCTGATATTTCACAGTACATTCCTCACACTCTATATATATATATATATATATATATATATATATATATATATATATATATATATATATATATATATATATATATATATATATATATATTTCATTCTATGCTTAGCATGATGAAGATGATGATTGTGTACCTGGAGGTGAAGATGGAAACTATATCATGTTTGACAAGGCAACAAGTGGTGATCGCACTAGAAATGATCGCTTCTCACAATGCAGTATTGAGGAGATTATGGCCAACGTTAATGCTAAACGAGGAAAAGTCATTGACAGCAACGTCAAGAAATATCCGAGACTCTGTCTTGAGAGCTACAGTAGAATGGTTGGACGAGGGGATGCTTGTGGAAATGGCGTTATTGAGGGTGATGAAGAATGTGACTGTGGAATGGAAGAGCAATGTCGGTACCAGGAACCTAACTTATGTTGTGATTGGCGGACATGTAAACTCAACATTGGAAAAACGTGCAGTCCAAGTCAAGGTAAGTTTTCTCGGCAGGAAGCATCAGACGGGATTACACCTTTTTGCAGCTATTAAACTGTCGCTTCACGCTGATGATTAAGCTGAAAGGGTTGACGGGTTTAATTTAAGCCTGGTTTTCATCACTTGCAGTTCACTCGTGCGTATAAAAACTAAAATGCTTTGTCCGACGGAAAAAAATTGCACTTCATCGGTCGTCGACAAAGGATCGCAGAGCATCGCCGACAGTCTGTGAATGATGAAAACCAGGCTTTGTTTGTCCCGCAAACTTTAATCACAAAGTTGGCGTAAAGTCAAGAGATTGATTTCAGGAAACTAAATTCCTTTAATCAAATAAGTCATAAACTATCACGGTATCAAGAACCATTTTCTGTGACCATGTACCATAGTGTTTTAACGCCGAAGTATAAAGTTAATAACTTAGTAATAAATTGTAGTTATAAAACTGAAATTTGCGGGAGTATTTGCCTGGATAATAATTTTAGCTATGTAACTCTTTCGGTTTGCCCGAATTTTCGGCTGAACTTTGCCCGAATTTTTTATTCTCGAAATTTTGGGGGGCAAGTGGCAAGTGCCCTCCCCCATGCCCCCCTGTCCCTATGTATTCAGCGAAAACGGACAGTTCCCAAATCCCAACCCAAGCTCCTTCGCCCATAATTCTGAGAATAATTTTCGACACTTACAGGCCCATGCTGTAATAAAGAATGCAAAACAGCTTATGAAGAAAAAATCTGTGGACGTGGTAGCGATTGTCTTAAAGAGTCAAGATGCCCCAGTTTGAGTGAAAGAACAGCCAAGAGTATCACCGGCTACAAATGCCCATCTCAGGAGTTCCGTCCTGTCGATACCGAATGCGAAGGAGGGGCCTTGCTGTGTCATAAGGGTCTTTGTAGCAAATCCATCTGTACAAAATATAACTTAAAACCTTGTGAATGCAAGAAAAGAAAAGAAGAATGCCATGCCTGCTGTATTGAAAATGGCGTTTGTCGCAGTGCCTATAAGATAGATAAGGTATATTGCAGCGTTCTATCATTAATATACCATGCTCCTCTCAGACTTTGACTTTCGGGATTCGTAGCATTCTGCATTGTGCTTATTTTATGTCTTATGTTTAAGACAGCGTATTTTCGTCCAGACGTTTTTGAAGGTTTCGATTTTAGATGCAATTTTCTTCCTCTGATAGATGCAAAGGAACAAATAATTATGAACGCTTTGATGTCTATAAGTGCCCTTTTATCAATGTGTATAACTTATTCACTGATTCACATGAATCAATGGGAGAAAATCACATCCGAAATCGAAATCGCTCTCTGGTTTATAAACGGGGCCATGGTCAGGTGCAGGATAGCTTTGGACAATAGCGAGATCACGTGATTATCGAAAGGGTTTATAGTGAAATCCACCTCAAACATCATGTTTTGTGTATGTTTTTCAGATGAAACGTAGTACGCCGTATAACTACAGTATTGGCACCCCATGTGCCAACAACACGGGCTACTGTGATTTCTTCCAGTATTGTCAAAGAGTTGACTTGGAAGGTCCGCTTCTACAGCTGTTTAACCTGTATTTTACCTCTGAAGGTAAGTCTGAAGTTTACAATATGATCATTGCAGATGGTACAATATTGATCAAAACCCCAAAGAATGTGTTATCATGCAGCCTTGCCCCTTCTGTCTATGTTGATACATAATGGCTGTTTAACCTCAATCTAGTCGATAATTGACACACAATGGTTGTTAATTCAGCGCGTCACAACAGTAATAGCCATAATCTCGAAGACAAACTTTGAAAGCAGGGGGATGGGCGAAACTGTCACGATAATGAGGAACTGTGAATATATCGTGCTAGCATGGAACGTCCTATAAACCTCACCACGACTGTAGATACAAAAATGCCTATGATAGTGCTGATATACCCCGAAGATAAACTTGCTACTCCTACTTTGGTAGGGAAAACAGTGGTGCGATTCCTTGACAGCCATGTCATATAGTAACTTACGTACTTCCTTGATCATTGGCAAGATTTTACGTATATAAAATACTCGAAATTATAAGCTCTTAATCCACTGGGACCCCCGCAATACTGTAGTAACTTGATCGAAGGGAAGATTTTGCGTATAATACTCAAATTAAGCTCTTAATCCGGAGGACCCGCGTCATAGAATGACTCGCGGTTGACTGTGAACCCTCATTCAGTGAGAACGAGTTTGCTTATATACAGGCTTAAATTGTGTCCTGGAATTCACATACCGCGTAACTATATAGAAGCACGGCTAGAAGCCTAGAAGCTACTGAGAAATATAGTTTGTCCCCAAGACCCGTTGTATATGTACTGAGGGAGGTGAATAATGTAGATCTCAATTGAGCATACATGCCAGTCCAAGGGGCAAAATATATATTTATTTTTATATTGGACTAGTCAATTCTCTTTATTCTTATTTCGTTAAACCATATTTAACCTCGTTAATGTGAATAGATTATAAATGGTCTTAGGTTATAGGTCGAATGTTGAATGTGAAGTTTAGGATAATACTACAGATTAGGAATATAACAACGAGATTTTCTGATAAATCTTCACTGAAAGTTCAATAGGGAATTAGATAGATTTCAATATGATTATGTTGTACGTTTTTCACTTTTTCATTGTCGAGTTAAACAAATCTAAAAAAAACTTTTAGGTGTTCGCGAGCTTACTCGGAAGTACTGGTGGGCAATCTTGCTTGGTACCCTAGGTCTGGTTGGTATAATAGTCCTGCTTGTGGTGTATGGTGCTCGATATACTGGCACAGATAACCCTGATGGTAAACCAGCCGAACCCTTACCAAGCTTCTGTTGCTGTGGCACTGATCGGAGCGATGGACCAGCAGCCCGCAGAGAGTTGAGAGGAGCCCATTCTGAGCTCAAAGAAGACAAAGAACTATAAAATAAGATAGTTTTAAAAATTTTGTTTACAGCATCTTGGGTTTTCAATTTTTGTGTTGTGCGTTTAAACCTGGTTTGCGCACGCTGTAGTTATTTGCAATAATTATTGCAATATTTCATACAATCGATCAATATAATAGCCTGCGAATGGGTGTTTAAGACGAGGACAAAAGTGATCGGCAATAGCAGAACGTGAAATGTATGAACGCTAAAATATTTTCTCCCATTGATACATATTAATTTGCATGAAGTGATTCGGTATAATAATAATATGTCACAGTGTATCCAACTTGTAATGTATTAATTGAATATATTTCCAAGTTTTTCTGAACGAATAAGACGAAAAAGAATATATTGATAATTTTTAATAACATATTGATCATAGTGTAGCCTATACTTTCTGTTTTGTCGTTATCGTCGTGAACAAGTCATTTTCACCGATGTGAAATACTCGCGGATGTAAATTTGTCTTTATCTTCTGTATTTAAATCGTCATTCTTGACTTCAGATACTGCATTACTCTAATACATCAACCACCTTGACATGTTCACGACAATTACGATTAAATGAAAACCAGGGTGAGGCGTATACATATAACATATTGTAACTATCATGAGATATAGCGCGTTGAATCAGTAATGACGCCTAGTAAAGATAAGCCTAGACTATATTTGATGACGGGATATTGAAATCCCTAATGTGGCCTTTAACTTAGTCTTATTTGGCTTTATTTGTGTATAATTCGTAGTAATCACTTGTATAAGTTGATTTGAATTTTGGTTACATCGCTGACGTATTAATTCATTGTAAACCCAACTGCCAAATGGGTCAAATGCACCTGCTAATAATATTATTGACTTTTCCATTGAGAGCACATCTTTCATTCACTAATCATTAACTGATGTTTGACATAATAGAAGGCTCATTGAAACCGTATGACCTGTTTTTGTAGGGGCGAAATAAACGAAACAGCTTTGCGAGATTGTCAACAGAATGGTAAACGTGATTAACTATATATGTCTCCTGGCTTTCACCGCTACGCTGAGCTCTGGTTATAAGCGGTCGGGAAAAGTCATTAGACACTTTGAAGCTCTTGATTATGAGACGAAATATAAACAGGCAGAAATTGGCCGACTTGTGGATGAAAGGTCATCGACCGCGCAGGAAGCGTCGTCTATCAAAGTTATCAATATTGAAGCATTCGGAAGAAAATTTAAACTTATTTTAAGAAGTAAGGATATCTCGTCTTTTCCTTTTGATATCGAAATCAAAGGCAACATAAACACCGAACTTAATTTGAATTCAAATACCTTAGTTGCTGGGAGTGTATACAATGATAAATTGTCTAGTGTCTACGGTTGGATTACTGAGTCGGGATTTTTCTATGGGACTGTTAAATCCCAAAATGAAACATATTACATTGAACCGGCTAATAAGTACTTCATATCTCCAAGATTTCATTCTCTGATGTATCGGAGTAAGGATAATACAGATGATCTTGGCGACCTCTTCAATTTCATCAACTACGGAAACAAGAAGCGCGCGAATTCAAAACATCACATTTCCAAAAGGCGATCTTCGACCCATCCCGAATTTAAAACTAACCCAAAAATCTGCCGTTTGTCGCTAGAGGCCGACTTTGCGTTCCTCAAAATGATGGGCAGTACTTTAGATTCCCTTAATTCGATGATTAATCACGTAGAAGTCTTAAATCGCATATTTTACAGATCCTTTGTCAACAGAGATATGTCAACTCATGCGAAAGTATTTGAACTTCACCGTAACCTCAGCATGGTCCAATTTCAAATTGCAAGGGTCAGAGTTTACAACGAGTCTGAAACTGTACAGGTCTTAGGACCCACCGTTCTAGACGCGGCAACATTTCTGAGACATATGCAAAACAAGGGGGGATATTCCCATTATTGTTTAGGCCTGTTTTTTACCGGCAACAGTTTTAACGACGGCGTTTTAGGAGTGGCCAAAACTGGAGGGATTTGTACCAACTTGAATGTGGGTGTTGTCTCCTTTAAACGGGAGGGTGTGGCCCTGCCTCCGCTGCTCACAGAGATTGCTGTTGCTCATGTTGTTGGCCATGCATTTGGCGCTAAGGTTTGTTTGTTTGCACAATTCTAACAATATCATTCCCGAATGTGCTCACTGGGTTCACCAAAAACGGGTTGGGCAATGTGGTCTGTTATTATTTCGGTAGTTTCATTTCCAGGGGGCTTATATTGGGGAAATCTCCGTTTCTCATACTGTAGCGAGTTCACTGAGCAAGATAGTTATAGAAAGACACAACTCGACTAAAAACTGCTTGCCGCCACTATAATGCAAAAAAGAGACACAGCTATGCATGTTTAAGGTTTAGTTTGGGTCAAGTTCAGGCTACGAAAGAGGAGCAGACTACCTTGAGAGAAATAAGGATTTTCAGAAAAACGATTGACAGACTCTTTACAGGTGTGTGTCATGAGATCCAGCGATCGCAAGAATTGAAAGGATATCAATTACGCCGCTGAAGCTCAAGGTCATTTTGTGGGTGATACAAGGGGAAAATTATAGGGTCACGAACACGAGATACTCCAGCGAACATTGTGAAACGTGATTAATTTTTTTACATCAGGGACATGAGATGAAAAACTTTGGGGACACGGCCGTACGGGATATTCAAAGGAAAATCGTCGAATCCGGCTATAATTGATATTTTTTTTACGCCGGGACGTTTTACTAGCGAAATATGATATTTGCGCCTGTGTCTTCTACATTGTGACCAGTCAGGTTGAATTTAATACTGGCAAAAAAAAACAGACGAAAATTATGCATTAGTCAAAAAAAGCGTTCAATACTATATGAATCTATTACTATGTAAATAATACATGAATTTGCATGAGGAAAGCATAAATATTCGTATCAACTCAGCCTAATTTCTATTTAGCACGATGAAGATAGCTGCCATTCGGAATCTTTGAACAAGGATGACCACTTCATAATGACGAAATTTGGCCTCGATGCAGATCTAGGCAATCATTTTGTTTACTCCCCATGCACTGTTCGACAAATTAAATCTTTCCTGAACACGTTACCAGAGAAGGGCTGCTTTAAACTTGACTCGCCAAGTTTATGTGGAAATGCTGTGGTGGAACATGGCGAAGAGTGTGACTGTGGCGGAGACGAGATGTGTAAAGATTTGGAGCCTGGGAACTGCTGTGATTTTGGAACCTGCAAGTTGAGGGTCCACGCTGAATGCAGCGTTTCGAATGGTACGAAATTGGCACGTTATCGTGTGAAAGGGATGGGAAATAAAGTGTTATTGAGTGTCCATTTTTTTTTCCAGGATCGTGTTGCGATGGCAAGACTTGTAGGTACAAAAATGCCGGAGAAATTTGTTCAGTGGAAACAGAATGCTCGGATCAAGCAGTGTGCAATGGCAACACCTCAATATGCCCAGAACCATCGCACAAGGAGAATTTTTCGGAGTGTAACTGGAATTCCAGCATCTGCATGAATGGCGTTTGTAGTGGAAAATCTGTTTGTGGTAAATTTGGGCTGCAACCTTGCTTTTGTAAAGATAAATCAGATGAATGTAAAATTTGTTGTTTGAGTAAGGGGAAATGCTTTCCGGCACAGAATATTACTAAGGTATGTAACTTGTTTATCACCTAAATCAACTTAAGAGTCTTTCAGACAGCCTTTTACATTAAGGCTCAATTCACCCGGGACCAGACGAATTTGGATTTGTGCTCAAATAGGTCAAATTCGCCCGGTTCATTTAATCGGACGGTAAAATTGGGTGAAAATTTGACCGGTCCTAATTCCTGTTCACACGAAGAAACCGGACGGTTTCGAGCACTTATTTCATATCAAGCCAGAAAAAGGTTCCGGCATCAAGTGGCAATCAGCCGTGTTAATTCATATTAAAAACCTTGTCTGCATGAATGTTTTAGATCAAATCAAGACTCAAGTCAATATACCTGAGTGCAGGATCATTGTGTTCAAGCAGGCGAGGATATTGCGATGTTTTTCACGATTGTCACCGAATAAACCTCAATGCTCCGTTTTCCAATCGCTATGATCCGTATTTTAGAAAAAAAAGTAAGTCATTCAAACATATTGTTTCTCCATACGTGTGCTATATAAAGCCGGATGCTTGCGGTGTCTGCGGTCCTTCAATTATATTTGTTTCAAACTAAAATAGACTCACAAAGGGTAAAAATAAAATTAGCCAGGGCAGGTACTTGGCCCGTCTTGGATGTATTTTCATTACTGCGACTATTACATCCGTTTTTTAATTACTTCTCCTATTTCCTATAGGCATTAAAGAAATAACTCACTCATTTTGGTGGGCAATATTTCTCGGTACAGTAGCTCTAATAGCATGCGTAGTCATGTCAATCAAGCATGGAGCTCTATATACAAAAAGTAGTAATCCTGAATTAAACGAGCGACAGCCAGCAAAAACACTACCAAGGTTTAAATTATCTCGTTTAAAGGAAGAGGAAAGGGGAATTGTCCTTACTGACGATATGGTAGCTTGAAATGCACTTAGGACTACATGTACACAACGTTTGCGAGAATGCAAACACTATCATTTAGCTGATTTCGAGCTGATTCAATACTGGAAGTTGGAAATGCACCCCTTAAACTGTTAAAACAGGAAAAGTTTTTGGAGACACTTCAACGTTCTTGGAAACTCTCAAAACAACACCAGCCTAGTAGTAAAATATGGAAAGGCTTACTGAAATTCTGACCGGCATTCGGCCCGTCGTTAATTCAATGGTTGGGGCAGGGGAGGATGTCTAGTATACATCCACAAAGAAACTGATAATTTGAGAATACACATACAGATCTATACAGATCTAATTGTACACACATTGACTTGCTTTTTTGCTGAGTCTGACAGTCAAATAATATAATATGACGAAAGGCCTACTAGTTAGACTACACGATAAGTTGTATGCGATTATCATTCTGAAGAATGTAAACAAGGGCCTATATATGCCACAATCTTCATTCATTCTGTTCAGAGTGGTTTTGTTCATACGTTCGCCAGGGTGCAAATCGTATGCGACAAATCGCATAGTGTAAATGGGCCTGAAGTTGGACTGATTAAGGCTGGTTACAACATCATATTCAGAGCCTTTCCACACGCGGTGAAGGAGAAAGATTGACAAAGTGCCTGTTTAACAGATAGGCACTTTTTTTGTTCGGATTGAGTTATTTATTATTTTGGGGAAGAATTATTCTTTTTGTCCTTGATGGCGTAAAATTATCCCCAATCTGCCCTCCCTTTAAGGCAGCACTTCACTTGCAATAGTAACGTCTAGTTCATTATTTTGGGGAGGGATTATTCTTCTTGTCCTTGACGACGATTGCGAATATGGCAGCCCTTCGCAGAGGCTTGCTTTCCACTGCTTCCCACTCGCGCCACGTCACGTAGAAAAACACACTTAGTCAGCCCGTACGATTGCGAAATACGTTGTCACATTTCGCAGACCCATCACCGAATATGTTGCTCAAGCGAACATATTTGGCTGGTGATAAATATTATCAGGAAAATATCATATCTCAGGCCTATACTCCTAAATATCGCCATTTATTACTATATTAGTTCATTTGTATAATTCATACTGTTTTTACTCTAATTGGGACGGTCAGTTAGACGTATCTTGTCGCGGTTAATCCATTTCTGGAAAAACTGTCCGTTTTATGTCGGCACACAAGCGGTCGAACAAAACGGTATTCGGAACCGAAAATGGTTGCATGTGACAATTACGTCTAGACAGACGCTCCCAGAAAGGTTAGCTCCACTGGTTAATTCTCCTAAAAAGGTTCCGCGCCATCTTGTTTCTTTTTAATTTCAAGAGGAAAAAAACATACAATCGAATTGCCTTAATTAATTTGACACGTCCGCATATCAATCACCCTGACCACAGCACGAACGTTTGTTTTATGCTAACAATAATTCTGGGAACTATCAAGCGTGGTATGTCGAGTGTTTGTGCTAGCTGTATTCAGTATGGCTCATTCGTTAATTTTCAGGTCTATGTCAGACTAAGTAAACAATCTTTCCTTGAAGCAGGTAATTCAAATACACGGCTCGACTGACAGCGAGTTTCTGAAGAAAAAAAGACCAGATATATTCAATGATAGCTCTCCTTTGAAAACGATAACCGTCTTTTTTGTTACACCACGCAATTTTTGATGCGATTTTTAATGCAATTTTTGGCATAGAACAATGTTATTCAGGTAGAACAAAATTGTAAGGATGAAATTATCATGTTTAATTTTGCAAACAAAAGAACTTTTTATTCAAACACGCGCTTTGGGATGAGGGAATCATGGATGGATGTGCCACTAAAATAATGTTAGATCAACACAAAAATTACATTGCAGGTCGCCGTTGTGTGTAGCATTGGCCTTTCAATTGCGGTTGCCAAGTATTGTGAATTATTCTAATGAAGGACCTGTTTATATCACTTGCGGTGTTCACTGTGTGTTACTAAGTACCCAAACGAAGAAATTTGCATTTTCATGTCTTTCATATATGAATTGGGCGGATATGTATCAACAAACTATATTATGCGAAGGTCGTCGTAAAGTAATCGTGTTTGCCCTCTGGGTTTGTCTGTATATGGTTTAGTTTTAACGAAAGAGAAAAGCTTGGGATTTTTAGACATGCAACGAGACAATAGGATTAAGGAAGCGAGCCGTTCCAAATCGCTGAAATCCTCGGTGAAGCGCCGTGTTGGACGGTTTAGTCTTCGAAAGCTATCGTCTACGGATTCACCCGAAAAACATTTTGAGGATGATCTTTTAAGCCCTAAAGAACCTGTAGCCAAAACAAGATCGCTTGGACCTTCATGGTGAGTCCGTACTCCCTAACGTATTTATACTTAGCTATTTAAATTCTCATCTTTAATATCACCTCTTTCGTGAACTATTATAATCAGTAACGAGTAGCAGTGTAATGATTTCCGTAAGCCAATTGAAGTCATCTCACTTGTTTATGGCGCTAAAAAGGCGAACTGTTTACAAGAATAATATATAGGTGAATTCTTATAAAGCATCATAGTGAATTACACCAGGAAATTTCACTGCCAAACTATACAAGATTTTGTACTCCGTGGTTTGCAGTTTAACTTTACTTCAGTTATTTTGTTAAAAACTTATCGTTTACCGCAGCGATAAGATCAGTTGGATTCTACTAAAATTATTCGGTAAATAATTTGACGCTGATCAACAATATAATTATATCTTTACAATTCACATGGATATTCAGTTTGTACCTAATCTATGATTCGTGGGGAGTCATGCCTGAGTTGTTTTTCTTGCGATTAGCGAAATGTGAAATCTTCAGTAGTGACAGGTTATTTGGAAATGTTGGCTTTCAGATTGGCAAAGTGTGTTGACACTTGAATAGTTAGTTGGACGTAACGTTGAGCTGTTTTCAAATACAAGTACTATACATTGCTCAATCATATAGCTGGCTGGTACAGTGTGAAGGAAGACCGTTGTTCCAAACACAACTGGTGTGTGTTTTCGATAGGCAGGAGGCCTTTTGTTCGCATTGCCAGCACATCCCTGTCTTTGTTTTTGTAAAGGACGTGCTGGGCAGGTTTTCAATAAGATCATCAATTCGACTACTGTGTTATGTTCAATTAGTAAGGTTAGCAAGCGGTTTGTCAAAGTTGTACATGCACATAAGGTTGCCTAACAGATTCCTCGTATTGATCCAGAAGGTCTTTTGCCTTCGGCTATCGGGTGAGCAACAGTTTTACGTTTGTCGTATTGCACACTATATAACTTACGTTGGAAAGGGCTCGGCGTTGAAGTTATGGCTACAAGTCTAGTAGCTTATACAGTATTCGCCTGCTTAGACTGATATATATGGTATAGTCTGTGGCTTCCAGTACCACGCCCTCTTGACCAAGGAAGAACTTTGTCATAGAATGTATATAAATATAAATATACATGACATATACTGATGCATGCCAAATATTTGGTAAAAAGGCATATAATTATGAAATCCATATTATTCTGAAATCTGAATTAGTCTGGTTTTGAATAAAGAGCATAAAAGGCGAACGGCATGCATGCAGTAGACGTATAGGAACCGGCAGTGACTCCCCTTCTTCACCATGAAAGGTCTTTGTCAGAAACGAAAGAAAGGCTATATATCACTTCCGCAAAATACAGTTTTCTTTATCATGAATATGAAACTTGAACTAATAGAAAAACCATCACACAAAGATTTCTGTCTGGTCATCAGTCGCAACATCATTTCAGTAGATTAGTTCATTAAAAATGTCGCGGAGACGTTGCACGTAATTCCTTATCGGGCTCGTGGCTTTATTTACTTTACTCAACTCAACTCCAATAAATATAACTAAATTTAGGATTGAAAGCTTGCAAAACGCAAGAAGGAAAAACGAATTAAAGAGGAAATGTTTTTTGAAAATATTGATGATATTGTAGGTTGCTTTTTCCCTTACACATGACCGCACGTGGGAGGCAATATATCCAAAACAGCTTATAAGGTGTCAAGCTTTGAGAAAAAAAGCCTTGAATACTGGCTCCAATCATTCTTGAAAGTGCCAAAGTTCGGCAACACTTGTCATTATCGACTGTGACTTATTACTGTACGGCTGTACCTTATATTGTTGCATTTTTACAGCGTTATTTTAAGCAACTGCAAGTAAGCGAAATTGAAAGGCTTGTTTTGAGAACTAAACTAGCTACAAGAAGTTTAAAGCCAGTTCAAATGACAAACAAAGGAGAGCATTTCGGGATTGATTTTTATGCAAGACGTGGAATTACGACTTTTACAATCAGTGCATAAATCATAAAGATTAGCCCATGCTCTCTCAAACAAAATAATATAGGGAGATTACGATTCGCGTACGACGCAGGCACGCAGCCAATTCGACGACGCGCTTGCAAAACAAAGAAACTCCACACGCGAGACAATATACTTGTGAGAGCTAGCTAGCGTTATCATCCTTACGACGCCTTCGAGTGAGGCATTTTCACGGCTTCTCGATGACATGAAAGCAGCTGCAACGTGATAGCTTAAATGAAACTGCAATATCAGCTAGATCGGAAGTTCTTAGCTCGATTTAAACGTTTGTATCATATGAAATCATATGATTATTTCAGAGTCTTGGCAGCATAAGTAATTTCCGTAGCTTCTTTCAAGCAAAATATTTGACTAGCGACGTCGAGCTAACAGCGTTGAATTGCGGTTGGAATACGTGAAAGGGTGAAGTAAGGAGTTGTGCATGTCATGTGTCTCTTGAATTTGTTATTGGACACTGAAAAGCAGACTAAAAGGAGTCTTTGTATAAAATTTCAAACGCGGAACAATTTCTCTCGATCATAACTAAATTTGCATGGCTATTCGCTGTTTGTGCATTGTAAAATAAACTCTGAGTTTCTGCATGCACCTGGCTATATGCCAATGGCGCCGCATAAACTCACATAAATATTCAGTAACTAGAGATAACAGCCATTATACTTGCAATTCAAGCGATAACATCTAATTCACGAGATCTGATGAAATTAATTAAATATCAAGTCGATATTGAACAAGTTGTTGTGGCTCAATGCATGTTTATGAACCTTCCCCGGAAAGATGAAAACTTTTGCTGCCAGGATGTACGGTTAAATAAGGTGTGATTTATATCACCTGGGAGAAAATACCGCATGAAAAGTGTTCGGGTTCCACGGGTTCCAGGGTCACGGGCGGCCACATGGAAAATGGGCTTTATTTTTAAACTTCACTATCTTTTTCCCACGAAATCTCACTTTCGCCAGAGGCAGAAGGTGCGTTATGGATAATAACGCGTAGCGTCTGTCTGTCTTTCTGTCTGTCTGTGTGGCTGCCGCATTCGTATATAGCGAGATTGAAAGATCTAAAGATTTAACATCTCCACAAAAATCTTCGACGTTCTCACGTCTTCATGTCTTTTTCAATATATATTTTATGTATGCTTCGCCAATTTCTCTTCAATGAAGGTTTCCTCCTCCCTCCAAGATTAGACTAGAATTTCTTTCAAAATCTAAGCTTTCGCATTTCAGTAAACTCACTAAACTTAGCCTAGGTAAGAGTTTGAGCAAGGCTATTATCCTGCTTCACTGTTGGTCAAAAATTTTTTTTGATTTTCAACAATGTGGGATGAGGGCGTCAAACTCAAAACATAATCAAACACTGTTATTTATAGCATCAGGCTTTCAGCTAAGATTATCCAGCATTTTTCACTGTGGTTTCGTGGTTGCATAATATTTTGATATAATCCGGTCTTTGGCGACGGCCACCCGAATTTTATCCTGTGATGTTGGACCGACTGATAGGTTGTGTGGCTTCCTGGAACAGGCTTTAACCGAAACCCTCGAAAACGTACGTAGGCTGACTAGGCTCGTATAGCCGATCCTGTTTTATCTCTCTGTGCATGAGTCTGTCAATATAGTAGCGTTGTAATTGCATGTTTGTAAGCAATTGAAATTTCGACAAAGATGTGCCAACTGAAGTTGTAAAGTGATAAATTAAAGCGTAAAAAATGTGGT